AAATCAAAATGCTGGGAACCACTCAGCAGCCCGAGGTCGGGGGTCGTAATCACTCGATATTTGCGCTTGTGGCCATCTTTTATGGGACATTAGGTACGGCAACCCAGGACCCAAAGGATTCCAGCCTTGACAGCTGGGCACAGCTCCATTTGTCCGATGTCCGAGCACTTGAACTTGGGCAGTGCGGTGGGTAATTATGACAACCGCAAACATCGGATTGCCACTCAAAAGACATTTACAGACCAGCAATGAAGGCGGTCCTAATGGCTAATTAATTGATGTGTTGACAGTCCGGAAACCACAGAAATGTATTTCCCAGGCGAGTGGATAATGACAAACAAACTACTTCTGAGTAAAACAATCACATTTTATTTTATTTAATTTGCTGCTTGCTATAAACAAATCCCAGTTAACAGGGTCCCTTGAGTAATTTGTACTCATTTAAAGTTACCTGGCATTTATTTTTATTTTTATCATATCATCTTCAGTTCCACCCCATAAATCATAATCAGCTAAGCTTTGCCACCTTGAAAAGGGAGTGGGAAAAAACCGGAAATGAGGAACGATAGAAATTATATTGCCTGTCAGGAAAAGCCAAGGACGAGCAGCGAAATCAATTAAATGCAATTTCCAAAGTCTCATCTCGTTCTCTCCTCCGCTTCTTAACTCCTCTTTTTACTGGCTTTTCCTCGTTTCCCTAAGCTTTAAGTTGTTATAATTTATGGCGTCTATAATTGCAGCAATTTGTGCGATGCTCCAGGTAGGCAACAGCCCCCTTTCCCCCCGCCCACCTGGACGTGCTCCTATTTGAGATGGGACTTATGTACAACATGCTAGATGTGACCCCTCGAACCATGCAATGATGCACAGAGAAAAATGAAGTGGGAGTTCGGGAGCGATTTTGTGTGATGTGCGGATGCATAGTATTTTAATTATTTCAAAACTTTTAAAAACCCGAACACTCAAAAAAGGTTGTCAAGTGCCTTATCTCAATCTTTATCCGATAAGTGCTCATGTATTTTCGCGGTGTGAAAATTGCTTTCCTCGCCTTCATCCATTTTTGTCGTCTCCGTTGCAGGCGAAATGTCAGCATCGTTCAGGACCTGATGCCCTATAACCCCCTCCCCCCTCCTCCCCTCCTCTCCACTCTCCGCTCCCCCTTGCTGCGGTCCTGGTTGCTGCTTGATTGCACTTTTAATTAACTTTTTTGCGAGCTTCACAGCTCCGAAGGATCCTGCTCCTGTTTCAGCTGCTGCCAATTGTCGGCACTTTGTGTTTTATACTTTAGCCTCGTCATTAACAAAGGCAAACAAGTCGCGCATGGGGCCATAAATAATGGCGTGTCGCCCGCCCCGCCCCCCGGGAAAATTATTTGTAGACAGTTTAAGCCGGATCCCGGCTTCCATCACCGTAATTCCGCCCGCCGGCCAATATGTTAATTCAATTCACCGCATTGTAATCAGCGCCAGCCAAAATGTTTACGGATTCCCCCAACTTTCCGGGCTCCAGATATTTTCCCGGCAGGTGAGTATTGGCAGTGCAGGCACGCGTAATGTTATGATTGGAAAATGAAAATCATTTACGTGGGCAACCAATTTGCAGCTCATATAAAGCAAATCTAGCGGCAAGCTGCGCGATGGGTTTGCCGGGCTCGCCGGGTTATCATGTGTGCAAATTAATGCCCCCAACGTGATGAGCATCCCCAATCGTGGAGATTGCCGGGGGGCCAACTGGTCAGATGGCTGCCAAAACGGGATAAATGATTGGTTGAGTGGATACGGAGTTTTGCTTTAATTCTTAAATTATTATTAGAGCGGGTGTTCATGAAATATTTAGAAGGTTAAGAGGTAAGAGATCATATTAAAATAGCAAGCAAGCGAATATTTGCCATCCAAAATTAGATATTAAACTTTATCCGTTTAAGTTAATAAAATAATGGAATCCCTGTAAATCCCCGTAGTCATCCACTTGGTTACTTTTCAATTAACTACATTTTTATAGACCTGCATTAACCCCCAATAAAGTTAAACACAAATTGGCCCCGAACAAAGAGCCAAAAGCCGGAGCTGGGCGAAATTGTATAAATGAAAACTAAATATTTACTTTGGGCCCTTGTTATTGCCGCCATCTGACAGCAAGAAAACAAAGAAAATTGAGAAAAAGGTTTTCCAGCAACAACAAACCAACGCTTATCTATGAGCGTTGAGCGCCCAAATAAGTAAGTCAATAAATCAATTCAATAAAAATTTGTGCTGCCTTTTTATATTTGAAGTTCAGGATCTGGTTTTTCCTCTCGACTTTTTTGTGGGCGCTTCTGTTTTTGGCAAATCCCAAGCAAACAAATGTGAGTAAAAAAAACTTTCGGCTCGGCAAATGTTTGGCAGTCAGCAGAGAAAACAATGACGAGGGAAATAGGGGCTAAGAATAGCGTCAAAAGGTTAAGAGGAAACGAAGGCTTGGGCCAGAAAGATACATAAACAATGATAACTGCAAAGTTTATCAATTTGTAAAATGGCAGCCGCAGACATGAAGACTTTTCCAGGGGAAAAGTGTGAGCTACATTTTTGCTGAGCTGTTCGGTTTGCAAAGCTTTTTTTGGTAGCAGAATCGGCTAAGCTTTTTTCAGAGTTCCAGCCTCCCGATTGTTTGCTTAAAAATTAATTAAAGTAAGTCTTTTAAATAATAGATCCCTAGGTGGAAGTGACTGCTTGAATGTTTGTTTTTACTGGACACTAAATAACCCACAAATCGGCCATCATTCACACATAACCCCATGCCTGTGGTCACATAATTCAAATGAATTGTTTATACAGCACCAGAAACTAAACAACAACAAACGGGATGGCCAAAAAAAGTTCAAACAATGAATGAAATGTTTGCGTTACGTGTCAATATTATCTTTTTATTTCGGTGGCAGTTTGTTTATTTGAGCGGAGAGGAAGCGAGCAATTTGGGCTTCTGCGTGCGAGCATAAAAAACATTGTTTTAAAAATACTTGGCCAGTGCGCGGCTATTTTGGCACTTAGCTATTTCTAAAAAAAAATAGAAAATAGGAAAGTATATCAGTCAGAAGACTTTGTGACACGCCGACATGACGAAACGGGTGTTCAAAGTGTCAGGCGCTGAAATGCGAACAACTTGACTCAACTTGACTGGCAAATTATTCAGCAAGTCTTCGGGCGAACGCCACACACAGAAACCAATTGCTCTGGTTTAGACGACAATCTGCTAGTCTTTAATTTAGCGGTGAATCAATTGCGAGTGTCGTCCACTTAATCTCGGCCAGAAGACCGCGATCCCTCGCTCCTTAATTGCGCCAAATATACGCTGCCAACGATGTGTGCGGTTTATTTTAATAGCCCCGTATCGGAATGCGATTTTAATTGAGAAAGTGGGGAAAAGCACTGATACCTCCTCATACGTCAATTAAAATGCGTATATTAAAATTAATAATCCGATAATAAATACCATTTATTTAAATACATATTTCTCTATTAATGTCGAATCAAGTGTGAGACATTTTTACCATATACTAAAAGAGTTCATAAATATAAATAAAAGGCCTTTAAGAACTGAAACAAAAGCCTTTGTTATTTTCCTGGGTATTTAAATTGACAAATATGCGAGAGTTTAACAAACCTTCTAGTTCACCTAGTATAATCCCATATAATCTTTGGACACTCCCAGAAGGACAGGGGGCTGGACTGGCCGAGCTGTCAGCGCATTTGCCAAATTTTCGCGACGAGAATGCAGTGCTCTCATCGCGCTGCCCTTCCCGCCCCACCACGCCCCCTCCAACCACTCACGGCCCCCTTGGACCCCACACCACCCCCCGCCCCACTTGCCACCCACTGGTTAGCACCGGAAAGATTTCTTTCTAGTCTGCGGCGGTCGTGTGACTCGCTTTTGTCTCTCTGCGATTTCGACTTGCGGGGGCGTCAAAGTAAAATCGTCTCTGCTCTTTGCCAAATCGAAAATCCAAGTGCCATCGATGCGCATTTTCGGCAGCGCGAGTGCATTGGCATTGCAATGGATTCCGACGGCGATTCCGAGTGCCCCAAATCGGGCGACATCATCCTTCGCAGCATATATTATGGAACTATCTGCGAGCGATATAGCGTTTCACCAGCCATACATATCAATTGACCATCGCGACAAAAAACATTGAGAAGACGGCACAAACACACACTGTTTGTGAGTGTGTTTTTTATGTGGCCATCCACACAGATTGTTGTTAAAATATCGCCACGCTTCGCATAAAAGTTGCATGAAATTGGTTCCACCATCGCGAGATTGAATGGGATTGCAGAAGCTCAAATACCCTTTTAAATCAATGTGCAACTCGAATCGCGGGTCTTAAAGTACAAATTTAAAACATTTTAAAAGCAATTAAGCTATAACATTTTTGATGAATTGCTTTATCCAGATTATGTTCCAATCGAAGCAGAATCTGAATATACCCCACTGATTGCAGAACGAATATATTTTTGCACGAGGCGCGCACAAAGTCAAGACTATAATTATAGCGACACCCACCTATTGGCGCCCAATTTCTGGCAAACACACACAGACGCACGGCGCACGCACACACAATCAATATCACGGTCAAGTTGAAAATCATTGAGAGCGGATGTTGATGTGGCTGTGGAGTGGGGAATCGGGGAATGGGAAATGGGGGTCGGGGCGGGGTGGACACATCGCAGATGTGTAAATGTCTGTGAAGGTCGTTGGTCGTCGGTCGGCGATCGCAGAAGGGCAGCCTGCTGAGAGAAGAGGAGAGGAGAGGGCGGGGATGACGAAGTGCGTGTGTCACATTAACCCAATAAAAAAGCAGATAGACGGAACCCTACGAGAGAGGAGGGGTTTATTTATATTCTATTTCGGCGGAGAGTGGGAGTCAAGGGCGAGCGATGCGCCGATCTCGGCCGATCTTCTTCGGCTTTCAAATTGGTCTTCTATGCCAAACGATGCCAACGAATTTCGCTCAGTTTCGAGGAAAATCGCGTCGCGCCAACTTGGGAAATGCGTTGCGTCGTGTCCCGTGAAAATCGAAATCGTCGAGACTAAGGCCCCAAAGCACCCGCAGGATTATCCCGAAAACAACAATTATAATACAATAACAATAATAATAATAACAGCAGCAAGCAGCAAACAAAGTGTGACCAAAGTGATATATGTGTGCCTATCTGTCTGCCCGTCTATTTGTAAACCCAGCGCTATTTTGGTTTCGCGCCCGCTTTGTGGGTAATTAGCGCAAAGTGTCGAGCGATTTTCCGTCTCAATTGAAGCGCTGCCCTTTGCCAAAAGTACTCGCTAAACAATGTGATGACTTAATGAAAAGTTAATACGTCTCTGAATAATTGCAGCTAATTGAAATATTAATCGTTCAACATTTATTTCGTGTGCGCCGAGCGAAAGTTGTCTCTATCTCGCTATTGGCATTGCCTGGCTAAAAATACAAGAAAGTCCACAGCTATACAATATAACAACAAGTTTTATTTATTGCCTAAATATATTTGTGTGCCGTATGTTTGTGTCCCGTCCATAAAGACGCTAGGCAAAGGCGTATAATTTTCTAAATTCTTGTGCTAGTAACACTTTCAGCACCAGCAAAAATTAAGCCATTAAACAATATATACCCGCCGAGAATTCGCAACAAAATCCACGGCAGCGGAACATAAAAAATTAATAAAAACAAAAACAAATATCTGGTATTTGCAAAATAAATAATCCAGCAACATGTCGACCTCCACGCGGAGTTCGGTTACGAGGAAGTCGTCGCTCTCGAAGAGCTCTAGTTCTGATAAGTCCACAAAGTCCTCGTCGAGCTCCTCGAAAGCCGCGGCTGCCCCCAGCGGAAACAAACAGAAAATGCAGTACACAAAGACCAGGGAGCGCATGGTCGATGGTAAGATCCCCATGTAGGGGTGTTTTGACCCCAATCATGAATCGGGCCAAACACGAGTTCGGGCCTCTAGAATTCGGTTCTTTTACGACATGCGATCATGCCTCAATGGCACTTCGATGCACTGAGCGCCGTCGTTAATGTCAAAACTGAGGGTTTCTGAAATCGTTTTCTTTGAACTTTTCATTGAGCAGAGATAGGGTGTATTTAAAACAGGAACTCATGCATGTAATTCCTAAAACAATTGAATGCTTGCACTTCCCTGAAAATTAGTATTATTAAAACATGAAAAAAGAATTTATTTTTGGGATACAAAATTTTACAATTTTTTTTTTTTTGATGTGTTATCGAATTTCAAAAATATAAAATCACTTACGTTTTTTTGTTGATGTTTAAATATTCCCGAAACCTAACTTTTATAACTCATAAATTCTTTACTTCCGCCATAAATTTAACATGTCTTTTTAATTAATGATTTAGTTGACATCGTTGACGAAACCCTTTAATGAGAAGGCGGCGTTTGCTTTTGTTCTTAGGTTTATTGGGCCAATAAAAATAAATTTAATTATCGCTGAGCACCCATAACAAACAACAACTGCAGCACATTGGCATTTTATAGGCCACTGCGTCAAAATTAAAGACATTTACCCGAATTATGACAATTAAAAATGGCGTTCGCCCTGACTTCAGGATGTGTGTGTGTTCTGCCAGCTGTGTGTGAGTGTGATTACGTTCGTTTGTTTTGGTGTGCGCCAATCAATTTTCGACTTTTATATTCACTCAGTCAAATTTCGTAATTAGCGTACGAACCTCATGTGGCTGCATCTGGCGGAATTTTGGTTTTCTTTATTGGCGGGCCAAGAAAAGCGGCCAAACCGAATATTGGCGCTAAGTTGCAGCAGCTCGTTAACCCACATCGCCATCAGACAGCAATGTTTATTACAATTCTATCAATGCTATCATACACTTGAAATTTTCAGGGGTATGGATTTAGAGAAGCAAAAAGAGTTCAGCAGGGGAATTAGGAGTAACGCCAAGAAGTAGGCAACAACTTTTACGAAACGTTCTCGTTGGCTTAAACTATATCTTTCGTTATAAAACCCAATTCCAGTTCATAATTAAAATTTTTTCTTCCGGTGTTCTTCTCAGATGTGCCTCTACCGCCCGCCCACAAACTCACCATGTCCGAGGTATACGACGATCCGAAGACCGGAAAACCGAACTTCGACGCCCTGCGTCAGCACTTCCTGCTGGAGGGGCGGATCGAGGAGGCGGTGGCCCTCAGGATCATCACCGAGGGGGCCGCTCTGCTACGCGAGGAGAAGAACATGATCGACGTGGAGGCACCCATCACGGTCTGCGGGGACATCCACGGCCAGTTCTTCGACCTCGTCAAGCTGTTTGAAGTGGGCGGTCCGCCGGCCACCACCAGATACCTCTTCCTGGGCGACTACGTGGACAGGGGCTACTTCAGCATAGAGGTATAGTAAACTCAACCCTTCCCACCATTTAACCACCAATTACTCTTGGATTTCAGTGCGTTCTCTACCTGTGGTCCCTGAAGATAACCTACCCCACCACCCTTTCGCTGCTGCGGGGAAACCACGAGTGCAGGCACCTCACAGAGTACTTCACCTTCAAGCAGGAGTGTAAGTTTCAAGCATGTTCATTCCACTATCTTAAGTAACAACTGAAACCTATAATGGTAGATTATTTAATTGCACTAATTGCAAATTGAGATGTTGCAAGCTCCCTCGTTAAATTTAATTTGACTCCTGTTGATTTACAAACAATATTCGAATGGCGAGCCGTTTCGAGCACTTTACGAGTGCTGTCATAGGCACTAAATGGCTTTTTAAATGCGCCTGCAGGCCATAAATCTCTCCTCCCTCATTAATTCGCGAATGTGGCCCATTGCAGGCATCATCAAGTATTCGGAAAGTATTTACGACGCCTGCATGGAGGCGTTCGACTGCCTGCCCCTCGCCGCCCTCCTCAACCAGCAGTTCCTCTGCATCCACGGCGGCCTGTCGCCCGAGATCTTCACGCTCGACGACATCAAGACGGTAATATAGCAATCCCGCGCTGAACTGTTTGCAGTTGACCACAAGTGCCTCCCTCCTTTCCGCAGCTGAACCGCTTCAGGGAGCCGCCGGCCTACGGGCCCATGTGCGACCTGCTCTGGTCTGATCCCCTCGAGGACTTCGGCAACGAGAAGACCACCGAGTTCTTCTCCCACAACTCGGTGAGGGGCTGCTCCTACTTCTTCAGCTACTCGGCCTGCTGCGAGTTCCTGCAGAAGAACAACCTGCTCTCGATCGTCAGGGCGCACGAGGCCCAGGATGCTGGGTAAGATTTACTCAAGTTTCCTTTCCTTAAATACTCTTCCCAAATCAATCCTTTCCAGCTACCGAATGTACCGAAAGAACCAGGTTACGGGCTTCCCCTCCCTGATCACCATCTTCTCCGCCCCCAATTATCTGGATGTTTACAACAACAAGGTATGGCATCTCTCCCCCTCCCTCCCCCTCTCGCCCTCCCTCTACCGCTGCTGCCCATCTTCCCTCCCTTTCTGGGTTGTTTATTTATCTTGCTGTTGTTGTTCCTTCCTTGGCTATTTTTAAATAACGAGATCTTTTTGGCTGCACTGCGAGCTGGTGCGAGTTCAAATCGCGCCGTGTTCGCAATAGCCTCTCTTCTTCCCTCTCTCTCTCCGGACCCCTCTCTCCCCTCTCCCCATTCCCCACCCTTCTCTCTCTCTCTCTCTCCGCTCGCGCTGGCTTGTCAACCCAACGAACCCCTTTGACCAAAGGCAGCCGTTCTGAAGTACGAGAACAACGTGATGAACATCCGCCAGTTCAACTGCTCGCCGCATCCCTACTGGCTGCCCAACTTTATGGACGTCTTCACGTGGTCGCTGCCCTTCGTGGGCGAGAAGGTAATAGGATGCCCCACACCCTTCAGTGTGCCACATTCTAATCAAAAATCCCCTCAAGGTGACCGAGATGCTGGTGAACATCCTGAACATCTGCTCGGACGACGAGCTGGTCGCCGGACCGGATGACGAGCTGGAGGAAGGTGAGTGTGGGGGCGCCGCCCGCGGCGATCTGTGTGTGAGTGTCGTAGTGCTTTGGTTATTGTGGGCCAGCTCGCGCACCCGTGAGCCACGAACTAATCTTCTATTAAACATTTTTCCGAACAATACCGAATACCGAAATACGACAACTGCAATCTACTACCACCCATAATATAATGTATGTACCGACACCAACCAACCAACCAACTTTCCACCCAAAACACGTCCAAAACACGACAAAAAGAGCTCCGCAAGAAAATTGTGCTCGTGCCGGCGAACGCGAGTAATAACAATAACAATAATACGCCCAGTAAGCCAGGTAAGCCAGGTGTTAAGCGCAGGCCCAAGTTAAAGCCAGCAAATACAGCCACTGCCACTGCCACTGCTACTGCCAATGCCAATGTCAATGCCAAAGCGAATGCGAATGTTACTGCCAAAAACGCCTGAGCCAACAAGAACGCCTGAGCCAAAGAATACAAACATAGAAGAGCTTAGTGATAGCTTTGCGCCGCGCTTTGATCGGCTTTTCCGCGAGTTTTCCAGCTGATTTCCATTCCATTTCCCCGTGAACCACGAGACCCCGTCTAATCGAGCCCTCAATTCGCAGCTTCCATGTCGGCGCTGCGCAAAGAGATTATTCGGAATAAGATCCGGGCCATCGGCAAGATGTCGCGCGTCTTCTCCATTCTCAGGTGCATATTGTCCTCGGGAAAGCCCGGATTCTATTCATATAACCAATTGTTTGAACACCCCGCAGGGAGGAGTCGGAGAGCGTGCTCCAGCTGAAGGGTCTCACGCCCACGGGCGCCTTGCCAGTGGGCGCCTTGTCCGGCGGAAGGGATTCCCTCAAGGAGGGTAAGTCATTGCCTGGGTCATTTCCCCGGGTCTTAGATTGTCAAGTGTCCTGTTTACTTTGCGGCTTTTTCGGATCAATAAGTTCCCAGTTAATTGTTTACTCAATACTTTGTGAATAGATCAAGGAACAACTTTTCCGATGGGAAACTTTTAAATTATGTCTGCCATTTATCGAGCTCCCATCGATAAAACGTTTATTTGATTCTGATTTAAATTAAAGACTTTCCCCAATAAGATGTAGAGCAACTTTAAGGGACGTGCTCCTTCTGAGCCTTCCTCTAAATCACTGCTATTGATGGTTATTAATGGCGCTCCTCCCTTTCGTTTCTGGAAACCCAGCTCTGCAAGGACTGACCGCATCCTCGCACATCCACTCCTTTGCGGAGGCCAAGGGCCTGGATGCGGTCAACGAACGAATGCCGCCGCGCCGTCCGCTTTTGATGAGTGCCAGCAGCAGCAGCATCACCACGGTCACAAGGAGCAGCAGCAACACTAGCAACAACAACAGTAACAACAACAACAGTAGCAACACGACGACAAAGGACATCAGCAACATTAGCAGTAATGACACCACAACCGTAACCAAAACGAGCAGGACGACTGTGAAATCGGCCACCACCAGCAACGTGCGGGCAGGATTCACCACCAAGAAGTTCTCCTAGTGGGTGGACCCCCTGCTCAATGATGTCTTTATTATTTTCGTTTGGACTCTGTTCCCCATTTAGTTGTACTCCTTGTTATGGTAAGATCAGGCACACAATTAAGTTTCCGCGAAAGTTCTCTGCAACTTATGAAAATTCAATTGAGTGCCCGACCTTAGCTTTAGTTAAATTTTTATACAAACCACTTCTCCTAATACTAGTCAAAGAAAAAGAGTGGACCTTCGATCGCACAGCTTTCGATTGTCGGTGCACACGTTATAGAATCTCTCCGCGAAAATCCCGAGGCAAATCACACCCATACTCACCTGCAATATTAGCAAGAAATTTATACGCGACATGAAAATCCGTTGAATAAAAAATGGCTGGAAATAGCTCAACAAAATTATTGTTTGCTGCGATTTTTAATGGGTAGAAAATCGGGGAAAATAGAATTCTGTGCAACTAAGTTGGGTAAACGAAAACAACTTTTAATGTGAACCAATTTTTGCAATGGAGTACAAATAAGTAAACACATCTCTGGTGCTTTGCTAATCAAGCGTTAAAGATCAACGCGATTCGATGTAATAACAATTAACGAAGTGCAAACAGTGGAGGAGTGAACGTCATTTGCGGTGGAAGTTTCCCCATATTTTATTTCAATTTAACTGTTGCAATAAAGATAAGTTCAGACAACCTGAGGGAGCAGATAAAGATTTACAACGCAGAGTGTCGACAATCTATCATCGCCAGACCAAATGTTTCCCATAAAACTTGGTCTGCGACAATGGCATCAACTGTCGAGATTAATATTGACTTTGATCTCACCTCTCGTCTCTTGCAAGCACTTATGAAAGTTCTCTAAAAATGGAAAGGCTAAGTGTTCATAATCATGCTATAAATGACAGGGACAACAAGTCATACAATTTAACATTAAAACAAGGAAGGAGTTATTCATTAAAAAGACTCATCTCATCTTAGGGAATGAGTAAAAAAAAATGTGTCATTCTATTGAGTGTTCATAGTAGTGCATTCATACAATATTATCACAAAGTCAATGACTATTTTTTCCAGTACTCAAAGTCAGTACTCAGTCAATCGGTCACTAGAGTAAACCGTGATTATCATACACATAAATCTAGGTACGACACGTCGTACTAAATATAACATAAACCTACGACAATAGCGCCTATTTCCATTGTGTTCTCAGATGTAGTAATAAAGAAGAGGCCTAGCTCTATAAACAGATCACTGTTTGTGGGATTAAAGTGGCATTGAGGGGTCGCCGAGAGCAGAGCCTGTTAAAACGGAAGATAAACTCTTTTCAAAGTTTACCGATGTGGCGGCCCAAAGTCAGGAGAGTGCAAATAGCACGCATACGCAATGTGTGACGCTAAGGGTGCCCCTTGATTCTGTTTATCAATTCCGCGGAAGACAAACAACGGCACCGCAATTCCATCTGCAGACATCGGTCGAGATAATGCGAAGATAACGCCGACCAGCAGCCGCTTCACGTGCAAGTTCCGCCGTAAATCAGCTCATTGGCACGGGATCCGCGGGAGACTTCGAGCCAGAGCCCGGCAGAGGAACGATCGTTTAAAATGTGTTTATGGTCCGGGGACCCTTAGTTCATAAAGGCTTTGCACGTTTTTATGGATTTATCTCGGCGGAGTCTTAATTTAAATTGAGACAAACGTTTTGCAAGCGCAAGCAGTTTGCTTAATCGGTTTTTGGAGTTCGCTCTGCGGACTACGGAGTATCCTGTAACGGATTTTAAATAGTACAATTAATTATTTTATTATTTTAGTATTATAACTTTAGTGTTTATACGATTTTGAATACGAACTGCATAATCTGCGATTAAATAATTTTACTTCTGCTGTTAAAAAACTATAACTAGTCACTTAAATTACACAGACATGTTGTACGTGTCTGAACCCCCCAAGCGACTGCAAAGTGTGTGGTTGTATTGTGGATATAGTACCGGGCTTAATCCCCGACTGCCGGAACGATCGTTCTCCCCATGTGTGAGTGCTGGCAGTTCGGGTCTGCCGATCGGCGGGTGGATAATTCGCCATATAACGGCGCTTGCGGCTGACTTCGGTGTTAGTCGCTAATTGAGATCCACTCGGGACAGATTCCCAGACAACCCCGAGACGACGCAATCGTTCCGCGCTCTTTCTAATCAACTCGATGGCCTGAAAGAATCTGCGCCTCAAGCTGAGCTGTGATATAAACCCCCATTTAAATAGAATCCGCAACCGCGCCGAAAATAGTTGCTCTCAATTAATCGCGATTTGTGCGTCTTAACGAAAATGCATTCCCTGCTTTTGGTCGGAGTACTTTTTGGTGGCCTGGTGGCCATGTCCCGGGCGGCAGTCACCACCCAACCACCTCCTTTGATCAGAACCCTGAGTGCCGGAGGCGATATCGGACCCCAGTTTCAAGTGGAGAAGGCCAGGGAGCCAGAAGGTAAGTCTGAGCTGCCAATTACAACGTATCTAAATTGGAAAATTTCCAACCAAACGTGCGAATACCAAACTGAAGCATTACGCTTAGAACGTGAAATTATTTAAATTACTCGAACATTTATGGTTTTCCAGTTCTATTATGCAACGAGAACTTAAACTTATCAAGGTTGCTACATCTAAGTTACTTACGTTTACTACATAAAAAGGTCATTGTAACTAAGTAAATAAATGTGACAGAAAAAAAACAAACCGCAAATGAAAAAAAATTCCGACCATAAAGTATAAAAAATAGTGGAACAAAAACCACAACTAATTGGACTGTAATATGTAACAGCTCGAAACCACAATTACTTCATTCCTATAATTTGTTGATCAGTCACCTCAAAAAATAATCACCCGAAAAAAAATATCAGTAGAGAAAAAACAGATCAGTCATGAACTTTTAATTTCATTGAAAAGTCAAAATTAGCAGTCAACAGGTGAAGCTAACTGTAACCTGTCTCAGTGTCGAGGTCGCTGGGCGGTGGGTGGTGGGTGGGCATATGCTCCCCCATACTTAAGCTACCTCAGTTGAATATTAATTACAATTCGCAAAGCGATAATCATCACCGCAAAAAAAAATCAATGAACGCACGCTCCGAATCGTGACAGGGAAGTGCAAATGTCATAATAGGCCAAAAATTAATTTACATTCTCCCAAAATGTATTTATTACGGTGGCAAGATCATGTTAATGTGGATAATTTCGATTTTTTACGAACAAAGGTCTCAAAAATATGATTTATGCATTTTTACAACACAGGCTTGTCGTATAATTAGGAAAATCTAGTTAAATTAAATTTTGAAATATAATTACTGACTGAGGAAAGTTATTTCGGGCGAATTAATTAAAAATTTTAAAGCTGAGAAATATCTTCGTTACATTTCTTTCTTACATTGAAATATAATTACAGACTGAGGAATGTAAATTTGGGTGAATACATTAAATATTTTTAGCTGAAAAAATTCTATCCTACATTGAAATATAATTATATACTGATAAATGTAAACTCGAGTGAGTAGATTAAATATTATTCGGTTGAGAAATTTCTTCCTTACATTTAACAATGAGAAAATTATACATATTAAGTTTTATTGCATTCATTAAATCAAAAAAAGGAATTTTAGGGGTTTTTTTTCCAACAAAATGTGGAAAAACCTGACTGGAAAAAAGTGATTTAAAAGTCAAACTAGAAACGTTTAAGTGCCAACTGGATTTTACTGCCGGTGGGCAATTAATACGTATCATGTGACTAAACCAACGATTTCCATTCCGATTTCGTTTTAATTAGTTCTCATATTGTCAATCCGATTTTAGATGCGGAATTCTGGCACAAAGTGGGTCTCAGCCAGTTGAAAAAGACGATCAAGCAGGCGGAGCGGGTTAAGGAGCACTCCTACCGGAAAAAGGCCCGGAACATCATCATCTTCATCGGAGATGGCATGGGCATCTCCACGATCAGTGCGGGTCGCATCTACAAAGGGCAGTATTTGAAGCACGGATATGGGGAGGAGGAATCACTGGTCTTCGATGATTTCCCCAACACCGGAATGGCGAAGGTAAACGGCGTTGGAATTACAATTCGAATTTCGAAACAAGGGAATACTTAAAGTTATAGGGTAATATTAACGATTGCCATTCACTTGCAGACCTACAATGTGGACAAACAGGTTCCGGACTCGGCTGGCACGGCCACGGCGATTTTCTCGGGATCGAAAACCCATTACGGAGCCATCGGAATGGATGCCACCCGCTCGAAGACGAATGGCCAGCAAGGTCGCGTCGAAAGCATCATGGAGTGGGCTCAGAAGGCGGGCAAGCGCACCGGAATTGTCACCACCACCAGGATCACCCACGCCACGCCCGCCGCCACTTACGCCCACATCTACGACAGGGATTGGGAGTGCGACACGGAGGTTCCCTCGGAGTCGGTGGGCAAGCATGTGGATATTGCCCGGCAGCTGGTGGAGAACGCCCCTGGAAATCGGTTCAATGTGATCCTGGGAGGAGGAATGTCCCCGATGGGCATCCTAAATGCCTCGGAGGTGAGGACTACGATCTTCGAAGGACCCACGGAGACCATTTGCAGGCGCGGGGATAACAGGAATCTTCCTGGCGAGTGGCTGGCCCACCACGCCAACGATTCTGTGCCGCCAGCGTTGGTGCACAACCGCAAGGACTTGCTCGACTTGGACGTCAAGGAGGTGGACCACTTGATGGGCCTGTTCCGCAACAACCACATCACCTACTCCGTGGCCAGGGAGGAGGGGGAGCCTTCCCTGCAGGAAATGACCGAGGTGGCTTTAGGGGTCCTCGAACGAGGTGACGCGTCCCGGGGATACGTGCTCCTGGTGGAAGGAGGTCGCATCGATCAGGGTCACCACATGAACTATGCCCGCGCTGCTCTCCACGAACTCTACGAGTTCGACCTGGCCATCCAGGCAGCCGTGAACATCACTGATCCCGAGAAAACTCTGATCCTGGTCACAGCGGATCATTCCCACGCGGTTACCTTTAACGGCTACGCCCTCCGAGGAGCCGATATCCTGGGAGCAGCCAACTCGCACGAGAAGAACGACCCCATGGTCTACGAGACCATCTCGTACGCCAATGGTAAGATACATCTAACTTACAGTCATAAATACCAGAGAGTGTACAACCATTTGCATTTACAGGACCTGGCTATTGGGATCACTTGGCCAATGATTCGCGGCCCCACAACAGCTCCAATATGTGGATGCCTTTGAAGCAATTCACTGACGAGGAACGCGCTGCCCCCACTTATCGGCATTTGGCCACTGTTCCGCGAAAGGACGAAACCCACGGGGGCGAGGATGTGGCCGTGTTCGCCTATGGTCCTGGTTCCAGTCTGATCCGCGGGGTCTTCGAGCAGAACTATCTTGCCTATGTGATGAGCTATGCCGGCTGCCTGGGCCCCGCCAAGGACTTTGATGACTCCTGCAAGCAGGCAAAGGATGATGACGAACAGTCGGAAGATCATCTGAAAAGTAGTGCCACCTCTTGGGGAGCCTCTTTACTTCCCATGGTGACTGCCCCCGCAGCGGCTTTTCTACTCGGCTTCTTGCTGTAATTAATAGATCGAGTTTTAATACTTGTAGTTAAAGACTAAGTTTTACGGATTGTTTTGTTGAATGTGAGTGAGCGAAAGAGGGAGTGATCATTGTTATTTACAAAATAGATACATTTAAAACTTTAAAACTGGGTTTTACTTGAGTCTTGGAAAAGGTAAAAACGGATTCCTATAAAAGTTTTTACACTTTTATGAAACTGATTTTGAAATGTTATATCCTTTCACATCGCTCGTGCCACTTTGTATTACGCGGAACATAAATAGGAAACTCCCGTCATTAAAACTTCGCTATTTTGATTCATTTAAATTAGTTTACTAATGCTCGCAATGACACTCTCGCGCTGAAGCTTTCGAAGTGCATTCCAATCGTTCGATCCATCGTTTATACAAAACCCACAAGGGGCCTTAAAGAAAAGCTCAACAAATCAGGACAAGAGAGTTCCTAAGACTCTAGGCCGCCTTGGCAGGAACGGTAGTCTTGGAAGCCGCCTTTGGAGCCTCTGGTTCCGCATCCAGTTTCTTGACGCGATGCAGATCGATGCACTGCCGGAACTGGGCCACCTCCTCCATGCACTTCAGGGTCTCTCCAGGATGCGCACGGTAGCAGGCGAGCAGTTGGGACTTAAGATCCTGGCAGGGAGGCACTTTGTGTGTGGACGCGGTGCTAACGAATCGCTTGTGCACATTCTCCACTGCGTTGGCGTACTCCTTCTCCAGGATGGTGTTCGTCTTCTTGAGGTTCTCCTCCAGCTTCGTCATGCGCTCCTTCCACAGCTCGTCGTTCTTGACCAGCTCCTGGTTCATCTGGCGCTGCACATCCGCCGCGCTAATGGTGTGTCCGCCTCCCTGCACATAAATGGGAACCGCCGCAGGATAGCCCCCTTAGGGACAGGAGCAGCAGGCGCAGGAGCTGGCGAGGATGTGGCTGGCTTGGCAGCAGCTTTCGGCTTGGACGCTGGCTTTGAATCCTCCGCAGCGGCGGCGTGCTCGCGAGCTAAAACACAGATCGAAATTAATCAATAATAGTATGCTGAAAAAACCCTTCAATCTAACCGTTAACTGCTTAAAAAACGTGTTATCCCCTCAAAATAGAATTTATAAAAATGTCAAAATCTAGCAGACATCAGTAGTGGAGTTCTACTGTATTTGGCATAAACAATCGGCCTTTTTGACAATTGTTGCATAACACAGGGCAGTGTTCAATGTCGGATTTCCGGCTATTCTTCAATAATATTAGTGGAAAGTTTACCTTGCTGGGAGATTCCTGCCTTTAACCGCTTGACGACATCATCGGATATATCAATAACGCCGGCTGGAGTTGGGTTTTCCATCGAAACGGATCGGGGTTCGCGGGATTGAGACTGTCGGGCTCCCATCTTTTGAAGGTCTTTTTTTGCTTTGTCCTGTTGCAAAACCTGTAACGAAAACGGTTATAAATTTGTCGCAGGTTTTTGTTAGATGCAGCCATCCTCAGTTTTGTTTATTTTGGCAATTTTATTAACCTTTTCGCTGAAAAACTACGGGCCAACAAAAAAGACGTGCTTAGAGTGACCTTGACGCGGTAGCACGAAAATCGCTAAAAAACATCGATGTCAGCTGATTGCTAGAGTGGCCAGAGTTTATCAATAGTGTTGTCTAGCTTATTGTCCAAAAATGTAAATTTGAATTTTTTGATATCATAGACCCGCCCACGATTTAAAATCAAACCAACTCCAGTGATTTGTGTTATTATGGTTTAAGCTTTTTAATGCCTCGTTCGTAATTGTTATTGTGAGTGGTGTGACTTATTTAGTGGCTGCTTTTATTCTGTTCAGACATACATATTCATGTTCGGTTGTTTTAATTCGAAATACTTGCTAATTACATAAATGTGGCGTGCACTTATCGATACATCCGTCGAGTTCCGTCCTAACGTATTTTTAAATGTTTATGAACCGCTTCGATTTCGTATGTGGTTATTTTGTATTCCATATCACTGTTGGTGGTTTTTAAATGTTTTTTCATATCGCCATGATATAATCGACTTGTTCGCGATTCAAGTTTAATTAGTTATTTAGTTCAAAATTCTATTCTCAATATACATATACAGTTAATTATACAAAACTTTCGAAATTACTATGTTTGTCAATTTGTTAGTTTCTCTATTTTCGCTTATGCTGAATGGACTTTTCACACAAGATCGTTTAGTTTTCCATTTCTAGTGGCTCATAATTATTATGAATCAGCTGTCGGGCTTTTTAATTTCGATTCTATCAATAAAATGCTAATGGTTTAGTACACTTGTATGCTAGGAGGAAAATCACACATATATTTTAATTTTTTTTACTTGTAGGGATAGTTTGGATATTTCGTATGTACACTTATTAAGTTATTAATTAGTTTCTGGGAGTAGGCGTGGGGCGTTATCTTTGAAGGATCCCCGATTTCTGGCTGAGCTATATGGTCGTGTTTACAAAGTTGGTCGGTTTGCAAGGCGTGCGCTTTGGATAGTGTTTGGGTTCCATAAATAAGGGGAAATATTACCGAACCGAAAGCAAACAAAGATCAGAAACATAAAAACAATTTGTAAGAAATATCACGTAATGCATTTTTATTTAAGTTTTAAGAGGCTCTGCTTCAGTGATCTATTCTGTGTTTAATTTGTTAGACTTTAGACTGCCAGCCGATTGCTGAGGATTTTACATTTTTACGTGTTCTCATAAGATATAGTTTGTATGTTTATATATTCATATTTTTACCCAATTTCTCTTGGCGCATTTAAAATTAAAGTTTTTTTTTCCATTTTGTGGTTTTGTTTTTATTTTTATGGTTTGGTATTACTTATAGACAAATTTCATATTATAGCTATGATTTATTAGCTAGCGTTATGTAATTTTACTTTGAAGGGGCTTTGTATTTAAATCGAAACGTTAATGCGAATTGTTTTGTTGTGTACTTCTAACGCTATTTATACGCTCTCTAACTTAGTTACATGATTTTGTTGCATAAACAAAAGAGCTGCCCCACCGCCCGTCTTCATTTTTGCCGGGGATTTCCCCTCCGCTTGAGAAATGCGCGCAGTTAGTGTTTAACAAATCGGAAAAATATATATGAACACATCTAGCGAAAGCGCAGTCCACGAATGTGTATATATAGTACAGATATACGGGTATCGTAGGCGTTACAATAAGATACATAATATAACATAGGAGGGGCCTTACATGTCAGAGCGTTGCTTAAAGCTAAAGAACGTCCCCTCTACTGCACTTGATCATCGAAGTCACTATCATCGTTTAATTGCGCCCCGAAATCGGCTTCAACTTAGGTTACATGTGGATTGTATATGCTCTTGCATATGGGTTGTATGGATTGGTATCGCTATCGCTAGTGCCTATAGTCTAGGGTTAGGGACACTCGCGGAACGGGGTGTCCTTTGTTTCTTTTACACAAATATTACACTTACAATCGAGTTATTATGTGTGTACATGTTCAATATTCTGCTTGAATCGGGCTGGGATTTTGAGTTAACAACGAAAAAATGAGCCGGCCGAGGGCAATAGTCAAATGCAAAACAGAATAAATGCCTGCGTGTCCTGGCTCCTCCCCAATCCCTTCCTGACCCTCAATTAACCACCGATCTGTTGGCTGCTCTCTGGGTACCTCAAATCAATTGAACAGTGCGGTGTGTTGCAGTTTCTTGCAGCCAAGTTGCAATCGTTTATGTACTAAATTATAAATTAAATTATTCATAGGCTAGTTAATTAATAATAAGCGCGCCCAACGTTCTAACATCTGGGAGCAGAAACCAAAAATGTCAAAAACAAACGAAAATGTACAAAAAAAAGAAGAAAGCGCTGCGCTTCGCTCTGCTCTGCTACTCTTTTCTCACTGCTCTTGTCCTCCGTGTCTGGCAGGGACCTGGTCATCCTGCCGTTTTGGATACTTTCAACATGTTTTACCGCATATATAAAGCAAGTATTATATATATTAGGTATATATAACTTTATATTCTACATGTATAGTGTTTGCTGAGTTCTGCTGTTTGTCTACTGTGTCGTGTCCAGCGTCGCAACCTAAACGATAAAATATTATTTGGCGTTCCCCACGCCACCGCCGCCGCTCTGCATGCCCACGCCCACACCGCCGCCGCCTCCCCCGCCTCCCTGACGCATCCGTATCGACGGGCGACGCTCCGGCGTGTCGTAGGGCGGCCTCGAGGAGTTGGTGGCCGCCATGGAGTCGTCCATGTTGAGTCCGTTGCCGCCGATCAGCTGGCTGCCGTTGCCGCCTCCGTTTCCTCCCAGCATCGCCAGAGATTGGCCGCCCTGCAGCTGTTGTTGCGCTGCATTGCCGCCTCCGCCGCCCAGAGCAGCGTTGACCTTGTGCTGCTGCTGTTGCTGGTGCGAGGACGCAGCAGCTGCTGCAGCCACCGCCGCTGCTGCGGCAACCGCATCATGGCCCGCCTGTCCGTCCGCTCCGTCCTGCGCCTGCTGAATGGCCTGCGGATTCCTCGGACCGCCAAACTTCAGCAGGTTCCAGTCAAACACGTAGTCATAAGTGAAGCCCAGACGGTGGAACAGGTTCCGGAAGAGCTTGCGCAGGTGGCAGTAGTCGGGGCGCTGGTCGAAATGCATCTGGCGACAGAAGTTTAGATAGTTCACAAACTCGCTGGGGAAGCCCTTGCACAGCACCACAATCGAGGTGGACAGCTTCTTCTCCGAGATTCTCTCGTATTTTTGCCTCTTGTTGGCTGCTTTTAGTCCCTGCCAGGGCAGGGCGCCCAAATTGAAGTACATGAGGACATAACCCAAAGATTCCAGGTCATCTCGACGGGACTGCTCGATTCCCAAATGTGTGTTGATGGAGGCATAACGGGCGGTGCCCGTGAGGTTCTTGTTTTCCCGATACGGGATGTGCTTCAGCGAGCGAGCATCTCTGAACTTTTTGGCCAGGCCAAAGTCGATGATGTACACCAGATTGCCCTTCTTGCCGAGACCCATCAAGAAGTTGTCCGGCTTGATGTCGCGATGGATAAAGTCCCGCGAGTGGATGTAGTCGATGCGGGAGATCATCTGGTCCGCCAGCAGCAAAACCGTCTTCAGTGAGAAGCGGCGCGAGCAAAAGTTGAAGAGGTCCTCCAGCGAGGGACCCAGTAGCTCCATCACCATCACATTGTAGTCGCCCTCGCTGCCGCACCAGATTATACGCGGTATACCTATACCGCCCTGCATCGTTTTGTAGAACTTGGACTCGATGTGCAGCTGGGGATGCTTGGTGCGGATGCACTCCAGCTTGATGGCCACCTCCTCACCAGTGTTGATCGTGGTGCCCAAGTATATATCGCCGAATGATCCAGAGCCGATCTTGCGACCCAGGCGGTATTTGTTGCCCACGCGCAGCTCCATCTTGGAAGTCTGTTTCGTGGGTTTCTGTGTGGCTGGATGTGGGGTTACCTCGGGTCGCAGTTGCCTTTCTGCGGGAATAGATAATATATGCATTAGTGCTACATCAATTGGAATTAATTGATAATAAACAAATGTATGGGAACCATATGATTGCAAATTGCTGCAAAAGGCTATGGTAAAGTCACAAGAAAATTAGATGCAATAAAAATCAAATGATATCCAAAATTGACTGGACTGACTTGTAGATGTGTGATTATTATCACGTTAGTGTTTACAAAAAATGTGCGAAATCAGTAGGCAAAATCACTAATAAAGCTCAGTATATTTCGATGCCGATACATACTTTTCAATTACCGATATTATCTTAGAGCAGGTATTAAAAGTTGGCACTCAATTTACAGTTCTTTTCTGATTTTCTTACCTTGCGCTGTCCTCTCGTCCAAACTCTTTCTCTTCCTATCCAATTTTTTCAAGGCAGTCGCTCTACTAGGCAATTTTTTTTGTTGTTTCTGAAAAAATGGGAAATATTCTTTAATTTCTTGGGCTATTGGGAATATTAAAATATGCGATCAGCGTAATCCCGAAATCTAAGTTTTTCTGTCTGATAAGGATTTGTGTGAATTAAAAGCAACAAAGTATCGCACGACAACAATCGATATTTAAAATAGAAAACTGTTAGCTTGGAATAAAGAGGGAGATAGAAATAAGCTTGGCTTACGCTGACAAACACAAAAGAGTAAACAAAAACAAAGTAAAAGAAAAGACACTAACCATTTGTATCTTAAGAAATCTAATGCACAATGGAAAAATGTAAATACCCCGAACCACCGACAAAAATAAGTGGCTCTGGCACATACGGGATATTTGATTACAAATGGGAAAAACTACTGCTATAATATACTAGAAATTAATATATGTAGCAGTTTTCAAAAAAATCTACTTTTTATATGGTGAAATTGTAAATTCTTTTTGAGTGTAATTCAACGTGACGACATATATAACACTAGAATAGTGAATCAGCAATCAGAAAAAACCACGAAAAGATTAACAACAAAAAGATACAAGAAACGTGTGTTTGTGTGTGCGTGGAGTAAACAATTGCCGACAAAAGAGGAAAAAATCAAATAAAACGCAGCGACTGTGAAAATGACACATAAATGACACTTTCAGTGGGGAAAACAAGCACAAACAAATAGTGAAGGTAAAACGCATAACAAAAAGGAAAAAGAAGCAACAAGCTGAAAGTTTTCACTTGCCGGCAAAAATGACAAAAAATTAAATTTAATTGTTGTTTTTGGGCAACACTTTTTTTTTTTCTCCCTTCCCCTCTCTAGACAACTCATTCTGTGCGCTTTCTTTTATCGCTCACGCATTTAGATCGCTCACGCTCTTTTCCTTTTCCCCCCTTTTGTTCCTCTCTCCGACTGTTCTAACCTCAAAACTTGCAAGCATTTGTTGTTCTCGCTTTTGACTTTGATTTATTTTACCGAAACGTACGGTTTTTTATTGGTGCCACCTATGTTTTACACAGAAAATAAAAAAGTTATTTTCGTGTGTTGACAAATTAACTTTTTTTTTTGCAACCAAGTTTTTTGTTATGTTTTTATTGGTTTCACATAAATGTTTTTATTTACTTTTTTGTGTTTTTTTTTTTCATAAATTGGTGTTCAGTTCTTCACTGGGTTGCACTTAAGGGTATTTAGCAGCTGTGAGAAAATAAATAAATGTGAGCTGATTACAATTGCAAAACAGCTGCACGTTGCGTTGGCGGCTGCCGAAAGCTTCCGCAAAAAAAAAAAAAACATGCACAAGAGAACAAAGACATTAAACAGTTCTTCCAACAGGCGCCACAAATAAAAAACATTCATAACAGTGAAAACCAAATATTAATATTACACGAAAAATAAAACCAAACAGGGCAGCTTCTGACAAACCGAAAAATCTGACAGCTGTATGTTTGCAACTAGCTTAGAAACGTCAATGGCCTCCCAAAAACTAACGGTACTCTCCAAATGCACTGCGAATAACGGGGCTGATAAGCAATATCCGATAAAGGCGGGTGGAAAAGGGAAAACCAAGAAATACTGTGGGTCAAACTAGCCACTTACCTTCTCGGCAAATTTTTCCTATTTCTTATTCTGCGTTGCCCACTTCCGCTGCTGGCGTCGCTGCTTCTTCTTCTAATTCGACTGAAATCGAAATCGAATTTTTTAATTGGATTGATTCTGCCACAGTAATTTTCATTTTCTTTGTTTTAGACCCGACTTTTGTTTTTGTTGTACTTGCTACTATCACACACACACTAACGCACTTTTGGGGCCACACGCAAGCGCATTTTATGCAATAATTTTAAAAATAATGCTTTACTGCCATATTTGTTTGTTTATTTATCTTTTTTTCATTGTTTTCATGGAATTTTAGGGGTAGGATTTTAACAGCAACGTAGACATAATTCAGTCATCAAAAATAAGCGAAACGGAACTTGAAATCTTATAAAAAAAAAACCAAACTTATGCGAGTCGTTTGCCCTGGCAATAGATTTGTGTACACTAGTTGTCCCGCTCGCACTCACGCTGTTTTTACCACGAGCACGTTGCTATCCCTCCTGCTTCAGCATTTTCACACCAACACAACGCCGAGGGGCACTTACACACACACACGCACTAGCAATGAGACACTAAAATGGTGCTGGGAAATTCGAGAATTAAAGCGCGTGGTATCCGTCGTATTTCCCGCTTAGTAACGATTTCTTTGATCCGCAATTCTACTGCCCACTTACGGTTTTCATGAATGCTGCGCTTTTCTTTTAATTTGCTTGGCTATTCAACATAGATTTTGACGATTTCGACGACTTTACAAATAGAGACGGAACAAAGCCGATGTTTATTCGATACTATTGATGGGAACACGAATGTGGCAACACCGATAATTTCCAGGTGAACATCGATAAGCATCGAAAATGTTTAGTTTTATCAAAAACTATTTTAAATTGTAACAAATGTATCTAGTATAAAAACAAGAGTTTAAGATTTAGCTCCCAATCTGCTTTTATTTAAACTCACTGTGGCGCTACGACCAAAACACTTTAATCAATAGGTGGCGCCAAAGTTCAAACAAAAACGGAATGAGTGGCAATACCAAAAGCGTTGACAAAATATACTAGATTACTATTTTTTTGTTTTAAAATACCAACTATGAATATCAGAGATACCGTCCTGGTTGCAATAGCTATAGCTATTTATTAACACAAAATTTTTTTCAAAAAATTTGTAGCAACCGGATATAAACTATTAATGAAATAGCTCAAACTTCAGTAAATTGAAAAAATTTTACGCCGATGTTTAGGGATGTTATGGGGGGTCGGTGGAGCAGCAGGTAGAGCGCTGGTCTCCGATCCGGAAGGTCTCGAATCCCAGGCTCCCCGAGAAAAAGAAACGGTCTCTTTTTCCAAATCTCCACCACTTCTATGTTTTATCGCTCACCTAATAATAGTAACAAATTTTGGCTCCCCGGACCCGCACACCCCCTCGTCCACGTTACTATGGACACAATAATAGAACTTTCGTCACTCCTAGATGGCGCCAGGTGCTAACCCCACCGCTAGGATAAGTTGCTACTGGTTAATCACCGTACGATCGAAAATCAAAAATTATTGGATCCTCTACCAAAATTGTAGAGGCCCTATGCTCCCGGGATGCAACTTTAAAATCGTACTAAAAATTGGTAAGGTGTGGAAGTCCAGAATTGGGTCTCCTATTGCAATTCATAGGAAACTTGGAAAAATCTGACATGGACAGGGGTCAAAATCTCGACCACCGGAAAATTAAAAATTTTGAAGGCAGTTTTATCAAGGATGTGATTACACATGTTTAGAGGTATGCCACTTTGGAATCTGACTAAAATTGACAAAGATATGGGTTTCGGAAATCCAAACATGGCAAAATCTGACATGGACAGGTGTCAAAATATCGACCATCTCCAGAATTACAAATTTAACGCAGGTCGTTTTGCAATTCCATCATAAATCTTTAGAGATATGCCACTTTGGAACCGGAGTAAACTTGGTAAGTTTGGGGACTCTTGTCAGTGATGAAGAACACATTTTTCGTTATTGCAATATACCAATAAGCCAATTTTAAGTTAACGAAATACCTGAATTGCTGCAATACGAAACCACCGACCCATCATTTCCCACTTCTCCCACATTCTGTATTTTCCGGCTGTGAAACACAAGCAAGAGTGACATAAAAAGGAAGCAAGGGTAGATTTGTATGTATGCAGGTAAATTGTCTATAGGTTGGGTGTTTTATTTTGATATTCGACTTGGGGTAGATAAGCAATCACTCAAAATTGATAAAGAAATGGGGCAATAGAGAGAAGTGGAGAACTCGAAACTGGAACTGCCAAAATTGTATTAAAATATTGATAGATAAACATTCCTAATGGAATTACCTGCATATACATATTTAATTTTAGATTTATTTATTCTAATGACAATTATACGAAATCATTGTTTTTTCTATTTCGTTGGATCGCTTAAAAGATGTACGAAAACCCGCCTTTGTATCTCATTGGCCAAGAAAAAAAGAGAAAACAAAGCAAGTCAACGAGGCAATTGAAGATACAACAAATAAAACTTGAGAACAACCCGTTTTACCTCACGCACACTCGCACACACTATCTCACTGCAACTCACACACAGATACTCTCACGATCGTTGGCGAATGGAAACCGTCGTCATTTCGACCGATGGTCACCGAACACAAAAAGTAAAAAATAAACAAAAAAGGTGAGAAACAATAAAAAATGTTTAAGTATAGGTGGCTCGTGTATGTAAATGATCCAAGTATTTTGCACTGTCAAAAAAAGGTGTCGAGTTCAACGATCGTCAAAAAATAATTGTCATTTAAAATAAATCTGTATTAAAATAGTTACAAAATACAATAAGGCATAAATGGTTTGAAAATACGTTTGGTCTGTTTTCAGTGTCCCTTGTGTTTCTGCACATTTCCTGACTGTCCGTCGTTGGATTTCTTGTTTACAAAATATTTCCGCAACACATGTCGCACTTCTGGAGGCTTTCAGCAATCGGATCCCAGTTCTTCCGACTGCCCCGCCCCCTGGCCCCACGCCCCCTCATCTTCTCCTTCTAACGCAGCAGCTATGTTGAAAAAGCGCCATTTGGTTTCGTTTAGCAGTCGACTTTAACTTTTTGCTTTTTTTAAACATGTCGGCGGCTTAGATCAAATAATGCGATTTCATGGCAAGTCGCAAAATGTCAAGCGGTCTTTGCATCCACCTCCCCTCCCCTTTTCCGATGCATTTCGACCTTTCTGCTCCAATTTGATTACGAAACATAAAAAGCCGGGGGGAAAATTAATTTCACTCTGTTGATTTTTTTCTATAAAGCGCAAATATTTTTAATTAATTCAAAATATTTTTTGCACTTTTTTTGCCAAGTTGTTTATCAACAAGTTGCCGGGCTTTGAAGTTCGCCGGTCCAGAAAAAAATGCTTAAGCGCGGGTGGGGAAATTGTTAGATGGCCGCCCATTAAATTTCCCAGACGCGAATCAATTTTCCAGTCGCTGCAGTTCAGCGAACTGCTTTCGAAGTTCTGTATTTCTGTTTTTTATGGAGTATCATATAATTTTCATTTTGATGCCTTTTATGACACTTCCAAAAAAGAGTAAAAAACGGGCGCTGCTTCGACGTCAGTTCTGGTTCGATTTCATCTCCCCACTTCGCATAAAAGTATCTGAAACGGCCTAGGTATTTATGATTTCGTTTATGCATTTCTCTGTTTTATTGTTTAATTTTGTTTCTTCGATTTGTCCGCCTTGGCCGGCGGCGTTTGAAAAAAGTTAATTGAGTTGTAAAAATTATAAAGTTGTAAAAATCCCCCGGAGTATTATATTTGGCGGGTAAGAGTTATGCGATGCAGATACCGATTTGGTTTCCTACCATAACTTCCAGTTGAAACCAGCTGGAAAACAAAAGCGTAACCAAACTACACTTCTTTGATATTTTACGATCGAGAAATGAATAGCTGTCCGTTGCCTGCTTATTTCATTTCTTTTTCAAGGGTGTTTTCTTCAGGTTTTACGATTTTCGATTTTCGTGTTGAGCCTGGGGCAAATCTAGTGCAAAGTGGTTATGAAAAGATCTTACCGGATCACCTGATCTTAGTTCTGGGTGACAAGAAATCTGATCATAATTTACATTTTACACAAACTTGATCTCTTGTTGGAATGGTATTGCTGAATAGTAGGTCATATTTAGGTAGTTTAACTTATATGATTTGGTTTCGAAGGATTAAGTAATATGGGAAAGTTTTCAGCTGACTTCCAGTTATTGGTCAACTAAGTCAACCCCGAGAACCTATCGATCATTTCCCACCCCCACTCCCACTGCCTACAACTCCATTCACCTCTCTTAACCCTTAAGTCCTTAATGATCTTATCGACTTCCCATTAGCAATCGTTACTCCCCCAATCCCCGGTGTTCGTCCCCATTCGGGTTCGATCCTTTCCCATCCCCTCTGCGAGTGCCCAAATACAGCTGCAACAAGTGGCAGGTCCCTAACGATCCGAGAGTCTACCCCTTAACCCGAACTCCTCTGGAGGTGTCATAAATCCACATGTGGCTTTAAAGTGTTACTAATTTCTGTTTCTGTTTCCATTTCGATTTATGTCCCCCTGTCTTCCCCATGACCCTGTTCTCCCCTGCTCTCTTTTGGATATCCTCGGCTCTTTGGATTGGTGAGGTATATTGTATATCGAATTCGTTGGAACAGAGTGTTATACTGGTAATATTACTAATTAATATGTACTGGTTTTTATCAAGTCTTGATTTGTTGGGTCTAAGAAACATGACTTAATTAATACCTTACGCTATTTGATAAATTGAGTGCTACTCTTGTTGAAGAGCAGAATATACTTTTCTCTGAAAAGTAACAGATTTAGTATTTAATATTTTCTTTTAAGTACCAGGTATTTCGATTTCGACTTCCCGACTGTTCCTCCCCCTCTCTTTTGTCGGCGACAGTCGCTCTGGGGCACCTAATTTCACATGAGTATGTTAATGTTTACACGCGTACCGCGATTTTTATGTTCGCCCCCGCCGCGCACTACCGATCCCCCGCCTCCGAGGCCCCAACCTCCCCCAAGATACGGCTAACGATCCAACCAACCACCGTCTTTAGCTTATCGCCCGATCGCCGATCGCTGGAAGTCCGACGACTGCCGAGCTCGTCTTGGGGAAACAGCCGAGCGATCCCCAAGATCAGTCGCAGTTTGTCCGCCGACCGCGCCGCGTCTCCGCTCATCCGTATTACCCAAGCCCATTCGAAATTCCCGAGATCTGCGAGGGAGAAACCCCAAGATCCAGTCGCGTTTCAAGTGATTTTGTGACAGAGAGTTTTATGACGCTGGTCGAACTAACCCAGTTTGAGATCTAGTGCCGCCCAAAATGAGCGAAAGTTCCAGCTCGAATTCCTCCAAGGATCGGACCAAGCCGGTGGAGACCCTCGTCCTGGCCAACTATGCCCTGAAGGCCGAGCAGAAGAAGGCCCAAGGACAGGGCGGCCGAAAGGAGGACGAGCGCATCACCACCGCGGTGATGAAGGTCCTCGAGGGCTACGACTGGAATCTGGTTCAGGCCTCAGCCAAGTAAGATCTAATAAGTCAAAAATTTTGATTTGCATCATAACGATTTCATTAAAAAATCGAAACACAGAAAGAGCTTAGTTGTTCCTGTTGGGTTATAAAGTTTAGATTATAAATATATTACTGGAAAGGATACCAAGGGGAGTTTGGCAAAGGGAAACAGATTGATAAATCTGAGCTCGCAGATCAGATTTCTAGTTACTATTGCTTTTAATAATTATTTTAATTCTTCTTAGTATTTGTTTGAGATAAATTAAAAGAAATTTCAGGTGAATTAAAGCAGTTGTACATATATTCACGAATTGTTCCCCATCTCGGAATGAGCAAATCAAGTCCTCAATGAAACACGAAGCCTCCGCAGATCTCATGAATGACTAACCGTGCCCATTGGAGCACAGCTCAACCTCCGCTGAGTTCGCTGATTAACACAATTTCCGAGTTCCATACGAGTACATGCACATAAAGTAGGAGGCTTTTCTTTTATTTAGCTGGATAAACAAACTTGGCGAACCGCAAAAAGGAGAAATATGGCTATTGGAGAAAGAAGGGAAACGATTGGGAATCTGCCGGCATATGTAAATATAAATGAATTTACACATTCACACATATTAGGCAAACAAACTCATCGGCAACAACAAATTGGCCGGGGGCAGAAATAATAGGAAAGGCAATAACAAGCCACCAGATACAAAGATACAAAATACAGGCCTCAATAAATGCGTGTTGCAGAGTGGAACAAAACGCTCGAGATGGAGACGACGACGACAAATCAATTCAGGCATAAAAAGCGAATAAATATGTTTTTAGCGTAAAGATGCTAACTGCTAACAAGGCGGCGGAGGGGTTCTCGAGGGCTTACCACAGCGGATCCTAACCCAAGCGAACCGAGCGAGCCGAGTTGACACTTGACGAGATGTCGTACCTTTGGAGTGCTCCAGGTCGTGAGAAAGCCCAGTGGCGGATCCCTCTGATCCCTAGACTCTCGGATTGCCCGGATCCTTGGGCTCCACTCGTCTGTTTGACCGGCAATTAGCAAATGCCGGGCCTCAACCTCCGGTCTTTCAGAAGGGGTCCCCGTCTTATCTCGGATGTCAGCCGCTTCCAGCCGCTTTGTTCTCTACTTTGCTGCCGTCGCTTATCACTTTCCAGGGAATACACTCGAAAATGGATTTGGTTATAATTATTTTTAATGCAAGGAAGAAAGTAACTAACTCAAATCGAAGTAGTTGAAGTGGTGAAAATTGTATTTGTTAACAGCATTCCAGTTTCAAAGCCTACCCGATGGGAAATACTTCTGTCAGGGGATGCTTCTGCATTATTATTTTAATAGCTTATTGATTTACGACTGTTTATTGTTTTCCGCAGTGCTGATGGAAGGGGAGCTGCTCCTCAGCTGTTCAGGGACAAACATCCTTGGGCACAGTTGCCCCTCATTGCGAAATGCGCAGAAAGCGCTGTCAAGAGCACGTGTGTGTTTGCACAAGGATATGAGCGCCATTTCCTTTCCTTTATCTATCCACAGCGGGTCCCCTCCCCCCACGAACCCCCTCCCCCTCCGCTACACCCACCTCTTCCCTTCCGCTGCAGAAACTGTTTACCTTGCGCTTTATGAGCCTTGTTTATTTCCACTTAAAACCGCTTAAATGCACATCGCTTACCCCGAGTCCACGCTCATCCAACCTCTGCCAGGTGCCCTTGTCACCTTCCGAATTAAATCTCTTAAGCGGCAGAAATGCTGAAGCGGCGGTGGGGGATACGTTTAATTGCTTCTCAGATTGACAGCAGCAATTGATGCGGAATCGCTTTTTCTTTTCATTTTTATCGAGGAGCGGAAGAGGTGGGGTCCGTATTCAAACCGTGTTTAATAAACGTTAATTAAAGTTCGGTTCTCATTCTTTTACGAAAAGTTTAGTCCAAAAAGTGCCCAGCAAGTATCGCCAAGAGGGTAAGAGGGTCTCCTTTACTTATGATCCGCAAACATTATATTGCCGTTTGATTTGGCTAAATGAATTTCGCATGAATCACTCAAGTCTTCACCCCAAACCAACAACAGAGTGCTGGGAAGCCACTTGAATTGTCTGGCGATCGGCGACGATACATATATATGTATATAGGGTTCGGGAGGGTTTGGGCTTGTTGGTTTGTTGGTTTGTTGTTAAATAATACCGGCCCCATGTGCAGAACCCCTTCTTATGCGCCCTGCTCTATTTACCCGGGCCGATTAGATAGGGGACCGCATAAGGAGGAGGAAGGCGGGCCTCGGAGGAACCGCTCTTCGGGTAGGACTTCTGCGACGCTATAAATATTCCGCTGTTATCTGCGTGTCCGGCCCGAGGTGCTATCGTTCCCCCAGAACCAGGTGGGCAGAGCTCCTCGGCTCCAGCTCTGATATCACCCGATAGTTCTCTTTCGGCGCTGCGACGAGTCAATTTACATGGCCCCAACAAGTCATCTCGGGCAGCCTAACCAAACACTTCCCCCTGAGCAGGGGAGCTCCACTCGAGACCCAAGCCCATGGGCCCCAAAGTGGGGGCACAGTGGGCCACATCCAAATGACTATTGAGGGGAGGAAGGGACTTTTTGGTTTCCGTATTCAGCACTCAACAATTCAAATAGCAACTTTAACACACTCCGCCTTGCCATTCAATGTTATTAATTGGAAAGCTTGGAACGTTTTTGCTCCAATGGCTCCACCGTGTTCTGCACTCTTGGATGTTGGTGTTGCTGACGAGGCCGGCAAACATGTCCCCAGCTGTTGCTCCGCCTCACATGAGGGAGTCCACCCACCACAGGGGGAGTCCGCCCACCAGAGCAGCAACCTCAGCTTTCGGTGGACGGGAAAAGTTTGTGCAGCGGCAGCAACAAGAACAGATACAGATACACGTGCGGCTTACAAGGCAAATATTGATTTTGTTGCTGCTGATGCCGCTGCTTCTGTTGCTGCCCCACAACCGCAAACGCTGCCCAAAAAGTTGGCAGCCTAGACCTTCGCTTTGCATACTTTTTGTTGCACCAAGAATTCACAAAACATTGATGGGCCTTATCTCCCCGAGGTGTTGTCGTCGTTTTGTACCCCCATCGATGGGGAGTTTTATGGCCAGGTGAGCGCGACAATGGCCAAAAGTTCCAACTCGGCGGAACGATATCGACCAAAGTCAGTGGGGCTTAAAGGATTTCGCGATTTAGGGCACAAAATCTGCCTGTCGAGCAGAGGAAGGTTGATGAATAAAATAAAGTATGCCACTTTTTAATATTTTTTGCACCAACTCACAGAGTGTCTTTAAATCAAGCCCCTAAAATAATTTGTAATATTTTGAAATACTTTAAAATTAGTATCTATTATGTATGGTTTTGTAATAATTTTTTTATTTAACTTGATGTGCAAGGGTATCCAAATTTCTAGTCAACCCATAACGCTTTTGCTGAGCACGGAGTATTTTGCCAAATATTAAACAACATTCGCGCATAAAATTGAAGGCGCATTTGATCCGGCCATAAGCTTTTACCCGAAGTACTCGCACATTTTGGCGCAAATCCGCCTGATATGGCTTTCAAAAAGGGTTCATTGGCTCAACGGTGCTCCGATTCCCCATCCATTATCCATTATCCTTTCGCTTCCCAGTGAGTTTGTTCGGTGGCCCGGGGAGTCCCGTGGCCGCAGTTTCCATGGCGTGGAACACCCACACGATTATTCTTCCGATGCCGCCGTCTGCCGGAAATCCTGTGCAGAAATTCCCCACGGATGGACGGAAAATCGCCAGCGGCAAAATAGGTGTGGAAATTCGTGGCGCGTTTTCCATTTTCGTGAGATTCCCAAAAGTTCGCAGCTTTAGCAGTGGCGGATCCACGGGGGGGAAATTAGGGACATTTCCCCCCCTTGGAACCACAGAACTTGAAAATTTTACTTTTTTGCTATGGTTGACTTTTCAAATATAGCCACTTTGTTTACCAAAAAATTGGGATGGATAATTTTTGTTTTATAATTTGTACTGTATTTCTCTCGCAATAATAAATTTGAACTTCAAATCGAAGAATAAGTTCAATTTCCCCCCCCAAGAATCGTCTCTGGATCCGCCACTGGCTTTAGGTTGGCGCTACACTAGAAAACAAGCAAACATTGCTGGGCGGGAAGCAATAAATAATATTTCAGGTCGACTTGCTTTGCATTTCCGTGATTCATGCATATCCGCAAGAATTTACTGGGGCTTGATTCTAGATATTTAACTGCTCCTAAGCGGCTGCCTTTGATTAGAAATGAGTCATTCGAGGTATTAAAATGAGGTTTGCTAATAATATTGGGTAATGTTTACCTTTGATGACAGAAATGAGTCATTTACATTACACATTTAGCAGTTGTAATTTGTATTAAACGTTTAGAATGTTCATCATTTAGCGGTGAAGTTCTTTGCCGTGGAGTGTCCTTTCGCCGAGAGCCCGATTCAGGGCCACTACACGACAATCGTCAAATGTCAGGGACAAATATCCAGCTGACATCCTCGAGCATTGATTGTAGTTGCAGCCCACCAGGCGAACCCCAAAAACACCCACAAAAACCAGAATGATGCAGAGCTCTTGCTGTACGCCACTTAAACTGTCGCTCTTCATTGCGCTCCCAGCTGCCACGCCCCTTTTCTGGGTCCTTTCACGCCTATCCAGTTGCTCCTAGTCGGCCAATGGAGCAGGGCAGTCGTGTCCTTTGCGGGGAGTCCCCGGATCCTCTGGAGTGCGGCACAGGCACAGTGCGCTGTAAAAATAAATTGACTTGGAAATTGAAAAAACAAGAAAATGAAATGAAAATGAAAATGAAAGCGAGAGTGTAAGTGGAAGTGGAAGTGGAAATGGATGAGGACGTGGCCAAATGAAATGATAACAGCGAACGGGATCGAGATGAAGTGGCCGAGAGGCGGCTTAAGTCGGAGGGCAGCGCTCAAAGGCCGCTGCTCAAGAGGCCGCAACGTGTGGCATCTTCACGGCACTCCGATAAGTTTCCAATATACGAAAGTCCGGCCGTTCCCATTGATCCCTGACCTAAGTCGAGTGGCCAATATTGAGATGTTTATCTTGTAGCCCGAACCACACTGAGTTGCTCGCCATCACTGAGAGAAGTGTTTTTAACTATTTATCATTAAAATATCTGCTAGTTTCAGGGACGTTTAATATGAACAGGGGTTAAGGGGTCTTTATGTCGTAGGCAATCCAACTAGTTTCCAGCAGATAATCGCCTGTGGGAAAGGGCAGCACTTCCGTGAATTGGTAGTCCACAAATGTGACCGGAAGCTGTTCGATAATCAGATCATCCTGAAATTGAAAAAGTATCTCTCTAAAAAGCAATCTATTAAGGCCTGGAGGAAAATCTTACGCTAAAAGGACACGTGTGATTAAAGTTGCAGTAGTTCTCAACCACTCTGTACCAGTAGTTGATAATCGAGTTCGAGTTGCGATTTTTAAGGAATCTGCAGGCATCCGCGGTCACGTTGAACATGAATGGTCTGTATCCATTGAACCGTTTGAAGAGTGACAGATTCACCTGGAAAAAAGGAGACTTTACAGTTCCCAAATAACCAAATAACCAGCTTCATACCTTTACTTTGGTAATAGGAGTTTGGAACAGATTACACTTGGCTGAAAGATATTTGTAGCAGCGATTCACCGACTTCAGATAGCAATCGTTGAACTTCTTATCCAAACTGCTACATTTTATGTTGGTAAACTCGAATTTAGAATTAATCTGCAAAGTGCTTAGGTAAAGTACATAAAGTATCATGAAAATTAGCATACCTACTTTTACGACTAGAAATATTACAACAATGGATAGAACCAAATCGTTCAGCTGAGTATACATATTAAACCGACGAAAGTGAATCGGACAATGAAACTCAAACGAAACAAATTTAATAATGTCTAACATGCACGCCGCTGGCATTTGTAATTGTTTTTTAATGCATGATTTATTATTTTATTATTTATTATTTAAGTAACCAAATTACACAAAACATTCAAATTCCCATTACATTCAAATTAGTAGTTACAAAACAGGCTAAATGGGATTTAATGAAAGTTGTTCTCTTTAATATAGTATCTATGATGAATTAAAAAGATTCCCTTTCCTATGCATTTTCTGCGACCGGAACAACCCGCGTTTTCCGAGTGCCACAAAGGCTGAGCAAACTCGGTTGCAACTCCCACGGAAGCCCCGAGTCCCCATTGTGGCAAGGGGCAGTGCCACGTCCTTATCACCTTATCAGAGCTCCTTGGTGTTTGACCACCTTTTCGACGAACTTCGAGGGCTGGAACACAGAAACCGAAAAGAAGAAAGGCCGGCCGACCGCAGAGCAAACAAGCTGCTGCATCCGTTGGATGCACTTCACGTGGAGGGCCAACCGAATTCGTTTGGGAAAAGTGTCGTAAAAAGCGGCGGCGGCTGCGTGGGAAAATGTGGGCACTGCCTAAGCAAATAGGAACATAAAAACAACTAGCTGTGGCGGCTGCAATTTGTTTACACGCGCTGTATCTGTTGGATACACTTCGTATTTGTGAACTTGTGAAAATCGCTGAGACGTCTCCGCCGCTAATTAGGCGCATTTGTCCCCCGTTTTTGACATGCGCTTACAAATTGAAAATGAAAATGGGCATGGAAATGGAAACGAGAATTTTCGTGCCATGTTTACAGCTTCGTGTTAAAGCTGTAAATATTTGGGCTCCCCATCCCCGGTCCATTTTAATAACAAAAGCGGCAAATGGCCCATTGCTGATAAAAGATGCGCAACAAAAGCCAAAGTGTATCTTCGCATCTTTACATCTTCGCATCTTTGCATCTTGGCATATGCGCAAAAATGGAAAGCTGCAAATTCAAAATTCCTGGCAGTCCCCGCTCATTTCTCATATTCGCTCATGAGCTAACGGCCACTTGAAGATATCACTTAATGAGATTTGCGCATCTCCGAGTGCAACAACAGCAGCAAATAATGAAGACGTGCTTGAGTTGCCAAGTGCCTCGGGGATCCGCTATATATATCTCTAGTTTGTTTCGGGGTGCACGGTTAAAAATTTGAATTACTCTAAAAAGCTGAGTTGTTACAACAACTGGAAATGCGGTGGTAATGCATCTGCAAAGGTTTATAAGAGACATATATGACATTTAAGAAAGGTTGTCTTAAAATCGTATATCACTGTCTTGAGGTTAAGGTTTTATTACTAATTACCTTTAATGTCTTTATAAACAAACCCCAATTCGTCTCAGTGTAGCCCAGGAAACTCTGCACCACCTCCCAAGTCCCAGAACTCGGATGCAGCAGAACGAACATCACTTGATTCTGATTAGCGTGCTGTCAAGCGTGAGAGTTGCATATACACTCGCAGATACTTTTGAATCGGGGTGGGCGGCAGTGGAGGATGTGGGGCGGGGCGAGGGGGAGTGGCAGGGGGCGGGGTCACGACGCCGACGATACCAAAGGCAGATAACAAACCGCCGAGCATCCCCAAGACGATGTCCATTTGGTCTCGGCGTTTTTAATCGCTTAATAAGCTCCGCCGAACTTGTAATTAAGCCCAGGCGAAAAAAGTAGAAAGGGGTGTCTAAAGATGCGGTAAAATCAGGAGAATCGGTTTTGGAAAAAACCTTTAATAATATATTTGAGCTAGATCTAGAATAAAAGTTTAGGCAGCAGAACGGATCAAATGGATATTATGTTAGGTTTCCAAAGTTATTCCCTCGCTTAAGTAAGACTTCCGTAAATTGAAACCTCAGCTTTGTACGTATCGTAGGCAATCCAGTGGGTTGCCAACTTGTAATCGCCCTCGGGAAAAGGCAGTACCTTTGTGATTCGATTGAATACAAACCCGTTCGGAAGCTTGTCTATTATTATGTCATGCTATAAGCAAGAAAGCTTATAAGGATTGAATATGTTGTTGCCATAAGGTATAACTCACGTTGATGGGACATGTCCCATTGATGTTTGAATAGCCTTGACTAAATTCAAACAAGTAATTTATGACAGGGTTCGAGGTGGGATCTTTCAGAAATCTGCAGGCATCCACAGTGATGTTGTACATGAATGGTCTATAGCCATTGTACCTTTTATAAAGTGCTCCGTTGAACTGTAATCCAAAATAAAATTTAAAAAATATACAAATAATACCCTGTGTAAATCAAGCCATTACTTACCTTCACTTTAGTAACTGGTGTTTTGAACAAATTTAACCTTATGGAAACATATTTGTAGCTCCGATTTATTGACTTCAGGTAACAGTATTCGAAATCGGCAAATTCTTTGGCGAAACTAGTACATTTCACGTTGGTAAACTCAAATCGGGAAGAAATCTTTTGTTTTTTACACAATTAGAATTGAGTAAAGTGAACAAGAAAAAGGGTAAATACACTCACCCCAGCGACCGAAAGAAGAAAAACTACGAAATGAAGATAATATACCAGCAACATTGTAAAGTGAAAAAGAAAACTAAACAAAATATTGAAAGTCTCTTGGAACTTGTAGGTGAATCTCTTTCCACTTGATTTATTCAGTTCTGTATAAAATAATCTATAAAATAACTTTGTTTGTTACATTTCGAGCGAAGAGAGGCAACTGAACAGTAAATCAATATTTTTACATTATGATCAATCAAAAAATATACAATTATATGTCTGTCTGGGAATCGAAAAGTAATTTTCAGCTTTAACCTTTTTGGCATTCGCCCAAAATAATTGCAAAATAATGTTTAATGAGCTGCTAGTTTTGCGTTAATGTAAATGATAATTTTCCTGCTTAGCTTGCTTTCAGTATGATTGCAGGGGAAAAGGGGGAAGCACCTGCTTATTGATTTACCCTGATTGAAAACAGTGCCCACTCTTTTCCGGGCGGACATTGAATGCAGCCAGGCATATCGAATAAACCCACCCACGGGCATTAGCACACGCACACCCGACTCGATTGAAGGATTTACCTAACAAATCTCTTGCCCTGATCATGTTTACTTAGGATAAATAATTCAATATAGGAGGCTCCGAAAAGAAAATCTCGGGCATCGTGCCTTAGTGCTCCGCCCCCTCGGAACGCCTATCTCTCTGATTGAATCTCTGTCTTCATTGTATTGCCAGTGCTCAACATGTTGAATAAAATCGAATGAATAGATAAAACAACCAGGGAGATGGGTTACGTGAGCTGGAAGGTGCTGGCATGTTTCGGCACTGTTAAAGATCTGCAGAGAAAATGATGATTCATAGAGAAATATTCATGAAAATCAGTAATGGCGCACAAAGTGTGATTACAAAAATACATATCTGACTCAACAGCTTGGAGGTTTAAGCAAATAATATTTCTTCCACAAATGATTATGTTTTTAAATAAAGCCATCATTTTTATCGGTGCGCAGAAATTGAATTTAGTACACATGCAGGCTAGAAATTATTATACGCTTCGTCGGTTTCATTTGGACTGACTTTCATCATTTTGTCATTGGAATTGTTTGGAATACAAGTGGATAGACTCGCTGCATACTTTATGCAAAGTCAAGAGCTGCGTCAACCACTTAAAGGTTTTCCACTGCTGTTTCGCACAGCTGAAATAGATTTTTGCCCACCGAAAGTCCACTTCTAGTGAATTTCGCACGATTTTACTGATTGCTTTTGTTGGCACTCACTTTCGTTGCCCGACTGCTCTTTCCCCAGAAATTCATTTTTGACTGCACTCTTGAACTTCTGTGATGCCATTTCTTCACTTCGTCATTTACCACGGCAAATAAAAGTTTTAATTGCAATTTTCAGTTTGTCATTACGCGTTGTTGTGCCGCATTCGGCGTGTCCGTCCTTTTGCAATTAATGGAACTTATTTACCCGGCCAACAAGTCACTGCAGCTCCTGACTGACTTTCCCCTTTTTTTTCTATGCTTTTCAGGGCGCCCTCGGACCGCAAAAAGGAGCACATCAAGCGGCCCATGAACGCCTTCATGGTGTGGGCCCAGGCGGCGAGGCGGGTGATGTCCAAACAGTATCCGCATCTGCAGAACTCGGAGCTGAGCAAATCGCTGGGCAAGCTGTGGAAGTGAGTACGAGCACTATATTCTATTCTGTACGTATATATACAGCACTCGAATCGAAAGAGAACTGGAGGAAAGAGGCACGTCTCCGGCTGCGTAAACGCTGGGGCATGGACCACTTGAAAAGTGTCTTTTATAAGCTCCACTTCTTGGCCAGACAAAGACGACGGGCCAAGGGGAAAGGTGCGGGGTTCCCCCAAGTTTGGCTAAGGGCTTTCCGACGAGACGGCGAAATGCATCGGCAGACAGTGCTCAGCGCCAGGGAAATGCTATCTGGGAAAACCTAACTGGAGCTCAGCAAATAAAGTCAGTTAAACACCTCAGATGGGGAGATAAATAACAGAGCTTGAACTGCTGCGACATTTTTATTGGCAAGACATTATCGCTCTCGAACGAACACAAGACTGTGCGGCAACTCCATAATTTGAATGTGATGATAATAAATATAATATTTTGATTGCCTTTCCGTACTCACACACTTTAGTAATATTTCATTGAACATTCCGCGCTTCCTCCAATTAATTTTTTTCTGGTTTCCGAGAACGCAGAGGGAAATCTCAGTGACAGTCAATTAAACAGGGTTTATTTATGGGCTAACAAATTGGCCCAGCTCGCATTCCCAATTAGACGGGGCAGATGCCTCGCCTTCTTATCAGCCGAGGACTCCAGTTCTTATCGCCAGTCCCCGAAGCGCTGAACCGTAGAATTTTAATTTCAAACCGGACAATGTTTATTACAAACAATATAAGAAAACGACGCCGCGATCGCTTTTTGGCCTGACAGTTTCGCATTAATCACGAACAAGAGATCTGCGGCAGATTGCTTTTTGGCTTTACAATATGCAGTTCAATATTTTTTCATTTTGAATTTATTTCCTTAGAGAAGTTATATGCAACAGAAGATATCTTCAGATGAAATATCCAACCCTTTACTATATTTTTAAGTGCCCTATTGATAACTCTTCCCTTTTCCACTTGCAGAAATCTGAAGGATAGCGACAAGAAGCCCTTCATGGAGTTCGCCGAGAAGCTCCGGATGACGCACAAGCAGGAGCACCCGGACTACAAGTACCAGCCCCGCCGCAAGAAGGCGCGGGTGCTGCCGCCGCAGCAATCCGGGGAGGGGGGATCCCCGGGAGAAGAGGTGGCCCTCTCCGCCTCCTCGGGCAGCAGCAAGCCGAGGAGCGGCCAGTCCTCGGCATCCAACGGCCAGCGGCGAGCCGGGAAGCCAAGTGCAGCCGGACTGGGAGGCTGCTCCTCGAGCATCTCGGGTTCTAATGCGGCTGGCGGCTCCTCGGACGTCTTCAGTAATGAGGCCTTCATGAAGTCCCTGAACAGTGCCTGTGCGGCCAGCTTGATGGAGCAGGGTCTCATTGAGGCCGGCCTGGATTCCCCGTGCTCCACGGCCAGCTCCCTCTCCTCCCTGACGCCCCCGGCCACGCCCTACAGTGGGGCCTCCTCGGGTGCGAAGTCGGCGGCGGCCACCAGCTCCAGTCTCCTCATGCGGCAGCTGAGTGAGCCCGTGGCAAGTGCAGGCCACGACTACGGAGTCCTACTCGATTCTGGGCGGGAGTACGCGGCTCTGGGCGAGGGCAACTACCAGGGTCAGTCGGGGGTGCAGGGCGGAGGGGGCCAGGAAATGGACTTCCTGGAGAACATCGGTGGGTACGGCTACGCGGGCAGCCGGGGGAACTACCCCGGATACTCGTACCCCACAAACGGAGTCGGATTTGGCGGCGAGGAGCACCAGCAGCAGCAGCAGGCGTCACAGGCCAGTGGAGCCTTAAATTACAAGCCGGCAGGCACCGACATCGATCCCAAGGAAATTGACCAGTACCTCATGGATCAAATGCTGCCCCTGACGCAGCACAACCACCACCACCCGCTGAGCCACCTCCCGCTCCACCAGCACGCACTGCACCACTCGCCGCCCCTCCCCTCCTCCGCCTCGCTCTCCTCCGCCTGCTCCAGTGCGAGCTCCCAGCCCGTGGCGGAGTACTACGAGCACTTGGGCTACTCCCCGGCGAACCCCGCCTCGAACCAGGCCTCGAACTTCGGCCCCCAGCCACCGTTCGCCGGCGGAGCCAGCTCCCTGACCTCCGACCTGCAGGCCACCTCGCCCTCGCAGCCGGAAATGCAGCCCCAGCAGCAGGAGCCGCACCAGAATCCATCGCAGCACCATCTGTGGGGCACTTACACTTATGTCAATCCCTAAGCTACTTCATTTGCACATTTGTTGTCCGACACAGAGAGAAAAATTGTCTAGCTCGGGTCTGAAGTAGGCATTTCGAAATTGCTTAGCTGGGTAGAATATCACTATACATTCGTGCTGTACAGAAATGGGGTGTGTTTTGCTTAGGATTGTTGTCAGTTTGTTATTAAAATCCCCAGAAAGCACCGTGACATTCCTAATACTGGAGCAGTAAATTTTAGTTTTGGTTGAAATAATATATCTACGCTTGATCTTAACTATTTATAGAAATATTATAAAAAGTTGCGGTGCTCAACCGTTCCACCATTTTTTTTATAGTAACATTTTTGTATTACATAAGTTCTTGAAACTGAAAATTATGAAATCGAATTCAGCATAGTTTTTCTCTGCGTGCATCCCCCTTCACTTCCGTTTCCGCTCTTCCTCCCTTTATGGGTCACTTAGATGGCTTTCGTTTATTGGTTTATTGTCTGTGCAATGTCTGTGTGAGTGGGTGACTGTGCATGTGTGTGTCCTTTGGCCCGAGGGTCTTTTTGAAGATTCCTTGCAATTTAAGCTAATCGCGTCGATTTCGTTTATGGCTGCATTATTCCTTTTCTCCATCTATATGCAACTCCTGTGCGAATCGAAGAAATGTATTGGCCATTCAATCTAAATGGAAATGGCTGAAATTGTTGATGTAAACACGAAAACACTGATTTCATAGCTAATTGGAAGCAATATAAACTAATAGTTATAAAGCAAATTGTGTTTGCAAAACAGTATACGGAAATGTATAAGCAATATTAAAAATGTTAGCTCTAATAAAATATTGAAAATACCTAAATTAATGAGTAGAATATATAAAAAAGTTATATTTTAAAATTGTATTTTTGTACACATATATTTACAAAAGTATTGGCAGAAATAAAAAACATTTACACGAATAAAGAAAACAATTTGACAGAAATTAAGTTCAATAGAGCAATGATGGTTGTGAAAGCAAGCAAATCGAATTTCAGTTTTCAGTTGGCCAGCAAATGGAATTAATACCAGTATCACAGATTTTCCTGGGAACGAGGCAACAAACCCTGGGCGTGGCTTATGCCAGTTTTTCCCACACTCTAAACTTAATATTCGGTTGGCTTGTGGAGTCTACACCTTGGACGTATGGCACCTGTAACCGTTGTAAAACCGAAATAAATTCCAACAAAATTAACACCCGCCTACCAAACGGCCATTTCAGCTCTCTTTTTCGCCAGGCAAAACAGTTTGAGACAAAATGGAAATCACACTCAGCCTCGAATTGCGAGCGTTGTTTTTTATTTGTTTTCCTCTTTGAATTGTTTATTTAGCATCGCATTTATTTTATTTATTTCAATTTGGGAGCTTAAGTTCAATTTGCGCCTGTAACAAGTTGTTGTTAATTGATGCGCAAATAGGAAGGGGAAAAAACTACGGCGAAATGTACGAAATATTGGCGCAGATGAAAACCAAAACATGCCAAAATGGCCGGGAAAATAAAATGGCCGAAGGCAAACAGAAGTTTATTTATATGTATGTGCATTAATTTCGAAAGTTGCAAATTAACACATTTGCCGAAACCCTTGTTTGTTTATTCGCATAATTTATGTACAGTATTTATTTTCAGATTTTTCGTTTCTCTTCTTTTGGTGCCAGGCGCCAAACGCTTTCTCACTAATTATGTAAATTATTTTCCGCGATTGGGCAGTAGATTGATGGAATTATTGCGCCACAAAAAGTTGCGCGAAAAGTCGGAAGCTGCCACAGGCCACGGCAAAGAATTTGAAAAGTCTTGAGCGGGATTTTTAATCGGCTAATGAGATTGCATTATAAATATTTCCATTTGTTTTGATGGTGTTGCCTTCTGCCGTTTATTGAAAATTAATTATAACGTTGATGATTTCCGCTTCTGTTATATTTTCTTTCACTTTAATTGTTTTTTTTTTGCTTTACCCATACACAGATGCTACAAAATAATAATTGACTTTTATCTAACTAGTTAGCTCACATCGCTTAGCTAACTGCATTAGTTTCCCGTTTATTTTTGATGTAAATACGTTCTCAATTATTAAATGCTGCTGAATGGGAAATAAATTAATCAACTCAATTGGATGATTGGCATGTGGCCTTAAAGGATATAAGAGTATTGAGGCGCACAGGAACCGGTCACGTGGCAAATCGCAATCAGGACTGGATGCATTCAAGCAGCAAATGTGAATGTCATTCCTCATTAATATCGCAAACAAATGTTGTGGCTGCCTGACTTCCATTCATGTCTTGGCAAATACATTCACTCTCCTCCGGGTTGCCTAAATGTTATTAAAACTAATGACGTTTGCTGGAAACTTTGTCTTTGCGCCTGGTCATGCAACGGGTCGTATGCGTAATGGCATTCTGCTGCCTTCTGCTCTTGCTGTAACTCAATTAAACTTTTCCTCTGCGGTCTCAGTTTAAATTCACTTAGAACTTGGATGTTGGATGATTGGGGCGGGGTGGAGTATTTTCGGGACACTCTCATTAGACGGCGACTTAGCACCTGGGAAAATGTTACTCAAATTAAGCCCCACACGAGATCCGCCTAATGGTCGTGGAAAACTTCTGACCATCCTCGGAAAATTCATCGAGGACCTGCGACTCGGGTAATGGCCGCCTTCTTGCTGTTGTTTCCTCTGCAATTTCGTTTTAACGGCAGCAAAATGTGAAAATGTCAGGCACTCAAGCAGCTCAAGTTATCCCGCGGAGCGGCGAACAGAAAACAAAGAGAAAATAATAATGTGGAGCCATTTGAATAAAATATAAGGCGAGAAAAGTTAAATGTAATGGGAAAGCCGCAGTCAGGCCCATTCTTTTTTGTTGACTTGAAAGTAAATTGAAATTTCGTTTTGTTTTTAATACTCTTGCTGGGGAGCATTGAAGATGTGGATGGCATGTTGTTCGCGAGATGAAATCATAGAGATTTATTTGCGTTTAACATTTTGTAGGGTTTGAATCTACAAGATGTTAAATGCAAATAAATCTCTAGTTTGGTTCAGTATATACTCGGTTATTAGGAGAATGGTTTCCTTACGTTAGCTAATGTTTTTTTTATTTATGGTATTTTAACCTTTTTACCAGAAACCAGTGTATCCCAAATTCTGTAGATCAACATAAAAATAGCTTACTCAACGTTACCTGCCTCGTTTAACCGAAATATATTCGAATTTTTAATGCGAGAAGGCAAAAAGCGGGAAAGGTAAGATGATTTTAATGGCGAGCGGCATTAGAAGCGGCCTTTCTGCAAACACACCCACCACCCACCACCCACAACCCACTTAAAAAGGCAGTGGGAAATGCAAACACAGTAACACTAAACTTCAGAAGACTGCTTTAATGCGTTTGCCCGAAAGTATGCAGCAGAATAATTCTGTTTGCACATCAATCAAAGCGATTTTTAGGGGGCAAGGAGGCGGGGGGATTGTGGAGGCGTGGCCAAGGGAGAGAGCCAAAAATCACTTTTGGACCACCGCTCATGGCCCATCAATCAGCATCAGGCAAATGCTGCTTATCATATTGCTGGTAGACGAAAAACGCTGGCAGTGCATCAAATTGATATTTGTCAATAATGTTTTTTTTTCACCTGCGGATACTGCGGATGCTGCGGATGTTGCGGATGCTGCTGCGGCGCCGGCTGCTGTGATAAATGTCAGTCCGTATGGCAAAATATGCTCTGCGGCTACCTGAAAAACGTGACGAGAGCAGCCAAGAGAACTCCAAACGGTTGAATATCACCAGTAAATGGCCACATCAATTTAATTAAAAAGGTTGCTTTATGTTTTACTCTTGTTGCTGATTTCAGAAACAGTCACTTCCGTCGGCCTGAAAGTGATATCTGCTTGCATTATTAAAAACCATTACGATATGGGAAAGTATTTATAATTATGCACTTTATACATTTAAACCAATATTGGTAATTTGTTCTCTGCAAAATGGAAGTAGGAATCACACTGTGAATTTTACAAAAAATGTATGGATTTTCCAGGGAGCACAATTTCCCCTCAGGTGCTTCGGATTATCCATCAGTCGTTGCTTAAATAAACCAAATATTTGCCAGGAGATCCTATAGAGTCTCCGATGGACTGCGCTCACAGTTAATATTTGTCCATGCCGTGTACTCGGATGAAGGCACCCTGATTTTGGTCCGATGTGGAACTATCAACTCGATTTGAAGGACAACTTTAACGTACACAGCTCCTCCATTAGCAGGCTTTGGGCCCCGGTGGCTGTGTGTGTGGATACAGATACTCGAGATGGTAATAGAGCCCCTTGTAGCTGCTCCTTTGCCTTTCCACGGGCTTTTGCCGGCTTGTTTTCAATTATCAGGCATTACACTTAGGCACACACTTTGGTACACATCATTGCCCTCGGTGTCCCGGGTGCCGTGTTCGTCCTAATCAATGAACATTGAACAACTTTTACCCTGTGGATGGAGTTGGGCTTTTTATGAACACGTCTGCGTTTTACATTCACAGAATGAAAAGGACTCAGGAGGATGCATACACAATGTACTTCTTAATATGTCTGTAGTACTGGGAAGATAGGTAGAAAGAAAGTTTTTTTCTACTTTTTCTGGTACTCTTTATTTTTTTACTGTTTTGTATTAAAATAATTTAAGGCTATTGAATAGGAAGTATGTTTTTCTGCAAATAAACTTTGATAGTATATAAACTCTTATTACCTCTTCCTTCATTGTGCTTTTGCAGGTGCAAGCGGGGATCTCCTGCACACTCTTTCATCTGATTAGCAGTTGCACAATTAACCCCTGGAGGCCTACACGTATGTGCGAGAAAATTGAAATTGCCTTTTAACTAGATTTTCACTCCCCCTTTGCAGTCGTTCCCCTGCAGTTGTTATCGCTGAACAATGACTTGGCATATTTTAATTAACCCATTGTGCCACAGTTCTTGTTTCGTGCCAACAATTATCATTTGCGAACGCATTCGCAACTGGAAACGACAGAACGACGATGACAGTCAGCGGTTTTTAATTAACTTTACAAGTCTCGCGTTTCTGCGGAAATTAAAGACTAAAATGACTGGTTGTGGCTTCCTTTGATTTTAGCCAGCTTTGAAAAATCCTTGGGAAATAGGGGGAATGCTCTTCAGAAATGTGCTTTATATACATATATTCGACGTATTTTATTTATGTGCACAGATTGAAAAATTCATAATAATGTAGCAGAAATAAATAATTTTTATAAAATATAATTTAGATGATTTTAGGGTATCATATGTAAAGGTTTTCTTTTAAATTATTTAATTCTATTTAATCCATTGTATTTATGAATTTAGATCAATTTGGTTTAAGAAAAACAATTCGAAGAATTTCTGTGCAAAAAAGTGAGCCCCACAGCTATAACTTTTCCAGTGTCTTGTTCTTCCTGGGTTTTTCGAAGTTTTTGTTATGTGTGAAATTTGTGCTGGCCGCAATTTTCCCTTTTGCTGGCGCCTTGCAAAGTCCTTTGTCTGCGGTCCCTGTAATGTGTATGAGTGTGTGTGTGTGGGTGTGTGGGTGTGCGTGTGTTTTCGTGGGTGGCAGCCAAGGCAACTCGGAGCGTCTTAATTAGCTAATGGCTGCCTTGCTGCCGGGCGGCCTTCAGGCACGAAGAAGGGCTTAGACTGCTCCGCTGGCTCAACTCAATTTGCCACGTTACAAATTGGCCTGATTGGCATGCAAAAAAGCTCATTTTGCTGCTGCATTGAAAATAATGCAGGGCCTCCGAAGTTGTTCGGGGCTTGATGGCCTGTCAGAGGATTTGCGGAAGCGGCGGAAATGCAATTTTCCACCTGGAGGCAGCAATACTACTTAGCTGCTAATGAAGGCAATGCAATTTGCGGCGGATCAAAAGCCTCCTTCGGAGGAGGAAACATCTGCTGAGAGCACGTCAAATGGTTTATGTAAATTCCCGCTCTCGAATGGCCCTTGTAAAGCGTATTTTAATATGCAGCCACATAAACGTGGCGCTGCCCTGTGGTTTTTGTCTATCTGGCCGGCTTTTATGTAAATGCCTGGCCAACAGTGCGTATGATGTACACATAAAATGTTTACGAGTGCCGTAATAAAATCAAATCAAAATTTAATGCGCACACCAGACAAGCAGAGCGGAGCGGAGATCCTTTTATGGCTTTGCATCCATCAAAATGTCAAATGAGCTGTCCACACGAGGTGGTCCTGGCCACATGGACATATGCTCCAGCCAGTCTCCAGCGCTCCAGCACTCCCGCTCTCAAACCTTTTGTTTGCCTCCTAGGAACTCGACCTTCGAGAGGAGCATCAATCAGCTTTCGGTCGGGAAATGAATGTCGGTCCAGGAATTACGGTGGAGAAGTTCCTGCTAATCCATTTTACGTGCCTGCGATGGGTTTTGCAAGGGCAAGGCCAGCACTCCGGTTCATTCGCTTCTCCGGTCGAGCATGAGAAATGAATTTACTTATCAGCTGGGGAACGTTCCTCTTGTCTCTCTTCTCGGCGCTTTTCCGATGGCTGATTTCCTCTTCCGGCGAAGTCGTCATCAAAAACGCAAAACACACAATTCCTTTTTCGTTTAATGTATGCGAAGATAAGCGGAAGGGAGATTTTATTTGATATGGTATATACACTGCCATAAGCTGCTTAAAGCATGAAAGTAAACCTTATTCACATTTATAAGATACATCTGATGAAATGCTTTAAGCCATACTTCTTTATTGAAAAGCCCCTAGCTCTTTAACTAAAATTAAGAAGTATAAACTGAATGTTTGAGTACATTTTAATACAGTTTTCTAACCACTAGGCAGTCGAACTCTCCATTAACAGCGTTTATAGAATGTTCGTGCCAAGCAGTTATCGCATCTCGATGGCCATTAAACCGAAATATGAACCCTTTCGGCCAAACGAAATTGCTTACCAAAATGCGAGAGACATTAGCAAATATGTATAGTCTGCGAGGAGCTCGTTCAAGGTTAATGCTAAACTTTTGCGGCGGATATTACTTCTGCCGGCAGACTGACATGAACGGCCTTGAAGGCGGGCAAAGTTTTTCGCCTGCGAAGGCCCGGCGCTGATTTCGCCCACTTCATTTGCTCATCATCAAGTCAATCAAGTTTTAATGATGCCACAGCAAAGCCACCCGCTGAATAATTTAAGAATTGTCCACGGGGCATTATTGTTTTCTGGGTGTCGTCTTGTTTGTCCAGTCCTCCGGTTTCGCGGAATACTTATGCGCCGGAGGAGAAATCTGAAATTTTAATTGCTTGCCATTTTCCTTAAGTGTCCGGCAATAATTGGAAATTTATGGGATTTTTAATGAACGAGTACAGATTGCTGAAAAGGCTCTCGGCTTCGCACGGCTTTATTTATTGAAAAATACATTGGGTTCTTGCGTTTTCCGCTTGGTAAATAGTTTTCTGCACTTGTTCTCGGTCAACACATATGCATTTAATGATATGACTTCCACTTATGGAACTTCGTATTCGTATTCGACTAGCTCATTATACACACACATAGATATACATTTACAATTACATTTACATTTACAATAACTTGGTTTTAGACCCCACCGAGGTCTCTCGTAGTTGAACTCTAAAAGTACAGTCGGCCCACAGCACACAAGTATTTTATATCCCGTGCTGCCGCCTCTGCTTCGTTTTGGTTTTGTTTTTGGTTTTGTTTTTGGTATCGGGTTTGGGCCAACATGTTTCATTGTTTGGCTGGCGGCTTTGCGTTCAGCCAGATTGGGGTTTAATTCATTTTCATTAGGGCGACAAGCGGCCCGCCCGAGTGTCAATCTTCATCAGAAGAGGAGCGCCCAGTCCGTCGTCCTGCCGTACCTTCCCTTCCATTTGGCGCCGCAGGATACTCCGCCCAGCGGGGTGGCGATGGAGGCCGCTCTCCGGCTGGTGAACCCTCCGAAACTAAGTCCTGCCCGCCATCCCTCAGTCGCTCACTCGCTAAGTCGCTCAGTGCCAAGCTCCGATTTTAAGCCCGTCGTCTACAACAGCCTCTCCAGATCCTCGCTCTCCGCGTCGCTGATGAAGGAGTCCGTGTCCGTGAAGTAGTCGTCGTCGCACCTGTTCCGCCGGCAGCAGACCCGGCGGCCCATCTCCTCGTCGCTCCAGTGCTCGAACTCCTCCTTGTGGTGCTCCAGCAGCATCAGCGAGGGGAAGAGACTGTCGCAGCCACTGCAGCTGGAGGGGGGAAGGTGGAAGGGGGGAAATGGCACAGGAAAGGCGAGAAAGCAGGTGAAAGTGAGAGCTGGCTTAATTAAGTGCATTTCCCTTACCCGAAGTGCCGCTTCTTCTGCTGGTGCGACGCCAGCTGACGGTGACAATGGAAAGCCCGGTCGCACACGTTGCAGGTGAGCGATTCATCTGGAAATTCCCGGAAAATATAGTACAGTGTTACATCTACTGAGGGAACATTTACAGGAGCTAGTTCAGTGGAAAGTGCAAGGTACTGAAGGGCCTTTCTAGCTAAGGAATACAAATTTGAATTGAATTTTCGACCCTCCACTGTACTAACCCAGCTGCGTTGTTTGCCTTTCAAATCATCATCGGATGGCCATTATGGACCGCCACTCACCGTAGTCGTCATCATCATCAGCCATGGCCAGTGCATGCAGCCGACTTATTGTGTTTTCGTTAATCTCCTTCGACGTGGACGTGCTGCCTGCACCGAGGTCCTTTGATGTCTTGCCCTTCGCCTGGCAGAGGCCCAGCTCGCAGAGGGCGCTCTCCACCTCGTAGTTGCCCTGGCAATCGGCGTCCGTGCAGGGCAGGAGTGCCAGGCTCCCGTTCCCGTTACCGTTCCCATTTCCATTCCCGTTCACGTTGCCGTTCCCGCATGCTGCTGCTCCTCTCGAGCCGTTGACATTGACGTTGCCATTGGCTTCGCCAGGTGGCTCGTTGTTGGCATGACTGCTGCAGCCGGCTGAGCTGGAGTTCGCCGCCAGCATTTCAAAGTCGTCGAGCTCATCGAACGGATCATCGATTTTGTGGCCGAGTGACACGGCATCGTCGGCCTCGGCGCTCAGTCGTCCATATGCCTTCCGTGGGGGCCGCTTCACATACTTGTCTGCCGCAAAATGAGGTGGGAAAATGCATGAAAAACTCTGCTAAATAAAAGCCAGCTTCGTATTGATAAAACATTCCGGGAAAATGTAGAAAAATCCCCGGGGGCTTGTTTTTTTCAAAGAGCTGTGTGGAGTTTTTTGCCTTTCAGAAGGTTTCTATTTATGGTTTCGCACATATTTCTCTTATTTATTGGGAACAGGTTTCGGCTGAAAAAATGTCACGCTACAAAGCGCAGAGAAAAACACAGAACAACTTTGCTACATGAAAGAGTAAATTCGCAGAATATTTTCTGGAATACACATTGAAATCCCAATGAGGTCAATTCAATTCCGTTTTGCTTGCTCCAGTTCTTTTTGGCTTAGATCCATCTCTAAGCGTATCTCCTCGAGAACAGGAACATATTTCACCTTTTTTGATGTTTTTCAGACCCCGAACAAAAACAATGAACCATCTCAATCGCTTTTTGATTGCTTTTAAATTGTCTGTGCAGTCAAAAAGTCCGAAACTGAATTTAGCTGTAACGCATTAGTTTTTCCAGTGCACAACTTTTGTTTTCTCGTTACGGGCGGATTTTTTTGTTCGCGGGAACACTGAGAAATGTTCCTCAATGCATCAGGCAATTTATTGAGGCTTTTGTGCCGCTTTTGATATTTACAGAAAGCCTTGCCGTGGAAACAAAGAGTTTCCGCTTTCCTTATTTCAGCCTGCATTCCCCGAAGTCCCGAAGTGATAAAATGAGATTTATTGGGGGCTTTGTTTGTGCATTGTGTGTGATTGGAGGGGAAAGGACAATAAATAGTGGCTGGTGGCGGTGAGATCCTGCAAAGCCTTTATTTACGGCCCCAAAAATAGATGGTGTGCTGACTTGGCCCCTGGATTTTTATGGCACACTAGCCGTTCGAGCTCCCATTAGCAGCTCATTATGTGGGCTTGTCTCTCCGCTGGCTTTAATTGCAATCGTGGTCAACAGTGCGTATACGTGACGACACGATACTGGCAAATCGGACGGCTTAATCGTGTTTAAATGTTCAAATCAACCAAGGTTGAAGCGATTACACGCGGTTTGAACAGAGAATCTTTAATCGGGTTTTACTGGTTGCCTATATCTGCACCGATAGCCACTAGATTACGATATAGAGTGAAAATGTGAACTGATACCATATATTCATTACTGACAGCTACATAAAAATTCAGAATATGTTGAAGTAAGGTTTAAAAAGCCGTGAACGCATCATATGATGGTCTTAAATCCTCTGAGGGCTCTACATTATGTACTCGGAAATAACACACCATTAAGAGCTCCTATTATTGCGGCTGCCGGGGAAAAAACCGTCCATGAATATTAAAAGTGTGTCGAAAAGGGAAATAAAAAAGCCATATGGGGCCGACATTCTCCGGAAATGACGGAAGGAGCAAAAAAAGTGGGGAAAAGTCGGCCGAGAGTGTGATTTCGAAAACGCGTCAGAGCGTGAGGCAAACTAAAACTCAATTTTATCGCCAAATTGCGGACCGCAGAGCTGCAAACATTTATCGCAGTTTTCCGCTTTGGGACTGGGATGGAAATTTATGACAACGGGCTTTAAGTTTGGTCCGGACTCGTAATCTCGAAAGATAAAAGTTTTGTCTCGATTCTACTTTAGAATTACAGCACAAATTATTACAAATGATGCCGCCCGCCGGCAAGAAAATATAAATCATGGCCCGGGGAAGCTGCGTTCCAGGCAGTCCTGTCTGCCTGCGATATTAATACGCCAGATAAATGCCCAATAATTCTTCCCATGCTGGGTTAGGATGCGGACTGTATTCGAAGTCTGGCCAAATGCCAACCGTAATTTATGATACATTTTGTTCGCCCGTTGTTATTATTATTTCTGATGTCTGGCCGAGAGCACGAACTAATGATGCCGGCAGCCGAAGCGAGCCACATTTGATGGCCACTGAGCAGAACACAGAAAGCCAAGGCAAACAGACTGAAAAACCGAAAACTGAAAACCCCAAACCCAAACGGACATTGTGCAGGACCTCCAACTAATTGGCTGCACAACAATGGCGGTCAACACTACAGGGGGAGTGTACAGAATAGCAAATATTTTACTTTCCACTGGCCCCAAGTAGCACAAACATATACAAACTACTTATAAAAAATTACTGCTATCAAATTTGTGATTTATAAGTTGCGCACCTTTAACTAATTTCAACATTCGTTTGCTATTATTTTGCAGAGATCTGTGTGGACACAAACATCCGAGCCATAACCACATGCCTCAGCTAATTGACATTACTTGTTTTACAATTTTCCCTGCGCAGATTCGCAAATTGAATGCACAAACGCATTATTATCAATGACAAATGGCTGTCATAATTATCGGTTAATGCCGCAGCCATATGTTGCCAGCATTTGCATAACACATAAGCCCCGCCCCTTTCTCCGCCCCCTTCCCTTTTTCCGCCTCGCGTGCGAACAACAATACATATGTTGACAAAAGCCTGAGGGCGTCGTCTTGTTTTTGTTGTCACTGGTTCAAGTTGGCAAATTACGTTTTTTACGATTAAATTTTGCGCCTGCCACGGCTGATTGGAAAAATTGTCGTTGCTATTAATGTCATAAATGTTCGTGAATTTGCAAAGTGTATAATGGCAATTTGTTGTGTGCGGAAAAGCTTTTCAATAATTGCCATGGCATTAAGCACATTGTTTACATATCATTTTAATGCATTCGTCGGTTTGAATTCATTAAACATTTGTTTTGTTTCCTAGCCAAGCGAGAATTTCAAAATAGAATTGCTGAAGTGGGTGGCGAAATATAGTCAGCTCGTTTTTTCCCTCAACAACAGCTGCTTGCAGTAGTAAATCAAATGCAAGAAGCCTTTCAAGTTGCTCATGTGGAACAGATGTTCCCTAAAGTAAACAGTGCAAGTTATCCACCCAGCATTTTTCAAACATAATTATGTGAACAAATAATCGAGAGTTTCCAATTAGCGAAGAGCAAATTCAATCAGGGAAAACCAATACTGCCAAAAACTATCCGGCTTGCCACAAACAAAGGAGGTTTGCAAACATAATTTAACATTCGTAATTAACATTTTGCTGTTTTCCAGTGTTTACTTTTAATTAAAATCGTTATTTTCTACTGATTAATATTTAACCCCGAAAAAGAAACGGACTAGCATTTTTAAATCTATGTTTTTGGTATTTTATGTTTTGAAATAATCAAACGCTTTTTGAACCATTTTTGGCACATACACTATTTATCCTACTGAACGGTTAGTGAATATCCAACTTGAGCTCGAAATATGGAAATTCGAACACTTGAAGCTCGAAGGGGAATCAACAAAAGCAGCTAAAAATGTGGATTGCTTGCCTAGAGCGAAATCCCCTTAAACCTTCCTTCCTCCTTTTTGTCCTCCCAGCGATTTGCAGGAGGGTGCGAGACTTGGCGCTTAGACAAAGCATCCTGGGACCGAAGGAGCAAAGTGTTTTCTTTCCGACAGTCACATCCGCACCACGTTTTCTGTTTCACACACACGTGCGGAGCCTCATTATTGCGTGGGTTGTAGGGCCGCGCTGTTATTTACTTTACTTCGCTTGCCAAAAAATGCTCCCCAGGACTCCCACTTTTCCATACGGAACAGATAAAGGCAAACAATAGTATGCAGACAAGTACAGTATACATTCGCCGCCTGTACTCCGCAAGTCATTTCGGGAATTTTAATTAACTTGTTTTGATAACGAGCGAGGGCTTGGCTTATGAATGGAAGCCAGGCCTAAAGTGGGGCATGTCTGGCATAAGAATAGAGGACTAAGCTGCGTGGAAATCAAAGTACACCTCAAAATACTCGCAGATCGGGCATTGACTTGTTGACAGTCGTTCTGGGAAAATTTGATTTGCAACAGTGATTGGTCGTGATTGGAGGCAGTTCAGTCTGCCTTCTAAAGAATGATTTGTATAAAACCAAATCAAAATAATAAATAAAAAATGAATACAAAATATTTAAATTAAAGCAGATTGTTAAGCTATGAGCTCATCTTTTAGAATCTGTTCCGTTCATGTCGCTGTCCATAGTTTTCCAACTAATAAACCCCAACTCAACAGCAGGACTGCAGCTATTCACGATTGGCTTACGCACAAGTTTCAGACTTAATCCGATTAGTCCGCTAATTATTGATGAATTATCCTAATTGAGGGGCGACTTTTGCAGCAGTAAACTGGACTAATTGATGGCCCAGGTGTCGGGACTCACCTTGGGTGCTGTTGCTGTGATTGCCGCCGTTCGAGTTGCTCTTGGAAAAGCTGCAGTTGTTGTTGAAGGAGTTGAAGAAGTTGGCGGCTCCGGTGCGCCGTAAAATCCAAAACATGGCTGCAGGTGTGCGGGAGCCTGGTTAATGGAGCTGTCGGAAAGTCCCAATTGATATGTTGTGCACTCGTGCGGGCAGCGACTTATGCCAACTGCATTTCCACCGACGGCATTTCCACGCGTCGCGTTTTGCGCTGATAAGCGGGCTACGGAAAATGAGGCGAGGACGCGACGATAAGCGAAGTCGGAAAAGCCCGGAAAAACTGGCGACCGTTTCGTGTCGGAGTCTTCAGCAAACTAACTGCGCTTCGGGTGGGCTCTCGGGTTTTATAGCTCAGCCAGGAAAACGAGAGCGAAGGTCCATGCAAAACTGAGAGCCTTTCCCTTTACGTAAAACGTAACGCCTTACGTACTCCGTTTCTCTTTCGACGGATTGGTAGACCGCCGCTTGGCAGAGGCAAACTTGACCTTCGTCAACACTTGCATGTTGTTTGGCCCGCTGGCAGCTCATAATTTGTTTTGTTTAATAAACGATTACGTATGCGCCGTGTTGACGTGCCTCAGCTGGCGAGCCACTAAAATGCCCATCAATCATCCCGACCGGAAGTGGTTGCTTCCTCGTTGTCCTGTTTTAAGTTTTAAACGCGTCCAACCTGACTGCTCAGTTAGACCGCGTCGTCGAGTACTTACTGCACTGAGAAACAATTGGAATTATTTAGATAGTTATTTACTTGTTTAGAACTAACTAACTAACTCTCCTTTGGTGACAAATCTGGTCAGATAAATTGTATGCAATCCACCAACTAAGGAGATAACTTATGCATAGTATAAGGAAATGTGCCCGTGGCATATCTGGTCCTCCCCCTTTTCCTTCAGTGCTTAGTTTGCGGAAAGTGACGGGAAGTGCTGACGCTAAACCGCTGGCAGCACATGCATCCGCATCGGAGGAGAGGTTCCCCAATGGTAAACGCTTTCGGTGGGCAAACAAAGACAGCCCCATTAAGCTGGCGTGTTCGAGGACTCCGAGTGCAAGTGCAAAGTTCATGTCCTGCGAATTCGTTTATTTGTTGCACGCGCGGGGACATTAAAGCGCTCTACGAGCACCCTCCACTTTAATGCCGCGCGACAAATGGTTTTCCGCAGACAGACTGTGATTTGATGACTCGGTTTCGGTTCGCCGGCTCCGCTCCCGGTCGGGGGTTAAGTTAACCCGATACTGATTGCTGGGGTTGGGCTGTGGCCACGTGGGGCAGGAAGTAGACCCCGCACGCATCCACAAAGGTTGTGCGCATAATACAGTCGAAATTTAATATTTAATCATCGCAGGCTGACGTTTAACAATTCAAATGGCTGCAAATTGTGTATCCTACGAACTTCTGGCAGGGGCCACATTACGAATTCATGCGGTACGTGAAAAGTCACAAAGAGTCCAAACGAACCCGAGCGATTCTCCGAATGTGCTTGAACTCTGCGAATATGTTGCGCAAACTTTGCCCCATAAATTATGCACTATTAAAAGCTCATGCATAAGGCATGTCCTGCTGCCGAAACAACAAGGACCCTCGACCCAAAATAATAACCGCAACAAAGCATTAGACATGGCCGGCAATTAGATCCAATTTATACATGGCAAAGCAGTCACTTATGTCCAGTTGATGTTACAAATAGTTCGATAAATTGTTAGCATGAGCAGCATCATGACGTTTTGCAATTTGATTGGTTCGAATGGTTAATACTCGAGCACACGATGTAATTTCAATCATTCCCCCTGCGGTATGCAAATTGAATTAGCCAAACACAAAAACTCGTTCACATAAATCCAGTTATTTAATGCTGTCCACACAAAGTTTTCGACTTGGGCATAAACAAAGCCGTGAAAAGTTGGCGAGCTCGCCACAATCAATATTGATGGAAGGAAACCCAGTTTACTCTGCTACTTGAGCGTCTCGGCGTAGAACTTTCGGTGCTTGAGTTTAATTCGCATCACACAGCTGCAACAAATTTATTCAAAATCATTTAGTGTGACGACCGATAGCGGCAATATTCACCCAATGAGGACAAACGCCATTAGGTACAAGGCGGCGCTGAGGAAATTAAATCCTCCAGGATTGCTGGCCAGGGAGCTCTTGTAGATGGCCGTGTAAAGGGGCGCGGCGACTGGAAGAAAGTCGTGATGGATGGGGATGGCAATCGAGGGACTTCGACTTACCGAAAGGAGCAAACGACTGCACAATGTTGCCAATTGCGAACAGTTTTCCTGTGATGGAATAAATACTGTAGTTAATGCTGGATCTATAATTCTTCTTACCTGTATCGGAGGAGGGGACTATGTTGGACACTATTGTGCGACCCATGGGTCCCTGGATAGAGCGAAAGATGCCGAGCACCACAGAAAGGTACAGATGCCAGCGAAGATGTGCGAATCCTCTGGCGACATTGCTGAGGATCTCGGAAAACAACGAAAGCAACGCCAACGAGACCACGGACATTCCAAAGAGCTGTTCAAGTTTTTTAAAACATTAATACTTGAAATAAATGTATTGATAATTACCTTTCTAAAGATGAGAACCCCTAAAACAGCTCCCAACATGGGAACCGCTTGGCTGACCGTTTCGAATATGGTAAACTCTCGCACCGTCAGATGAAACTGTTGACGGACGAACAAATACATCACCGTCATCACACCATCTGCGATGACACCATCAACTCAGTCCCTGACTTTCCCAAAAAATTAGAGCAGACTCACCGGTCACAAAAATAGAGAGAAAAACGGACGAAGTAACCAACCAGATGATGTGGTGGGCATTGTTTTCCCTCCTCTTAAAGCAAGTGGCAAACATATCCTTAACGTGTTTGATACTGAAAAGACCGGTCTCTTCGTTTCTATCATCAATTGGCGGCTTTTCTACAGTCTCATATTTGGGCGGACCACTATCTTTTTCTGCAGAGCACTCGTTTTCTTTTTGGCTTGACATTGTCACCACAACCTCTTTTTCCTTTGGCGGACTCTCCTCCTGATCTGGACACATTCCCAGGCTTTCGGGCACGTAGAAAATCACGAAGAGGGTGGCCAAAACGATGAGGAGGCAGGAGAGGCTCTGGACAAAGGCAGCGCTGGTGGCTGCGTACACAAAACTGGACAACAGGGAGCCACTGGTGAGGGCCACAAAGAGAATCAGCTCCATGAATATCATTCTGCAAGCGGTAGATAAGTGTTCCCAATTAAGCTGTTGCGACAACTGGCGGCACCCACCTGTAGGGCCTGGTCTTCACATCCGTTGTGTCCGTGATGAAGCAAAAGGCTGCCACCGAAAAGACGCACAGTCCGCCGAGCAGGGAGTGCGGCAGAGCTGCGAGTGTGTACCACCAGGGATTAACCATATAGTAACTGGACAGCCAGCAAATGGCGGAGGCAAGCAGGGCAGAGGCTGAAAACCCTGGGGGATATCCGGATTAAACCTGTTGCAGCGTCAAATTGAATCCCTAAAACACCTACCAACCATGGAGACAATCAACAGGGGCTTACGTCCATAGTGATCCGACCAGGAACCGATGAATAATCCGCAGATGGCGGGAACTATACTTTCGAAGAGCGTGCGGGTTAGGAACATGTTTGCCACATACGACTGCAACTCCGTTTCTATGGCCTGAAAGTCTGAGCTTAGATAGGAAGACCTATACTTGATTTCCCACCTGAATTTCCGACGTGGTGTTCTTACTATCCAAAAGCTTGCAGTCGGTTTCATTGTACTGAAAGATCGTCGTGCAGGTCTGATAGATTAACTGATTGCGCATTACAGTACCTGAGCAAAAGATCATGCTGTAGATGTATCACTGGTATAAAGTTCCCCTCACCTGATAGCATGTGCGAAAAGAGCAGCATGAATATCACCGGTTCTATATAGAACATGTTGAAGAGTCGACTCCATTCCAGCTTTTTAAGCTGGGCCAACGAGGTCTTTTCGACCATTTCTGATTTCCTGTTTTTTCGTTGATTGTAATTTTATTTTAAGTGAATATCATTGACTAGCACCACCAACCGAAAATTACGGCTTATCTTTATAATTGCGCTCGAGTCTTTATAATTGGTTTTCTATTGAAGGTCAAACTTGTATTTAAAGTTATTAACTATATTGTATTTTTTATATTTTCTCACTAAATTAACACATCTTAACTCAGTTCTTTAATTTTACATAGGCTGCACAGTCCTAAGGCTTCACATTTCCTTTTGCAAACTTTTTGATTGTTTATAAGCAAAAAAATAACTATTTATACTTGAATCGAAGTTTCCGCTTCGCTGATTTTATATTCACTCATTCAACGGGAGAACATCGGACCGGACATTATTCCATTTGAGTTCCGATCACGAACTGAATTGGAATAGCTCGGCTCAGATGCTTAAATAGATTTTAAATGATTATTCGGTACGTAATATTTTATGGAATTAAACGGGGGTTTTTGTGTATCAACTGTTCGTGGCTGAATAAAGCCTACAATGCATGAGCCCGTGTGCTTATACAATCACTCCTGAATTTGTAAATAGATCGCGAGGGGTAAAACATCATATTTGTTATGGGAACTTTCCAAAGCAAGCATAACTTTCACATTTCTTAATACAGGGCTCTGCACTTAACCCCTTTATGTTGGAAAACTTTTCCCCCGACAGGCACACACACGAATTTGAAGAAAAGTGTTTTCCGCCGAGAAAAGCGAACAACTTTGCCTGTGTAAATTGCAGGCCAACACTTCCGGCAACATGTTGCCAGTGCTTTTTAACCCCTTAGCTGCTCTCAGCCGTATATTTCGCGCTTTTTATTACATCACTATTTTGCCCTTCATTTTGGACTGCTCGCAGCATAAAATATGCAAAAAGATTTAAACTTGGCGCGGTGAACGTTTAGCAAAATATCTCAGTAATTATTTCTGCGGTTTTAGTTTGGCTTCTGGGAAGGGGACTCACTCTGCCGTTTTATGGCTTTTAATTAGCCACGTGGCATGGCTCAACTTGTAAAATAAAACCCTGATTTTACTTTAAAATAGTGTTCAAGCTATCTGCTCGTCAAAGAACCGCAAATAACTTGGCTGCGATTATGAATACTTCCCGAAAAACTAAAAAGGATGGTTCACTGCATATTTCCGCCATCACGAGCACATCACGCATACGCCGCGTACGCCGGTCCATTGTTGACAAGCTAATTGTAAACTTTTCCGCTTTGCCTTTCATTGTTTCGCCAACTGGCAGGGCTACAAAGGACCGGAGGGGCACATTAAGCCCCAAACCGACCGACTGGCAGATGTGAATGCCGAAAGGAGTTTCGTCCTGCAATGCAACATACATGCTAAGTTGTGCAGTCATTGTCTTGAACTGCGTTGCGTTGCGTTGCGCAACATGAAACCGGAATGGGGCAACTGTTGGCGATGTGTGCGGCTTTGTGTTGTTGACACAAAAAGCAGAGAAGCAGCAACAAATGGCGAGGCATGGGGCAACTTGTGCAAACTCGGGCGAAAATTAAAAAAAGAATGAAAGGAAATGCCAGCCAAAACATAAAAGACCAGAAAAGTCGGGTAAGTCAAGAGCGCCCCAGAGAATGGAAAGAAAAGCAATTTCTTAAACGCAGCACGTGCACAAATTCGTTTCTGTTTGCCTTAATTATTCTTGGATGGAATGGCGAGGGAACGCAAACACACAGGAGTACAGAAATGTTTCTTAGTTTCACTTCGTTGGATGATTTATGAATGTGAATCCCGGGAAATCTGTTCCAGAGACGCGACTTTGTTGGTAGGCAGTTAAAACCGAAATGAGCTGGGAAGCTGTGGCACTAGTGGAAAAAACCAACAAAAGATTAGGCGCAAGCGGCCTCTATTTATCTGGGTATCTATAATTCCTAAAGCAACAAAATAGCTGAAATTAATTTCATCTGTTTGTAGCTTATTTGCCGAATTCAGTTTGTCTGATAAACTTTAACACCAAAGGGAGAAGCAGGTCAAGTGCAGACAGCTCAACTCTGTACAGCCTTCTCATTAACCCTTTCAATATCTCCCATTCCCCTTTGCAATATTAAATTATTTTCTTTCGCTGTCGGCGACAATTTTAATTGGGCTCTTTTGGTAATTAAAATATTAAAAATACTTTCTTTGATGCGGGCAGTCCTTTTTGTGTGACAAGTGTCCCTTAAAATTGGGCCGGAAAGGCTTAGCGGCCTTAAAGTTCATAAGCCGATTTAAGCCTCTGCAGCTGTTGCCCGTTTGTTTGATAATAAATTTCGATTCAGGCCGCACCCTTTTGCATTACCGATGGAAATAGCCCGATGGTTTTTAATTGGTTTGTGGATTTTTTCACAATTACAGCCACTCGATTTCGTTGGCACATTTCGAAACATTTCGAGGGGTCCTTTGCGGCCAGTTGCCAGTTGGCCATAAAACTAACAGCCGAAGCTTTGCGGCGGCATTAGTTTTTGGCAGTTTTAATTGCCCGGTCAAGTGCCTTGCCCAAAGCTTCTGGCCAGCCAGCGCTGCAGCTGAAATCACATTTCGTTATTGTACCGGCCATAATTTGTCCGCAAATAACTCACCCGTGAAGATTATATACACATTACACAAATAGTGTTGTTGAAGGCTGCACTGGCAAAAATTAATTAACTTTGAAATGTTTTGTGTGTGATGATACACTTTATAAAAACATTTTCATGTTTTCATGCCAAGCTGGTTGCTTTAAGCCACAGTTAAACTGTTATTCGCCGAAATATGACACCAACCCATGCGGACGGAGCGCCGCACACGCGGTGAGTCCCATGTTTGTTTGTTGTGGCAAATGCTCTTGACAAATTTCCGCACATCCAACAAATTTGTTATGAGCGCTTCCACATATTCGGCACGCAGTTCGCAGAACACATGTCGCTGCCATGGGAGTCGGGCGGTGTTGGCCATTAGTCAGGCCAAATGGAGCAGAAGCATATGGGTTTACTGGGTTCGGAGAGCACTACGGCACTGCGTTACTCTCCCGGAATTAATGAACTCGTGATGTAGACATGTCTCACTCGGATTACAGGCAATTCCTTATTTCTGGTGCCGAACCGGGACCCTCTTTGTCTGCCTGGGCTGCAGTCCCCCACTCGGCCATTTGCATGTCTGGCTGCAATTTGCCGGCGAAAGGCGGTATGTGAATGCGATAAATATTTGATAAACAACATTTCTGCAGCTTTGCGGTTCAGTGACTCGGCAGCGCGTCGCAAATTGCGGCAAATTTCTCGCATTTATTTTCCATTTTCTGCGCTGGCTCCCGCTGGCTGGCATTAAAAAACTTTCATAATCATAACTCTGTCTTGGAGCCTGCCATTGTTGCCACTCCACACCCTCTCGAGGACTCCCACCGATAGCACAGGGCAGGGCAAGCAGGAATGGAATGGAAAATCAATACATATTTATGGGTTCATGTTGTGGGTGCACGTACGAATACGAGCCGCACATACGGGAGTGCTATGTCTAAAGGAATGCCTTTCGCAGGGACTCCTGCAGGCCGGCCATTTGCACGTCTCGGATCATAAAATACTTCTCCGCACACCTCCAGGAATGCGAAAAGAAAATAATTTTTAATAGTTGCACACGTCCTCGCCTGTCCTTTTGGGAGTGCTCGGAATGCGCTCAAAAGTCAGGCTGCCAGCAGTCGGTAGTAAACTTTAAAGGAGTGTTTGCCCCAACGAAAAACTGGGAACAAGTAGGAAGAAGAGACCATTTCCAAAACATGAGTTATTAGCTTTGGCTATCGCATTGAACAAGACAGAGGTCTGCTCTCAACGGTTATATTTACTTTCCCAATGCATACTTAAATGTTTGCTTGGACGGAAAAATGGTTTTTACATCCCCTGCAGTCAATCCTCTTACTTCCGCCATTCCCACTGAGCGTTGGCTACAAAACTGCATTATTTAGCAACAATTAGGTTCCCCACCTGTGTGTAGAGCTCAGCTTTATGCTACAGTTGGTCTCTATCAGCGGTAATCGGCTTAACGGCTTTCTTCGAGAGTGCACTTTTCCGCAGAAAATTGATTTCAAATAGCACGGCACTTGCCACTAAGCCGTTTCCAGGGGACGGGACTCGACTCGACTAATTTAAAGCGCAGCTCCTGGCCAACCAGGGAGAGCCAGACGGCGAGTCGAGCAATGATGGACAACTTTTAGGGCCAAGTTAGTGGACGAATCGAAATCAAGCGCACGCCCAAACTTATTCCATTCCACTCGACAAGATTTAATTTAGTTTTCGAGTGATTGGAGCCGGAAGAAAGGCAAACATTCCTCGAGTGCCGCAGTTCGAGCATAAAAAGTGCAGGGCTTCGGCACTTACCAGGTGCTCAGCTTCCATCGACAGAAGTTCTGAGCCAAAGGGAAGTTTTCTCCGGAATTCTGAGGTACTCGATATCTGGAAGGAGAAGCCCTGCAGATGGAAAATCAATTGCAGCGGACTTGCTTTCACTCTCATTGTCTATGAACCTGCATCTGAATGCAGTCGGGGCTTCAAAGCTTTCCACTTTTGATTGATTGCAATTGATATACGGACCCGGTTGTTTGTGCCAATATAGCGTGAGTGAAAAATTCGAAATTGAATGGGCGGGAGCCAGGGAGAAAATCGATTTATTTTCATTTCCCACATCTGTGTTTTCTTGCTTAGCGAGAGTGAATGTTTTTCGGGTATCTAACGTTGTGGAATACCAAAAGAGGTTGCTACGCATTTAATAGAGAACCAAACTTGTCATTTTATCCTTGGCCAGCAGAGTGACTCTGATTGCCATATTAGTTCGGAAAGTAATCGGCTTATTTGGTGCACCGAATGGATTTGCAGTGCCACTTGTGTCTAAGCCAGATCCTTTAAGCCCGAGTAATTTAAAACGTAATTGTACACCCAGCAGGAGGTTTAAAGGAAACTTTCAAATGGAAACACTTGTTGTGGGCCAATGGCAACCGAGCACGGGATCGAGTTCATTCCATTCCGCATGACGTCGTTTAATTTAGTTTCGCATGAGTCGCAATGGAATCAAAGTGCACACTTGTAGACACAGATGCCTCAAGTTTGCTTAAATTTTTATGGCTTCAACACTTACCAGGTGCTCAGCATCTGTAGCTGGTTGCTGGGATTTCCGATGCCAGAGAAATTGACTGCCGACACAGAAACTAACTGAAGTATCGAAGAGGTGGGGGAATGAAGCCTTAAAGGGGCAAAAACAGTTTTCGTCTTGGTTCTGCCTTAAAAGTTTTTGGCTTGCATATTTGTGCAAAGGGTTCGACATCAGTTTGAATTCTACATAGTATATACATTTCGTTTTTGTTTTTATTATTAGCTTTTTTTTTTTAACTTACATATGGACTTTCAAGACTTTATAAATTATTAAATAAATAATGATTGTGCGCTGGTCGTAGACCTTTGTTCGTTGGGACTAAGTTGAATGATGGCTTCAGTGGTGCGATCTGCTCGAGTAGTTGGTGGACGAGGTTGTCATCGACTGGAGCTCAGTGGTGCGCTTCTGGACGTCCATATCCATCTTGGTGGGGCAGATGAGACCCACCCACGCCCGGCGGTTGGCCGAGTCCAAGAGGACGAAGTAGACGAACATCACGAATCCCTGCATGGTGGCCGTGATGCAGAAGAGGTACGAGAAGGCCACGCCCGCCTGCATGAAGGCGAAGATTCCGAAGATCCAGGTGAGGCCCAGCAGGAAAAAGAGCATGACGGAGAGCCGGATCTGCTTGACCACCAGCTTCTTCTCCGACTTGTGGATGCTCTGGCTCAGGGAGTGCGAGATGCTGTAGAACACGTACACGAAGATCACGAAGTTGCAAACAGTAATCACAGTCACCGGCAGGACCACTCCGAAGATGAGGCCATATCCGGATGGGTAGCAGATGCCAGTGTCCGTGGAGAGCTGAGCTGCCGAGGGTACGTAGGAGTCGGGATCTATGAGGGCCACCAGGAGAGTGGGAACCAGGGGCAGAGTCCATGCCACGATGGCAGCCTTCAGGATGTAGTGGCTGGGTCGCTCGATGCCAATCACTGTCACGTAGCGCTGGAACTGCAGGAAGGCGATGATCAGCATCCAGCTGAAGAGCACCAGGATGGAGTACTGCATGGCGGCTCCCAGAGCCACACAGCGAGCCGTGTCCCCGTTCACGACCAGCTGCTCGGACACGTCGTCCGTGTTCAGGAACACAAAGAGCACCATCTGCAGACACATGGCCAGGCACAGGTGGAGGAGCACCTTCGTGGAGGCCTGGCTGCGCCAGCTCTTGAAGAGAGCGGCCGTCAGGAAGATGCCCAGAATGCCCAGCAGCGAGAGACTGCACCCCACGATCGAGATTATGTCCAGAACCCTCTCGTTGATCGGGGTGAGGAGGACCTCCTCGCCGAGGTCGTTGGTGCGGTAGCTGCCCCCCACCAGGAACGCGAACTGGGTGAGGTGCGTCGTGTGGCACTCGACGATGGGGTCCCTCAGCAGGTCCGAGCTGCCGCTTGTGGTGACTCCCTCGGTCAGCCAGGTTTCGTAGTTCCAATAGCCACAGCCAGTTCCCGAACTGAGTGCCTTCAAATCGGGAGTCCGAAGGTTTTCGTTGCGCAGCAGGAAAGGCAGCGGCGTGGAAAGCGGTTTATCTGGGAAACGGAGGGATATTGTGGTAAAGGGAATACAAATTCGGAATACATAGTACTTACTTTCCAATCCGGGTATGGAAATGGAGATCACTTTGCTGCGCGGCTTGCGACTGCGCTGCAGTGAGGTCTCCACGAAGAGGGAATCGTGGGAGTACACCTTGAAGATAAGGTAGGTGGCTCCTCTGCCCCTCACTTCCCCCAAAGGTTCTCCGGCAGGAAGGCGGCAGCCTCCAGGTCAGGTTCCAGCTTAATCTCTTGCAGGTTCTCGGAGAGTCGAAGAAAGCGGTACCAGAAGCCACTGGAGGAGGTGCTCCTGCCCTCAGCCGGAGCAGAGAAAATGGCTATTCCAGTGATCCTGCTGCACTCCGGGTTGGCGAAGAACACGCTGATGTTGCCGGTGATCAGGGCCTGGACTCCGATGTCGGAGAAGTCGTAGGTCTCCACTCCGGTGGTCGCCGTCTCGGTCGCGTCGCTCGTCGGCTTGGGCACCGCCTTGCCGCACCGCTCCCTGGGAACCATCTGCTCCGGAAGGGCGTCCATGTAGCCCTCGAACCTGCTGAGCAGCGAGTTGGTGGCGTTCAGGGTGGCGGAGAGGCGGAGCACCTGGCTGTCGCAGGACATTATCTCCTTGCAGACGCTCACCAAGTCCACGCTGACAGCCACGTCCTTCTCCTGCTGCATCAGATCTCCGAGCATCTGGCCCGTCATGTGGACATCGACGGGCAGGAGGGTCCGGTCCCTCTGCCGGAACATGTTCCTCATCATGCCCGTCATCTCTCGTCGTCCCTGGGAGTCGTTGGTGCGGCGCCTGCCCGCGAGCACGTCGTCGTAAAGGCTGCTCAGGTCGCCGCTGATGGTGTGCTCCCTGTATCGCCGGAGGCACACCACCGGGTCCCACTCCTCCGTGGACTCCCACTGGGCCCGGGCCCCCTGCAGCCTGCACTCCCTGGTGACCGGCAGTCCGTTCCTCAGTAGGCAGACGTCGTGCAAAGTGGCCCGCTCGCCGATCCTCGCCCTCTGCCACCTGTTCACGTGGGGCGTCTGGTCGTGGTTGCGGGTGATGTAGTCGTGCTCGAATTCCTCCGGCTCGCAGAACAGCGAGTCACAGTAAACCCACACTCCGCTTTTGTACCGTTCTTCCGGATCGGAGCAGCGGTCGAAGGTTCCATTCCTGAAGCACAATTCCCGCTCCGCCGGGCAGTTCGGGTTCCCATTTGCCGCAAAGTTCAGGGCCGCTTTGAAGGCCAAGAGCAGAAAAAGCCGAAAACACCAGTCGAAACTCATGGCTGGTGACTCAACAAACAGCTGGCTGCAGTCGTCCAGATACCAAGTGTATTTGTTGGAGAAGTACTTTTCGCGTCCGACTGCCTCGAAATATCGCGGCTAACTGAGCTGTCTGGCGATCGATTAGATTTCCGTAGACCCCAGCGTGGTGTTCGTTATCAGTGGCCACCTCGATCGCCAAGCGAAACATTGGTAACACTGCGAAACACCACGCACAACACAAAACCCCAAGTCTGCCACATTCGATACAGTTTACACTGTGATTAACACGATCTCGGCAATTGAGGAAAGAATCCGTCGGACCCCTTTGAGGCAGGGAAGCGATTCCACACTTATGACGTCGTCGTTATTTGTGCAAATAGCGATTTAACGCCTTTTTACCGGTATTGAGTGGAGGTCTTAAAACACGCGTGCTGAATCACTTGCGATCGAGTTGTAAGATAAAAGGTGTATTCCTGGAATACACTGGTGAACAACGATGACGACCGGTTATCTGTCAAAGTCTGAATTAACTTGTTTGCTTTTATTATCGATGCAAACATAGGTTGATAGAAAAATGGTGTTATCTAAAGCTTCACAAACGTAATTGACTTCCGGAAAATTGTAAAGTGATAAAATAATCTGTAGAGATATACAACTTAATCATAAGTTCAATGCTTTAAGCTTATATTGTGATATGCTCATGTCCGCCAGTTTGGCTTTGGTTCACAAATTTCGATTAAAAATTTGTCAGGCTTAGCCCATTCACACACACACACATCCTGCGATGATAATCCACCTGAACAGACTTCATGGAAGGCAGTTTCTCTGCCAGAGTATAATTTTTATAACCAACTACCGCAGCACGTAGCTGCGTGTGCCAGCGGAAATTGTCGACTTGCTGACACGTTTTCAATTATCAGTCAAACGCCGCTGACGAATTCAAATACGAGTTCTAAGCCTGCTCCCTTTCAGCCAGCCAATAATCCACTTCCATCCGCAGCAAAAATTGATTGGCCCGCTGCATGCGTTCAATCAAATGTGTCACATCTTGACGTGTTCACTCTTCCTTTATTGCCAGGAGACTATTGGGAACAGAATATGACAAACCTGCAGCCGCGCAGCTAAAGAGTGCCAATCGCGGTGGAAAAAGGGCGTTTACAAAAAGGTTTAAAAACAAGCAATCGTTGGGTTTCTGGGAGAACAAAAATTTATTAAATATTTGTGGATCACACTTTCTATAAAACATACTTCTAATGGCTTATTTTCAATTAAGTTGTACATTATATATTCTAGGACTTCGTACCATGATATCTCGATTGTGCGATCCCCAACTTATGGCTCACCGAAATCCAATTAGTGGCGCCGCCGACAAAAGCATAACAAACTCTTGGGTCAAAGCCAGCTAGCAAACTTCCTCGGGGCAACAAGTGACTGGTGGTGGCAGGGAAAGCTCCGGTTTGCCATTTTGCCTTGGCCAAGCTAAGTCAACGATGCAGCAGCAGCCAGGAAATCACTCAACATTCAAAGAAGCTCACAGTTCTGCGGTCTTGAAACCGCCAACGATGGCAATCCGCCTTCCAGGGTCACTCCTTGTCCCATCAGAACTGCACTGGATTGGAAATGCTGGGAGGTCACGGGGCAAATGAGAATTGGATTTGGTGCCGAGGGACGGAGGGTTCAGATTGAACCGGCAGTCAATGAGCCATGGCGACATTAACGCACTTTTAACGACTCCTCGAAGAAGGCACGCACACATTATGTGCGTTCAATAAAAATCGGCAAACTTGGCCTTCACTTTTAAGCACAACGGCTCGTTGACGTCGCCAGTGCTCATAAAGAAGGCGGAGTGAAAAGGGAAACCTGAAAACCAGTTGGGGAAAATTAAAACGGAAAGGGAAAAGGAAAAGTAAGGGGAGAGTCATATGCATATGCGCTTGAACCCGCTACAGATGGCGGCCATTAAGCTCATTACGCGCTGCCATTCTTCATTCGCTCTTCTCCGGGAAACGATTTCCCGGGGAAACAAAGGCGGGACGCCGCAGAAACCACATGTTAGCAGGTCCTCCGCTTTCCGTCGACCGTTGTTCGTCGTTCGCCTTTGGGCCTTGTCAATTGCAGCCAGAAGAAATTCATTTTGGCTTGCGGGCAAAGTTAAATTGAATTTTTTCGCCAGAACTCGTTCGGTTCGCTTTCCTCACCGTCGAATCGGCTCAGACAACAGGTTGTGGGGATTTAATGAAATTAGGCACTGGCGCTGGCAACTGAGTCCTCGCCTAAATAAAAACAGGGGTAGTAAAGTAACATTTACAAAAGTAATATTAAATTACTGATTAGTATAGCATAACAAAATATCATAATATTTCTCATAAGGATACTTTTTGTTAATATACCCCAGCTCATTAAAAGATACTTCAGAAAACGCACCCTGTTTGTTTCAGTTGGATTATGCACACGTTTTTTAGCTGCCTTCATTTTGCACAATTGCCAAGGCAACAAATATATGCTCGTGCATGCAGATTCAGCGTGAACTTTGACACGGCACATGTGCCCAGGATGCCACCCCGCTCTCGAGTCCCCGAGCTCGGGATTTGTGTGTTTTATGCCAACTTCGGGCAATTTAATTTAATTACGACGTCTGGTGGCGCTGCTGATGCTGCTGTTGCTGCTCTGGCTCCGGCGTCATCTAATTTCATTTGGAGCTGGGGGTCGGCTGGGGCAACAGTTGCCCCATAAACACTGACACATGATGCCGAACCTTGATTTAAGGTTCTTACAGCATCCTTATTGCAATCCCTGCAGGTCCTCGCCCGGCATTTGCATAAGCCTCCATTAAATTTGAGCCCGACTTCTGCAGCTTGCTGGCTGCCATCGATTGGAAATCCAGCAGCCGGGACCGGAAATTGTCAAGGAAATGAAATGGGTTGAATGCCTCGATGGCTGGGCTTGAGTGGTCCCCATTTAATTAAATAAGAACGGCCCGCATACAAAGTGTTTGGCTGGGGTTCGTTCACATATCACGCATCGCGCGGCAAAAGTTTCCAATTACGAATTCGATGTCCGAGTTGTTTGCTACATCCGCAGCGAGTGAAAAGTTTTGCCGTGGGGAAAAGTTTGAGCGACCAGAGAGCGAGTGCTTCTAATGAAAAACCACTTAGGCGGAGACAAAGAAGTCCACTTAGGCTGCAGAGCCAGAGCGATCTGTCCCCTTTCCTTCAGCTCAGGCTCTGTGCTGCTGGGAAAACTTTGTGTCACTGCACATGCATTTTGTAGCGTGCTTAACGATGGAAAAATGGCCGAGGACATGTCCGCAGACGACATCACGTCTGGAGATTTTCAATTTAATGCGCCTACCCTCGGAATAAAAACTTTCTGCTCCGCAAATGCCGGCCCAACAAGCTAAACAACTCTCGTTTAGAGCCTTTAGCCCGGGCTTACTGTAAGCAGAACATTTTATTGGCCTACGTGGCTCCGCTCCCAAAGTTGGAAAACACATGTTGGCTGGCAACATGTCGCATGCGTAATGCGCCTTTTGTTGCCCATGTTATACAATTAAGCGGTCATTTTTATCGCAATGCCGGGCAAATCGAGTTGCAATTACGTTCCGTGTGACCTTGAACAATTTTAATATGCATTTAATTCGATTCGTCCTGCTGCCATCAGTAAAACAAACATCAAAAGGGGGAAAAAGGCCCTCGGCGAAATGGAAAAGTGTGGCATAAAGCTCGGGCTTAATTGCCGGAAAAAAGGGTTAATTGCCCGCGTATTTGGTTTGTGCATGCCAGGAAATACCCAAGAGCCCCCTGCGAACATAAAAAGTTTCGTTAATGGAAAACGGTGAACAGCGTGCGCGGAAAACCCGCTTCGGTCCCGACCCGAAACAATTGGAAATTTCAATGTTTCAAAATTAATTCGGACAGGTCCCCTGAAACGCTTTAACCTAGAGCTGCTGGGCAAGTGCTGTCTCATAATATTAGCGAGGCGCTTGCCTCAATTTTGAGTGCCTGCAGCGGACTTTACAAGCGCTTGATGCATTTTTTATGTCGCCAGCATTACGGGGCACTCTTCGTGGCCACGACTAGTGCACTGCGCGAAAGTACTATAGACAAACGTAAATAGGTTTTATCCTTATATGAAAATAGGATTGAGTACTGTACTACTCACAAAAACTTCATTATGTGCAGAACTGAAGGACATTTCGCTTTCATTTGATACTAGAATCTCAACTAAAAGTTAACAAAAAACCTGAGCTAGTTATCGTTTGTTTTAGCACATGCTAAGAATATGTATCCACAGTATGCGGCACACTTCATTGTGTTTTTGCGCGGTGCTCGAGTATGTGCCCAACTTTTATCACTTGTTTGCTTTGCATTTTACGAGCATTTAAATACAATGAGTGCCAAGCGGACAGCTGTTGCATGGCTTGTTTTCCTTTTGAGGGCGTGGGACACAGTGCAGCATCACGTTGCTCGGGGCAAAGGACGAGGACCGAAGGGCGAAGGACTAAGCAGACATGCTGTAATTTGCCATTTTCCAGCATGAAGCCGGCTAATTAGAGAGCCACGACGGAGGAGTGCCGATTGGAGTCGAATTCGGGAACAAGTGTAATTAAATTCAACTCTACAAAGTAGTGCAACGAGCGATATTTCCGCAGGCTGGCTGGGAACTCATTACGCCATGTGGCTGCTTTTATAACGCATTCGAGTCCACTGTTGTTCGGTGCTAAAAACAGCTCATGAATGCCAAGCAGCCAACTGGCAACTATTACTTAATATAGAGAAATATGGGAAATTTATAGCCCAGCTCGCTCAGAGTTCACAATTCAAAATGGCTGGAATGGGGGTCACATATGCAAAACTTTTCCATATTTGAGCTCGCAAGCGGAATTTATGTGCTGCGGGCGGGAGAGCCCGCCCACTTCGCAGATAGTTCTGCAGTCAGTTTTGATTACTGTTTGAAACACACAATAGATTAAACAGAAAGCGCAAACAAATTGCATTTGAATAATGCTCAACCATTGTAAATATGCTAAATTTATTGCCAGATAGAAGTTAGAATATATATCCGTATATACAATAACAGATTTTGGGATTCGCCATTGGGCTTCCAGCTTTTAATCGGCAGAACCAAACAACGTTGGTTTATCATCTTTAAATTATTTATCCTGTTTTTATTGTATAATAAACACAAATAAGATGGGATAGTCAAAGAAATATAACTGAATCTCACCTATGATCTGAAATGGAAATGGCAAGCTATATCGTTGCTCTTCCACATCTGGGAATAAATAAATCTAAAATTAAAATTGGGAAGTAGTCAGCAGAAATACATATATGTATTAGATGTATATGCAAATACGCAGACCCTATTGACATTCCCCGACAGGATGTTTATGCTGATTCCGATGGGGTGGCAGGGGCAAAATGCTAATGGCAGCCAGACAAACTCACGGACAGAGAGACACTTTCCCGTGACAGGTAGCACTTTCGGGATGTCAACCCTTTTTATGCATACTTTAAAATTTAACGGCACTTGCTTCATTAATTTCTGAGCACTTTTACGCCCTTTGACTTTGGCCACATGACAATGGCAGCGAATCCGGCGAGTGGAGTGAGTAAAAGCCAGAAAATCGCAAAATACTTTGGCTTAACCCTTCATGCCATCCGCAGTGGCTGTCCTGCACAGCTTAACTCTCGAGTCGACTCGACTCGACTCAATTTCAGTTCTGTTTACTCTTTTTTCGGCAACTTAATTTGCTCACATTACGTATACGACATGCAAGCCGGGCTATGCGAAAACTTTTTGTTTCAGCCGGACGAAAAGGCAAGAAAAAACAGAGAATATGGGGGTATGGACTACGAAACACCCTACACTTTGAGTTTTCAGACTTGTATTGGCTGCTTCTCAGAAAAATCCATTGCTCCCTGCAACCAACATACCCATCATCATACCCACACATCAACAGAATCAGTTGTGCTCAGGCTGCACTCAAGTATTTTGCTGTGGTCTAGGTCTGAAGTCCCTGAATTTGGCATTCAGGCAAATTCATTTCGGTTCAGTTGTTTGCCCATTTGACTGCAGCCCTCAGCAGCAAGTAAATATTGATTTTTTGCGCCAGTCCGCTGCAAAAAGCCAGCATCGAAATGAGAAGTTGTTCGAGAGCTTTGAGGTCCGGAAAGGAGATTGACGGAGGCGGAATTAGTGGCACATATAAATCTGGGCGTCCAGCAGTGGGAAATCCATAACCCACACCTTCAACAAAGTCAAAAGCCAAATGGGATTTGCTGGTTGCGAAGCGTGCATTGTGAAACCAATTCGTTTCCATTTGTCCCCGGCATCACTTGCACTCCACAAACACACAAACACACACATACAGACATACAGACCCGCACAATGCAATTGAACTCTGCCCCTTAACCTCCACTTCCGGTTGCTGCTGCCGAAGGAGCGGCTCTGATCCTGCTGCTGACAATGCGAGTGACAGTCGGAATGCAAACACAATGCACAATGCGAGTGCAGCACAAAGGCTGAAAGCAGAGTGTAGAATGCAGAGAGCAGAATGCGCACTGCGAACCCAATACACGTGGGTTACGGTGGTTAAGGTCCTGATTGAAAAGGGAGAACCGGAGGAAACAGTGGAGAGAATAACCCCACGGGATACTTTAATGGATTGTGGAAATAAGTCAGGTCAGGAATATAACACAACAAGGCAACACTTACAGCTAGATACTCTCAGGAAATATTCTAAAAAGTATCCACAGGACACTTTTATTCATGGTATTTATTATTTATCGAGCTCATCCCACTGTCGCAGCTCCAAACAAGGAGTCGCAGGAAGCGTTCAACACTTAACCTGATTGCTCTCCACTCAAAGGCTGAGCTCGGATTTGCGGATTCTCCGTGCGGCTGGTAGCTGGTCAACTTTGGGCTTTGGCCACTTCAATTTCGAACACAGGAGCTCTAAGCCCGGTCTTAATTGCCCGATTAACAGTTTATGACGAGCGCTGGGCTCCTCCATTCCTCCATCCGCCATTATAGAACGTGTATTTATATATTCCAGCATTTATATTCGTTGGGTGTCGAGTGCAAGGGGGAGCTATTTCGGTTCGGAACATTCAGCGGGAATTGCCGTCGGTCACGACAGCCCCCGCATTTTGTTGTCGTCTGCTGTTTGGTCAATACTCAATTATGGCCCCCCAGCGAGCGCCATATGCTGCAGCTGCAAAACAGGTCGAAAACAAATTGAAGGCGTGAAGGTTAAACCGTGAATCTGTCACCTGCCGCGAACTTTTCCTGAATTGTGTGGCAAATAAAATGGAAAGCATTAAATGTAGCGTGAAAAAGCTCAGAGTCCCCAACGAATGGAATGGAGTTCCATTGAATGGAGCACCGATTTTGAGGAATTCAACTTTGACAGCTCCCACAAAACACGCCTGAATAATTCAGATAGCGGCAACCATTTTCCTTTTGACGCCAGAAAAATTGACTTTTAATTTGCCACGCAGGCTTGCGCAAAATGGAATTCTTTTCAGCGGCGCTCTTCACTTATAAATAAACAGATTGTTGGTCATCAAACGCCCGAGTTGCAATTAAAATGCAAATGTACCCGCAGATAATTAACAGGGCTTCTGTTCTCGAACGGTAGCCCATTTGCCCTTCGCCTTCTGCTCCCGCGGTGATGATGTCCGGGAAACAACCCTCCATCAGGACCCGCATTCGCAAAGTCATTACCTTGGCGGCGCTGACAGGACACATTTCTCAAATCCCGCATCGCCATTAGGCCCCAATAAACTGGCTCGTTGCCGAGCCGATGACATTTCAATAAAGAGATCCCAGCCCCAAGAACATTGATTAACAAGCTGTGGGTGTGCCGGGAGCCCAATTGGATTAATGAATGAGATGGTTTTAAGTAAATAATGGGACTCCAGGGTCTTTTACTGGCCATACAAACTTTATTTTAGTTTTTAGATTAAATAAGAGATAGCTCAGTGATTCAGTTCAGTAATTATAATTGGTACCTACAAGTTCTCTGACTGCAGACAGACTCATCGGGCAAACGAGCGGCTGCAACGCAGTGATAACAGCGCAGTTGAGCCGAATTTCCGGCAAGAACAATGCAGTCCAATTAGGCAAATGGCAAAGTTGATTAGGCCAGCCACCGGATTGGGAAATTGCAGGTCGCCCCCTGTCCTCATGGCCATCAAATAAAGGAGCCGGCAATTTCCATTTATTGCACACAATTTCAATTATATCGAGTGCCCGGGCCAAATCGAAGTCGTGACAAATGCCTATTGTGGGATTGTGGGATGGATTTACACGGCCCTGGCCGCAAATGGAAGTCATTTATCAAAAACAAAGGCGCTGACTCGACTGCCTCCACCTGGAGATAAGAAAAGCCCGGAAAGCCGCCCGGAGACCCTTTGTTCGGCTCGATGTTGCCGTTTTGGGGCGTCTCCGTTTTGCTGCTGACAACCGGAGATAAACACGCACATACAGGTCATTTTATTGCCATCCGATTTCGGAGCTTCAGAACTTCGGAACTTCGGGGGATGGGAGTCCTGGCCGGGAAATCAGTGTGCTGTGCATATCTAATGGCGTATGCAAATGCAAAGGGTCTCAAAACGGCCCAAAGGCTTGTTTGTTCCTCAGTCCAACAATGCCACGAAAACATATTTAACTCGCTCGCATTGTGCTTTGTGTCGTCGGTTATCCGCCATTTGTAAGCCATGCTGAGTGCTAAAGGAGCCCAAACAATCCACTTGGCCCCAGTTCCTTTCTTCGGCCGCCTTAAAGACCCCAATCCGCATTAGACTACGCAGCCGTCCTAAATCAAACGGGCCATATTTCTGCCTGTCACACGACACGACCTCTTATCATCGGCCTGGCTTTGACCTGGCTTACCTCAGATAAAAACCCATCAAAGCCCAGTCATTCTGCTTTGAATCGGCCAAGCTCCAGTTCCTCTGGCTCTCGAATGAGCAATGGCTAATGGGTATCACTATTATTTGACATTTTTAAATTATAAAGCGTAGAGTATTATTGGTTTCGTACTGCGCATTGAAGTAAGCTGATTGTGGGTTTTCGGGCTTGTGTTTTGATTAACGGCAGGTGTGAAGCGATTCACTGCCCCAAAATAACGACCTCTGTGAATTTTCAACGCCCCCGAGCGGCTGTATATTTATTGTCTAAACGAATCTGCCCTCGGCGCTTTGGAGTGCTTCAAAATTAATGGCCGTGCCAACTTGAAAGCCGTCAGGGGAGAAAGGGGGCTTTAAAACTAAGTAACCGCGCCTGAATCCTGGAGCGTTCCTATCGATTGGTGGTCTCGCGCCTTAATTATGAGTCGGGGTGAACGAGATTGGAAAGGGCTTTGCTTTTCCACTGATTGCACAACCGATGCTGATTGATTGTCGCGTGTCAGTGAGATAAATTGACTGGTCCTCGCTAAGCGAGAACTTAAAGTGCAGTAAAACCCACGAATAGTACATGAAAATCGCATTAGCCACTTTTGCGGTCAGATTAATTTTAATTCGGTTAAATGCAGTCTGGAGGAATGCCCGGCTTGAAGTCCAAACAAAGCTTCTGAACACACGAAGACCCGGGCATTAATACAAAATGTGCTTGAGAAAGGGCCTCAAATCATGCGCAACTTGAAACAAATTGTCAAGCATTCTGGCAGAAGGCCAAGGTCTCGACCCAAACGAGGGCAATACATGTAGCCAAGTCGAGCAAAAGGCTGGCAACAAGTAAGCAAACAAAAAGCAATGTCTTGGATGTGTGCATTAAAAGTCAACGACTCGGCAAATGAATTGCAGGCCCACGCAAATTAAATTAGCGCAGCAAACTTGATGTCCTTGTGGGTGACCCGAAGTCGAAATTATTTGCCTTGGCTCATACTGCGAACCCAGAACCCAGAACCCCGACTGTCCACTTTATGAGTCGACGGCCTGGCCGAAATTTCGCATTAAATATTTAGCCCACCTGGCGTAAAATGCGTTTAATGGTAATCAATAATCTGTGTGGGCGGACTTAATTAGTCGAATCGGAGAGGTGGTGTGAGTGCGAATTGGTCAGCACACGACTCCGCGTTGGTTACAACCAATTAAAGTTAATTGAACATAAAAAACCAGCCGAACTTGATAGGCCCACACCAGCGGGATTAGATCCTCGGCTGATATTGCACTTGTTTCTTGAAAAATTTAAATGTACAGGCGGTTCCGATTTCACAGCTCGGCTTCTGACATAATTGCACAGCCAAGCGGGCCGTCCTCTAAGCCAACTTTAATGTGTGGCCAAGAACGCGAAGAGAGTTTGCGAAGAGCGGCGCTAAGAGAGCGGAAGAGCGCTCCTGCGCAGAGCGTCGCGGATCCTGTTGCTGCTATGCCCCGCCCGCAGGTCTTACGTTGCGTATACGCAACGGCGTAAGCCACGTTAAGCATACGCCACGTAGACCCAGGGAAAGGCCAAGACGGACGAAGAAGGGCCAACAGTTTGCGGCACCCAGCGCATTCGAACGGTACTCAGGCGGAAGTGCGAGCCGCAAGCATCTGAAATCCAGAGTCTGGCATTCTTGGGTGTTTGTAATGCATAAATAGCATCAACAACCCCTGGGCGCATTGTTCGCTGGGCATTATGGAACGTGTCTGGGCATCTCCGGGTTTTCGGGACCCTCTTGGGCAGAAAGGTGTTCCTTGGAAGCACTATTAAGGCCCTCGCAAATTCAAATCCATAAAAGTGTCATTAGGGTGGCGCATAAAACACAAAAGGTGCCCGCTTGCCCAGCTCAGAAATTAATTAAAAAGGCAAACTCAAGACCGGAATTAATGGCGCACAAGATTTATTCAAAAGGAGCTTGCCTCGTGGAAATATCCTTGCTGAAATATTTGCCTTAAAACTGTTTCAATTCATTTGGCAGCAATTGCTGGGTGAATATTGGCCGAAAGTCTGAAGGGTACTTCAAAGGTTCTGTTTATTGGCTGAATAAATAGTTGTCTTTCCCCGTTGCCTCTTCCTTGCCAGGAATAGAATATTAAATTTGCTTCGTGATAACCCGAGAAAGGTCTGGCATTTAATTTTGCACGCAAAAATTAGCAAAAATAGAACTTAAATATTTATGGTACCCGGGACACGTGGGAGGTCGAATATTAAATTACGGGAGGGTGAAAAAAAGGGCATTGTCAGTGAACTCGGACACTGGCGCTCGCTTTTGTTTACGTTTCGAGCTTTGTTTGCCCCATAAAACAGCAGTCCCAACGAATGTCAGATTGTCCAAATGAAGTAATACGAGTGTGTGTTGGTAAACACATTCGCATTCACACAGATACACACACTCAACGCGTCGGGCAATTAAGCGCTGTGCTTAAGCCTGATGAGGTTTTCAACGCGAGATAAATATCAGAGGGATAAAAGAAAGCAGCCCAACCACATTTGTCAGTCAAGCCGACATAATAGTACACACAGAAAACGAACAGAGTTATTTTTCAAAATGTCACTGCTCAAGTTTCATAGCCATTGGAAGAATTTCATTAGAACAACAAAAAATATAGGAAGCATAATTAAAATAATATATTTTGTTAAATAACAGTATTTTTGTTTTTTTGGATTTTTTTTTGTGCAAGTTTTGTTGCTCTGCAGAGGGCAATAATTGCGCAGGCATATTACTTTTATTTGCTGAAGTAGGCGCAAGTATGAGATTAATTTGATTACACCCCAATGGTTGGGGTGTGTATTTGAGAAGGATTTCTCGGATTACTCTACTCTACTCAACTCTATTTGGGAAGCGTGCTTAAGTAGCGGGTTATTCGCCACCTGTTGCACTGAGCTTATTCCGACCTTATAGAAAGAACTTTGGCAAACAGTTGGCCGACATTAAATTGCACAAAGAGTGGCGTTTCATTAGGAGCCAAACATAAATTGGCTTCTTAGGCGATGTTAGTGGTATTTGTCTGCTGTCTGTTGCTTTTGTTTAAAGTTCAGGGAGCGTGAAATGCTAACAAGTTAATTGAAATTCCTGCAGCGCTTCACGTGCGATTGTTTGCCTTACAGGACACAACAAGAAAATGAAAGCTCGCCCCAAAGGAAAGCATTTCTTTCATTTTGCAGCTGGCTTTCCTCCTTTCCCTTTGCCACTTCCCTTGGCTGAGCAAACACTTAGCTGGTGTGAAAAAATGTAGACAAGTGTAAATTTATATTCCCTTCTGCGGGAAAGGGGCTTTGGCCACTTAGCGCTGCTCGCCGAGAAATATGAGAGCGTACGGCTTTGAAGTGGCGCATTAAAGAATTTAAATGTTTCTTCCAGTGGAAAGTGAAAAGCCATTTGCATTGTTTATTCAGCGTGACTTCAAACGCACAAAGTATCTGCTCTGCTCGAGTTCAGGTGTGTTGAAAGTCACAACAACTGGCAAGTTTATTGCCCAAGAACGCACAACTTTTGCAAGAGCGAGAGACAGGAGTTCTCGGGGAACTAAAACTACTATAAAAAGGAGCTCCAGATGTTGCATGTATAATAGCAGTCTGACTCTATCCCATGATTCGGTTCAGTTTCAGCTGATAGGGATTTACATAACTCACATTATGTGTATATAAATAAGCGTAAAGCCGCTAAAAGCCCCACCGCATCAAAATGGCCCCCGGGAATTACGTCAAAATGAAATGTGTGGTCGCATTTTCATACAGTTCTATCGGTTTTGGTTTTTTCGCACACTGATCCAAAAATACAAGCAAAAAGAATGTGATTATTTAGTTCCGTTCTGCTTTTGCCACAACCATAAATGGCTCAGAGTTATAAATAATTCGGTCATAAAATAAGGAAGGGTCATAAATAAGGTACACAGAAACCTGACATTGCTGAAACGCGCATTTCGGCTATTGCTCAATGACGCCGATATGAGCCGCGGCGCATCTCGGATGTTGCTCAATGACGCAGATATGAGTCGCGGCGCACATCGGATGAAACTAAAATTTCCTGTAATATAATATAATATAAAAATTGTATATATATATTAATATTTTGAAAATAATTGACCAAAACTCTAAAACTCTAAAAGTTTGTATGCTTTATATGCATATAAAATAATTGAATTAGATTTCATGAAAATCGGACGATAGGAACGATTGGTGAAAATATGGAAAAATACAACTTCTTATACGAAAATCAACTAGGATCATTAAATTTAACTTAGAGTAAGAAACTATGGCCTGCATAACATTCTTCTGGCGGCTTGCAATTGCAACACGTTGTACTTGTCGATCAGCTTTCGAACCTCCTCCTTTTCCAGGACTTTGTAGTAAGTAAAGTTATCCACTCGTTGCAACGTGGCTATTTCCACCCTCGAGGAGTTCAGCGTGGAACAATCGATGGTCATGCCCAACACCTTCATGGCCACATCCTTGGCGGCCTCCAGCTGCGGGGTCTTGTACCATTTGTCGTACAGTTCCTGCTGGAGCATCCCCATGGCCGCCCCGAACTTGCGGCCGATGCAGGTGGCCTTCCACCCGCTGTAGTTGCCACTCGGGTCGGATTGGTAAAGCTGGAACCCGAAGCGGGAGTCCCAGCCCATGTAGAGCAGGGAGACTCCGAAGGGACGCTTCCCGCCGTACTGGGTGTACGCCTGCTTGACGTCGCACAGGTGGGAGACCAGCTGCTCGCAGGGGATCTCCTCTCCGAAGGCGAAGCGGTACCGCTGGCAGATCAGGCGCAGTTCGCCGGTCAGCAGGTTTCCATCCGCCGTGTTGCCCGTCGCGCAGCAGGCCGTGCTCTCGCTCAGCCGCAGGATCTTCGGCGCGGGAACGGAAGTGTCCAGGAGCCTGTGGGTGCTCCGCTCGGCGGCCAACAGGACCCCGTCCTTGGCCAGGATTCCCAGACAGGTGCCCGCGTGGGAAACGGACTCCATGGCGTACTCCACCTGGTAGAGACGACCTTCTGGGGAGAAGATCGTGGTGCGGGTGTCGTAGAGACGAGCCATTGATTGGAGGTATATCAAAATATAGAAGAGTACAAATTGTATGATTTTTTGGGTAAGGAAAATATATTGGGATTAGAAAGACGTTAAAATATCTGGAAAGTACCTACATACTAGATTTAACAGACTTTATTAAGCGAAAACGATTATGTTTTCTAGATTTTTATAAGTCTGAATAATATGTTTAAACTAGCTTTCATTTTTGCGAATGCTTACCTATTTTGTTTTGGGCGCAAAACAAAGCGGAACAAAATGAAAAACACTGAACTACTTTCCCATTCACTTTAACCATCATTTATTCTCATTTCCCGCAGTGAAAAGCGGTGCGGCATTGGGGATTATTGCATCACAAAGCGCATAAACTTATTAAATATGCAAAATCCCTCGTTTTTTGTGCGGTAAATGGAAGGCTCGGCTGTCAGTCGCAAATTTGAGGCTCTGCGCTGCGCTATGATAAATGATTTGCCAGCAGGGAGTTGTCGAGCGGGCCGTGGGGCATAAATTATGTACGGGGCAAAGGTCAAAGGTAAACCAGTGCCTGTGGGCCTCTGTGGCGTCTTCATTAATGTCAAACTCCAGCCCCGAAATGCTCTGTCAGTTTTCCAATTGACTGCAGTCGGCAAACTATCTTAATTAGTTTCTCGCTGCCAAAAAGTTTATTCAACCTTCCGATTACCCCGACCCAAAGTGCGAAGCGGAGGCCGAAGAGGATGACGTGCCTGTGCAGTATAAAATCGATGATCCATATAACGATCCTTGGGGTGATTAGGTAATGGTAATGGGTCTGTCTGGACGCACCGCACCCAGAAACCTGGAAGGAAGCACACCCTGGCAGGGAAACACGGACGGAGGAAGGGGTGGTCTTAAGTGGAGTGCGCCAAGTCGATTGGAAAGCAATTCGCTTGCCCTTGCCATGCATAAAATATGAGGCAACCAGGGGCCATAACTCAATTTGCTGCTACATGCATCCCCGTTCGCCATTCCCCATTCGCCATTTGCCATTCGCCATTCGCCATTCCATCTTCCATATCCCGGCATCATCATCAAATCGAAATCGGTATTCGAATAAAAATAAAATGCCTGTCTGCAATTTGGTTTAGTTCAAAAGCCCATCAAACTCATTACGTAGCATTCCGGGCTGACCATTTGGGGCACATTTTCCTTTTTCAGCTGCTTTCTTTGTTTATTTTTTGACAGACGAATCCCCGAGCATGGAGCGTACATGACAGAGGATTTGGCACTCAGCGGCAGCTGGGCTCAAATCGCCAGAAAAAGAGTCGGTGGTTGCGGCTGATTATGAAGCGCCTCGTACGAGTATAACACATGCCCCATATGAAACCTGAACGAGGTGGGGGAGGCTGAGCCGGAAACGACCCTCATCAATATGGATTTATGATGGACATGTGGCCACGTCCAGTCCGAGTTGAGTTTGTTAAATTAATTGCATAAATAATTTACATAGTGATTACACGCACTCAAACTCTGAAGAGCTCTGCAGCACCCCGCCTGCACAGGAATCAAAATGCTAATGCAATCGACTCGATATTTGCATTTTACGTAAGCTGGCAAATTCGTAATTACGTAATGCCACAAGCTGATTGCCAGCCGCAGACGTCGAGCTTTAATTGCGTTTCCGTTTCCGTTCCACTGACTCGTCGAATCTTAACCCCCTTAACAAACCCCATGTGGCAGGTGCACTTTCCACAACGGATGCCGAAAAGGGTTGTTCGCATTTGGATTCGAGGGAGAGGAATAGGTTGAGGAAAAGTTGAGTTGGGTTAGGGATAGGATTTCAAATTGAAGGATGAGATCCTTGATGAGAAGAAATCCAATCCCACAACACATTTATTAATAATAAATGTTAATCAAATTAAAATAGACATCTCTATTTATGACAAACCAATTCATTTATAATGGCTATTAAACTGTTTGGCCAGCTTGATTAATTGGCGACAACGAGTAATCTAAAACTGCCCCTATTCTCATCCGCTGATTACCATTTTACAATCAATCGAGAAGTCATAAAAACGCTCAGAGATCATTTAGCAATTGGCCGGGGGAATATATGTTAATCTGCTCACTCGATTGATGATCGCCCATTTCAACATCTCAATCGATCAGCATCGATCAGGTCGAACAACTATTGCGCGAAAACAAATTGAGTGACTTAGCATATGAATCGCATTATGGTTTCTTTTGTCGCTGACTGTCCATCTTGGGATCAAAGACCATATTGGACAGAGTCAGATTTGGCATATCGAATGTCAAGACAAACGATCGACTCTTCTTAATGCGCATTGTCAGGCATAAAGAGGCGTCGATTAAAAATCAATTTAATACATCGATTGCTATTATGAGCGCACTACAATGAAGCTGGACACGCTTTATATCTCTTTATAGAAACCATTATGCAAATTCCCCCGCGAAGACGCGACCCCATGTAAAGTGAACACTCATAAAAATGATTTATGCAGCCGAATCACGGCGAATTTGCATAATTATAATGGCGTGAACACCCGAAGAGTCGCCCCAAAGTCTGAGCCAAAAACCCGTCCACAAAATATCACTGGGATCTTTTGGAAAATGGCAAAGATTGTGACGGTATCTCCAAGGGGCTTGGAGCCTCGTTTGGCCAGATTCGGTGGGAGCTCGTGATCGATCCAACTGGATTGCCCAATGCATAAATCACGTGCCAACGTACCTCGAAAACAGAATTAGATTTCACACAAAATAGAGAACGGAGATCGCAGAATGGAGAATGTCTGCGACTGGCTTTTCGGCTTCTCGTTAGAAATTTATGTAAATGCAAGACTCGAGACCCTGAACTTGAATCGAGTCGGCGGGCCGAAAGCTCCGATCACTTCAGTTTGCTGCTGAGTTAACTGGAGATCGGTCGGAATCTTAGAGCGGGATCTGTGACGGAGGAGAACGAGTTGGATACGAACTATTGACCATGTACAGGACGTGTTTTTTGGTAAGCTCCAGATTCGATGAGTCACATTGCTCGAAATTTCGAGGTTTCCTTTGGATAGCTAACTTTTTCATGAAAAGTGTATAAAAAGTTCGGTTTCTTTAATTACGAGTATATTAAAAACAAAAGAGTAAATAGTTAAAGGGATATCACTATAAAATTCAAGAATATCTTACAACATTAAGTGTTTCATTAAAGCATTTTATCAGAGTGAGACATTTGTTTTCAAAAGATTTAAAGCGTTGTTTGTTTGTTTTAAACCAAGGCTGGAGCCCAAAATCGCAGACCACTTACCGTTCGTAAGGTTAAATATTTGCATACCGCTTGTCTGCCATTTAAATAAGTAATTAATCGGTGTAATCTGTCTTGCAGCTGTTGGCCCTTGTGGCTGTGGCCAGAGCCGCCTCCTCTGGCCGGGAGTACCTGCCACGCCCCCCGGCGAGGACCTACGTCTACCCCCCGCCCTCGCCGAACACGATGGCCCAGCTGCGCCGGATAATTCAAGGTCACCTGGAGCGCTTTCAGCAGGCGGACGAGGCCCACTTCTCGCGGCGCGCCAACCTTCAGCTGGGAAAGTCGGAACAGCCGGCGGGGAAGAGGCCGCAGGCGATGCAGTTGTGGGCGGTTCGCACGCCCACCGTTTCCGGCGCGGCCTCCGAAAACGTGGTGGAGCTGGCGCTGGCCCCCAACACGCCCACCCCCAAGAACTACGCGCAGAACTTCCTGCCGGAGGGCAAGGATGTGGTACCCGGAAGCTCTTACATTCCGCTGCGGCTGCTGGTGATAAAGCGCTGAGTCTGGGCGGCGGCTTTGTTGTTCAGAAACGAGTTCCGGCGGAATGCCGCTGCCCCGGACAACCAGTAGTTGGCTAATTGGCTTCGAGCTTACTGGTTCCTACCTGTAGTTTAGCAGTAGTTCAGTGTTTATGAGTGTTCAGATCCACGTCGCCAGCGCAGCCCGCCAATCTAAATTAAGTGTCTCATCCCCGGGTCCGTGACTAAGACTTACGACCTTATCGCATCCAATAAAACCGAAATTAAGCCGACCGTGTGCCGTCGTAATCTATGAAATACATTCACCAAAAACTAAGTTGTCATCTCATTTACATAAATTAGAAGCCATAAATTCGAAGTGAGCGGGGAACTACTGGCTCGAATCGGTTAAAAGCTGCCTTCGAAACCGGTTAGCTACGAGCTTAAAGCTGCTTTCGTTTGGGTTTAGTCACTAACTAAGTTCAAAAAGTAAAGCTAAAAGCTCTTCTGTTCTCAAGTTTTAAATACGCTTAAATTGTATTTTACATCAGTAATAAAGATAATTATGAAAATTGTGCATTTCCTTGCTCTCCTTTACTTCCCAACATAATTAATTTACTTATAACTCGTATTTTTATCGTTCTGTTGGTTGACAAATCAATGATGACTAACCCTTAATTAACTTTTTATGTTCAAAACAAATGCATACAATAACCGGATGCCGCACAGACTTAGAGATTAGAGATTAGTGATTGTATATTCAACATGCAAACATTATAGCTCTACTGTGTACTCCTTTTGTAAAATGGTTTACGGTTGTGTAATTGGAGATATGTTTACACAACTATACAATATCTCGAATTGTAATGGTTTTCGTGATACTATTGTGATACCATTATCTACTATTCCGTTTTATGATTAATAATAATTTATTAATAGGCTTCTCAACGTAGAACCCTTATGAAAATCGCTTGATAATTTTATTTTCTTAAAAATAAGCGTAAATACTACTTAGTTGCTACACTTAGTTACTGGTACTATGAGTTGATGACTGGGTAAGGCCCTTTAGAATCGAGTCGGTGGGCATCTCGATGGTCTCTTGGTCGCCCTTCCTGCGGATATTGCAACAGAGGCCGATCCAGGCTCGCTGGTTGTCCTTGTTGAAGGCAATGAAGTAGAGGAACAGCACGAACCCCTGCAGAGTGGCCGTGAGGCAGAAGAGATAGGCGAAGATCCGGCCGAAGTCGAAGTAGGTGCACAGTCCGAAGATCCACGTGACTCCCAGGAGGAAGAAGAGCAGCACGAAGAGGCCGAGCTGCTTGAAAATCAGATTCCTGGTGAAGAGGGTCTTGTAGACACTCCAGGTGATGTATCCCACCATTACCGCGTTGGCCACTGTGATCAGGCCGATGGGCAGGATGACTCCCAAGCTGAGTCCGTACCCCGAAGGATAACAGAGGATGGGAGAGTTCTGGGAGGCATTACTGGGTGCGTAGCACTCGGGCTCCAGGAAAACCACCATCAAGGTGGGAATCAGTGGCAAGGTCCAGGCCGCAATGGCTGATGTTAGAATGTAGTGCCTCGGGTGGTTGACCCCGATGACCCTCACGTACCGCTGATACTGCAGGAAGCCAATGATGAACATCCAGCTGAAGACCACCAGGAGCAGGTACTGCATCACGGCTCCGATCAGTGTGCAGTGGTCCAATTTATTCAGATCCAACTGCTCCAGTTGGTCGCTTAGGCTCAAAACCAGGAAGAACAGCAACTGAAGACCCAGGGCAGTGCACAGATTCAGCAGAATCTTCGTAGAGGCCAAGGCCCTGAAGCTTTTGAAGACCGCTGCGGTCAGGAAAATAGCAAAGAGTCCCAGGAGCGACAGGGTCAGGCCCACATTGGTGATTATATCCAGGGCCTTGTCGTCCTCGTAGGTGTCCAGACCAGGCTGCATTTTACTAATTCCCAGCAGAAAGGTGAACTGGGTGAGGTGGTCCGCATGGCAGAGGATGACCGGGTGCGATGACTTGTCGAAGCTCCCACTGCCGGAGGTGGATATGCCATCACTGAGCCAGGTTGCGTAGTTCCAGTATCCACATCCACCCTCGGCTTCAGTTTGGTTCGTATTTCCGTTTCGTAGGAAAAACGGCATCTTTTCTGGCAGGTTGGTATCTATGGGATGTATTTAATTATTATTAATAATTATTATAAACTTCAAAAAACATCAGACTGATCGGAATATTGCTTTCCAAATTATTAACCCATCACAAATCAGAAACATAACTTATAATACCTTTTAGACCCGGAATGGTTATAGAGATAACATTGCTAGTTGGGCGGCGCTTGGGATTTTCCCTCGTCTCCACAAAAAGGGCGTCTCGGGTGTAGACCTTGAAAACCAGGTAAATTGCTCCCTTTTGTTTCAGTTTCCTCCACAGACTCTCAGGTAAGTAGACCGCAGTCTCCAAGTTCTCAACCGCCCTTATGTCATCCTGAATGTCAAACGAATGAAGCGCTTTAAAGTTCGACGAAGTGCCATTTGAGAAAACTGCAATCCCAGTCACGTTCATCACGTCTGGATCTACAAAAAACACACTCAGTTCGCTGGTTTTAAGAACCACAACACCCTTATCAAAATGGGGCTCGAACTTCAGTTCTGAACTGTTGCTAAATGCCCTTAGATTTTCCTGCAACGTTTTTGGGCTTAGTGAATCCAGGTAGTCCTCGAAACTGCTCAGAAGGGAATTTGTGGCATTGACATCTGCTGAAACCCGAAGAGTTTCGTTGTCGGTGGACATCACCTTCTGGCAAATCTTCATAAGGTCACCGACAACCTCAGCTTTTCTCTCCGGCTTCTTCACGAGGGAGTCGAATATTTCGGAGATACTGAAGACATCGGCAGCAGCGAGTTTCGCCTGAGATTGAGTCAAAAGACCACTCAGTTGGCTGATCATGTCCGGTGGACTCTTCACAGCCAGGAGGTTAATACTTGTGCTTAGTTCCGGGGCCGATCTACAGGTAATGTGATCCATTTTTTGCCACACTATTTTACCACCTCGAATTTGGCACCTGCGACGGATTGGGATTCCCCTGTCATTCAGACACAGATCTCTGAGATGGGCCTTTTCTCCCACTCTCGTTCTTTCCACGCGATTAACGCGCATCTCCTCCGAACTGTCCTCCGTCTCATATTCAATTTCGAAGTCCTCGGCCTCGCAGAATCCCCGATTGCAGTCCTTGTAGGGACTGTTGGACAGCTGCCCATCCGTATCCAAACAGAGAAGGAAGCGCAGGTTCTTCAAGTGGCAGTAGTCCAGACACTTGCCCACATTCGCATTTTCCAATGCATAGAGCGGGGTGCTCGTGCCCCCAGAGACGAGTATTAGGTAGCCCGCCATCCACCAGAGAAACAAAAGCAGCATGGTGCTGAATTTACTTTGCTTAATTGAAGCGCAGGCTGCGTTGTCGCACTCCCGAAGCTCCGCGATCGACTGACTGGGGGAGCGATAAAAAGCGAGCGGAGATAAAACGAGTTTTCCTCTGCTCATACCCTGCAAATAGGGCCTGCAAGAACTGGCACTTTCCCCGCTGTTCTGTCCCGAAACTCGAATTGTTGGTCTAGTTCCGGACATTCTCAAGGTTAACTGGTAGAAAGAAATGCAGTACCTTCTTCTAAAGCAACATTTTTATGAGTTTGATGTTCTTACAAACAAAAAAATGTATTCTATTGGGGAACTATTTAATTATAATTAGCATTTCACCATACAAAGTGGGCCTGTTCACTTTTATCGTTTATCATCTGCCCAATTAAAAACAGATATCACTGATAAGGAGATTAACGCTCATTAATGGATATGTAATCCTAAAAGATAGAGAGCTACCACATGGAAATGCAACCGGAACTGATAAAGCATAGCTCCTATTCGTTTTTTACACGTGGGAATTTATCATGAGTTATCGCGAGACTTTTTAGGGTATGGAAGGGTTCGAGTTATAATTTCCCCATTGTTCTCTTCGATTTTTAAGGCGTCAATAATTGACATTTGAGTTAGGCACGAATTCTCAGTCGGCATACCCATAATAATATGCATGCATCGATCGGTAGCTGGGGGAAGTCAACAATCGCGATAAGCAGGCACCTCCAGATTCTTCACACTCTCCGCTCGCCAAAAGGTAGAAAAACGAACCTTCAAATATTTGCACTCAGATAAAAAATATAGTCATGCAGAGATATTAGACATTACTTTGCGCAAGGTTTGATTCTGTATCTTTTCAGATAAGATGGTGGAGAAAGAGTCATAGGGAAGCATCCAGTGCTTGGTTTATTTTGTGCTGCCTTCTGGCATTTTATATTACTATAATGTATAGAATGTAATTTGTGCCAGCGCTCCCCTCGCAAATCCGCAGCTTATAAGATAAAACCTGTCGATAGGTGGCAACAGAATTAATCGCGTGAATAATTAGATGCGCCACTTGAACGGCTGCCACCAACATCGCCGGCGATCACTTGATATTTTTTCACTTTCTGAGTAGCCACTCAAGTTGAAGATCTCGCGCGCGCTCGTAGAAACGAGTCTTATTACTTCCCGACAATATAAAGTCCAGACTTTATACAACCGACATCATCTGTCAACGGCGGCAGAAGCTGAAGCACGGAGCTTGAAATTGATGAATTGCGATTTTTACTACTGTTTCTATTTTACTATGTTTTGGTTTGATAAAAAGTACTATTCGTCTTACCTATGGTGAGATTTATTTAAAAATGTAATACTGAAATACCACACAAAAATACATTAATGGGTTCTGAGTTGATCAATGAGCTGATAAGCACCACATTGATTTTTATTCTCATAAAAGTATTGAGTAACCATACCGAACCTGTCGACAAGATATGCAGTCTAATGAGAAGGTTGTTATTCCTCGACTGTGGCCTTTGGCCTTTCGACTTACAGTTCCTGGAAATCAATAACTCTGTTGCCAAATTGCAGCATTCAATTATTATTTATGCAAATGGCAGATGCAACAATTGAGGGATGCCAGGACACAGCAAGGATATTATTTACCTTTGCTGAGATACAGAGATAACCCTTTCAGATGTGTTGGCCGCAGGGAGACTCAACTTGAATGGGACCGATTTCTGTGTGCTCGGTCAAGTACTTCCATTTAATGAACATGTGCTTGCCATTTCGCAATAGAGTTAAACGGAAGCTGATTCATGACGGCAATTAAAAATACCAGCAAATAATCTGTTTCTCTCTTCAACTGTGGATATACTTTTCTAGCACGCTATTATTGTGTTTTATTTTGTAGAATTTTTGGTGAGATCTAATGAGAATGCGAGGAGCGATAAAAAACGAGCTTTTAACTATTTCGTTTGACCTACTTTGAAAGTGTATTTCTATGGCAATACTTCCCCCAGTTTTGTTCGGGCCCATTCCATCACGTAAAGCGGCAAAAAAAGACGGAGGACGAAGGAGCGGAAGGGGGTTCGGCTCTTCCATTGTCGAGAAGGATGGCCTGGCAACATGTTTCGGCTGTGCGGAGTGCTCTGGCAAAGTTGGTTCCACTTCAGGAATTTATTTACTCAAGTGTGATGCGATTATCCTGATGCACTTGTCCTTTGTCTCAATGCGCTAGTTACGCCCGCTGGGCACCGCCCCAAAACACAAACAGAATGGAGTATTTTCGTGGGACTCCGAGATGGTGTGTGCAGCAATCGAGATGCCCGAAAGTTTGCTAACCCTTCTGCTGCCCGGTCTCTTAATTAAATGCCGCCCAGATAGTCATCTTCTGGCAGCGAACTTGATTAGTGTCCAGGGGCAGTCGGCGTTTTCTTCTGCAACGAGCACGCTCCATTTCCCAGCACCGTGTTGTTAGCAGGACCTCTCGATGAGTTGCGGTTATTCTCAAATCCTTGCCTCCCTCTGAACAGAAACTGAATCAAAAGATGGGTAGTGATGACCTCGGGTGTCCAAAACAGGCGTTGCTTAATATTTTAGTGGCGCAACTCTGATATGCTATACAATTTCTTTTGGTTTGATGGACGTAAAATTCCCAGTAATAAAATGTAGTAAAAAATCGTTTCGTATTTAAGTTTTATCACGTTTAAAGTGTAACTAACTCAAACACAAAAAGCTATAATTCTCAAACTGAAAATGGAGGGTATTTAAAACTTCGGCCATAAATCTTATTTTTGAGGTGACTCACAAATGGGTATTCCAGCACAGTTTTTGCTTTTGTTAGAGCCATAGCCCCCGGCCGACTGACAATGACTTTGACAGTCTGCAGGCAGCCAGGTTACTGTGATACCTGGTTATCTAACTGGCTGAAATGGCCCTCGCCAACTCCTCCCTCAACGTCACCGGCAGCAATGTTCTGTCAGCGAGGCAGATGCCTCTGTTTTTGCTGCCGGATGCTCTTTCGACCTTTGTGCGTTCTGCGAAACTGAGTAGCGAATAAAATAGCGCCACCAGCCAGCACAACTAAAACTTGGACAATGCGCTTAATTATGTTTGCGGAGAGTAATTAATTTATGCACCGCTTAAGCGCACATGAATGTCCGATTGATGCACTCTGCAGAGTCGGCGTGTGGGTTTTGGGAGTGGGCCTGGCTCTGTGTTTTGTCGCCAACAGGTGCTTGTTTAGCCACGCCCCAGTGCGCCCCATTGGTCGACCTTCCCACCCACTCCCCGATCCGCCCACCCATTCAATTTCAATTACTGTGCTGTGCGAGGACTTCTGTTTGCTGTTAGCTGTTTGCGATGCAAGTGGCTCTAATTTATGTCGCCGCTTCTGGAGCGCTGAAATGTTCATCTGCTTCAGTGGAGCTGCCCGAAAATCTATTGTCGTAGGTAAATTACGCGTAAGGCATTTGCTGGGGTGGGAGTTTGACAAAAATCAGCAGGAAAGTAAATAAGACCGGCAATAAATAACGCCGGAAGCGGAAGTGGGGGTGAAAGTGAAAGTAAATGTGAATGTGAATGAAAAGTAAACAATTGCAGGATAAAATTGAGAGGGTGATTTATCCCGCGTCAAACAAATCACAACTACAAAAGCGGAGCTACAGCTGAGCTGGGAAATCTTTTCTAAATATTTTGGAACCTTTTAATGAGGGTTACAACTTTATCATTAACACTTATTTAAATTAGAATGCATTTCATTAAACTTGAACTTTATTTTCATTCAACGGCATAAGACTTAAATAGGATTTTTTTCAATTGAGGCACTTACTAGAGAGAACTGAAGTTGTCCAAGTTATCAAACATTTTTTAAATTACGCCAAAGTACAGCGAAAATGTTTGTATTAAAAGTCAGTTGATATACTATCACCTAACCCTCGGCAGTCGCCATCTGTTGGCGGGAAGCTGGAGCTGCTAGAGCGAGACGGAGCTCGAGAGCGAGCTTTCCCGCCGAACAGCTTTTCCGAGTGCCTCGCTTTCCCGACGACCAGCAACAACAAACAGCTGAGTGGGCCAGGCAATTGGCGGCCGACAAAGGGAAAGCGGACAAGTGTCCTGCGAGCCGTCTTTAATACGGCGCTCCTTCGGCAGGAAGCCCCAGTCGTCCACGGCTGATTCAGGCGAACTGTTCACTCCGGCGGACAGAGTGCGGCGGAAAGCAAGCGGACTGGGAAAACTCCTGGGGAAAGTCGCGCGCGCGTCTCGCGTTCCTTATCAAGTGAAAGTGGGAAGACATCGCGGAGTGAAAGCGAAACTCGAAACGCGGTCGAAACGCGGAGCTAAAAAGTAGCAAGCACACAGATAAATCACAAGTTGCGAATAAACAAAAGCCCCGGGAATCGCAATCGCCCAATAAAAAGAATCGCGCGCCCCAAACAAATGTAAATTATCCACACACTCACACACACAAGCTTTGTTTTCTGTGAACCGAATCCGTGTGAGCCGCAAACAGACACAAACAGACGACGGCATTCCACTTGGCCCTGGATATTAAAGCATTCTTCTGGGCGCCCCAATTTATTCGCCGTCCCGGCAGATATTTCACGCTATCATTGTCCTTAATTTATGTGGTCCTGCGATTCCCGTGCAATGGTTGCCAAATAGAAATATTTGCCTCAATATGTCAAAGTTTATTAGACATTTAGCTTTGCGTGCCCACGGCAATTTGCTGACAGTTGTTTCAGTTGGTCGGACGATAGTGAATGTCCATTATATTTGATAAATGCCCGGGCGGACACAGAGTTGAATGTACAATTGCTTTTGCCACATTTTCCGCCCAGTTCCCTTTGGCCAAAAGATGCACTGCGAAAAACGCCGTCGAGCAGAGCTCGCTCAAGAATATTCCTAACCTTTTCTCTGAAAAGCCTTATAAGCCTCAAGTATTTGTTATCAGAAAGTTATTTATCTAATTTCTATCCCAATTATTCCTACTTCTTTTCTGCCCTCGCAACATATTTTCCTAGCTTCCCAGCTTTCGCCTGCGGAATATTGTTTTTCTCTGTACAAACTCGACTTTGTGGAGGACACGGCATCCACATCCTGCGGCCGTCCTGTGGCCATGTTGTGTGCACTGTGCCTCATTTTGCGCCTGGCCTAATGGCAGGCTCATCATTAACTCAGTTATTGTCAGTTTAGCGCTAAATTGACAGGCAGAACGACGGCCTCCGGGGGAAAAGGGGACTTTTCAACTGGGCCGAGTAAATATCGTTTTGTTTTTACTTCGCATCGGCGTCATTTTGTCGCAATTATCAAATGGCGTGCTCGTCATCGCCGAACAGCAGTGACAAGCGGCCCGTCGAAGGAACTTTGCCCCCCAGCCGAAACCTTTCCAAACAAGTGGCAAAGCCCTCGGAATCGAGTCTTATTTACACGCTTGTCTCTCGACTGGCACGAAAATAGCACAAGGACCTTCTGTTGACAGAGCCTTACCGTTATCAAAATGCCAAATGCTGCACGTAATTAAAATTCGCTCAATCGGAAGGATGTCAGAGCCCCCGAGGTCATTCGCAAATAGTCCCCTCCCCTGATTAATATCCCCCCCTTTGGGTAATCGCAATAGGCAAACACGGGTTGAAAAAGTCAAACAATGACATACGAATGGTTAAATAAACAACGGGCATGTACACCGAAATGTATGTTAATACGTGCTTTAACGAGGCTCCTAATGGGCTACAAAAATGTCTGCGAGATGGTCGAAAATCGATATTTTTGCTCCGCTCGCTCGCTGGATGTTTAAAGTATTTAAAGCATTGTTGCTGGCGGGTGAAAATCCCTTTCGGCCCACCGAACTCACTCCGCCCTCCCGTGTAACTTATCACTGCCGCGCAGGCCAAGTTTCCCTCTTTTCAATTGAAGGTAACTTTTCCGGCCAGGTCTGCCATTTTGCGCCCTCGTTCATGCCAATCCTGCCCAAGGCGATTCCCCGCCTAGGCAACTCCCGATCTCCCAATCGCCCAACTCCGTGGAAAGCGACTGTTCGCAGTGCCTTAATTGCCCTGCACTCGTCGTGGCGCATAAATTTCGAGCTCCCCTCGCACTCACACCTGTGTTGTGTGTTGCCTGTTTGTACCTGACTTCTGTGTGATTAGCCAGTCGTATGCAGCTTTTAAGCCATGTTGCTCAAGCGAGAAACTGCCATTCGAACTGATACTCTTTACCTACTTTAAAATATTAGTTTTAACTAAGAGTATTACATCTCGTAAGCCTGAGACAATACTTATTTTTCCTGTAAAATAAAGAAATTTAAAACAGAATAAGTAATAGCAGGGTTCCCTGCTTGGGGTGAGAAATAAATCTTCTTCTAGGGAATGCAGGGATTCGGCCAAGCGAATCTAGACCCATTTTCCCCGCTTAAATTGTGACCCAGTTGGTGGCTGAGCTGCGGGTTGCCTGTGCGCCTTCTATGGGTGTATCGCTTGTAGTGCCTCGGCTTCCGCACGTGTTGCATGTGGCATGCAACAAACATCACATATGTAGCACACAAAAATGCAGATGAAATGGCCCTAGAAATTGTTGCTGCCAAGTTTCGGAAAATGCTCGAGGCCACTCCTGCCGACTTTTTCTGCTCATTTAAATATTTGATTAAAGTAGGCGTTTAAAGCGAGCCCCAGAATTTCGGGCTGAAAAGCCAGGGAGTGCGGCATAATAAAGGTGTGGCAAGGCGAATCCGATTCGGTGCCGTGTAAAATATGCATAAATGTCGTATAAATATTCAGTTGCCGACCCATTGCTCATGCATTCCCTCTCATAATTGCGCAGACCACAGTGTTTACTTTGTAATTTTCATTACGCTTTTTGCGTTTATCACAGCAGTCATAGCTGTTGGTAAACAAATATTATTTATTACATTTCCATTGTCGCGCTCCCAGGGGAGCAGTTGGTGTTGCCAGGCGGACGGACAAATCGCGAAAATGAAATAAATTGCAATGTCAATATTGAATTCTGGTGTCCAATTTCAGTTGTGATATGCGTTTGAACACATTCGTTGTAAAAGTGAAATAAGCAAAATAAGCCAGCAAAGCGTTTTGATTAAACCACAACCGAGTACGAAAAACACATCAAAATGGTAAGTGAAAATTTAATTACTTTGGAAAGAAGAGCTGCAGCTCTGTGTTAGGGCTTCAATTGAATTAAAATCTCCCCAATCAGATTCACTGATTTAAAAAGGCACCTGCTTAAAGACTGCTCAAATTGACTTTCGCAGGAAATGTTGATCTAATGATAGCGCTTTCGAACCTTTTCAAACATCCCTATTTCCCGAGTGGCACTTGAGACTCCGTTCTCCCGCATTGCCACAACATTTCAATGTGCCCAACAAAGGCAATAAACATCAAATATCGGTTAGATACATCTTCATCAGACAACCGAGCTGAAGAGCAACAAAACCCCGAGCTAAAAAATCGAAAAGCAATGCAGACAACAGCATAACAGCATAAACAAAAACAGACTGGCGGCCCGGGGAAGAAGCCTCATGTGTGGCCAACTAGACGGATGCGTAATGTAAATGTATGTAAATGTATTTCAAGTATTTTGCTTGTTTAGTATTACTTCCGGCGGAAGCGATTGATTGTGCTGCGTATCTGGATGGCAGAGCTGTACAAGTAGTATGTCTGCCGCCCGTTTCCTCCTTCGAGGGGCTCGATTTCGCACAACAAATCAAATTGATTGCTTTTCGGAACACATTTAAACGAAATGAAAATGCGCAACGGCTATTGATTTCGCATATTTCAAATTTATTGACTCGAATCAAAGCTGTGTCCCGTCTGGGAATGCAATTAAAATCGAAGAGCTCCAAGAACGCTTTTACGATGCGCAAGAGTCCTCGACAGCAACTGAAACTGACGCGGAACCAGAATCTGAATCGTTGGGAGCAGATACAGACACTAGAGCGAAAATATTGATGTTTCTTTGAGGACAGTCGTAAACATAAATACTAATCGGTTACTTTTTTCCCTTAAATCGCAGTATGGCTTCGTTAACTACGCGCTGGAGCTGCTGGTGCTCAAACATTTCGGCGAGGAAATCTGGGAGAAGATCAAGTAAGTAGCGTCCATTCACACAAACTCATTAGCAAGCGGCAACCAGAAACTAAATCATTCTCTCCACTAATATACTGCCGAATATTGGATATCCTGAAATTATTTGGAGGCTGTGCGCCGCGCACAAACAGATCAACAGCCACGCACTTAATTAATAACTAAAATACATAATCCCCCACATTTGTCTGCCACGTACCGCAATTAACTAATTATCCATTTTTCACATCGGACATGAACATTCACATTCACATTCACTCGATGGGCGTGGCCCGCCCACACAAGTTTAGTGAGATATACATAAATTAATTGAGGCCGCTTGTTGTTGGCGGCGCATAAACAGGCGGCACACGCGTCGCATTAATGCGTACACGGATTTCCCGGGCTCCCAGATCCAGGAGGTCGGGCCTACAAGTGCAGCCTGAATCTACACTCCCAAAAATAATGGTTGATTAGAAATGATTTCCAAATTTAAAAAGTAATTCGTATGAGAATACTTTTAGAAACCCTAACTGCAATCTAGGAGTTTTAAGAGGGATTAAGAGGGATGATTTCCATTTGAATGACGTATCTGGAAACCTCCCGAAATGATTTTTCTCAGTGCACAGAGTTAGCGGAAATCAACGCCCCGAAACTGCCACGTTCGCCCTTTTGGCTGAGTTTGTTTATGGGAGCGTTAGTGCGACTGAGGCTATATGGTATATACGATTCGCATTTATCTTAATTAAGTTATTGATACTGCTACATGGCTGCTTGTTCTGCTGTTTGCGTTGTGTGGGCTGGTGAGCCTGAGTCATAGACTGAAAGAATGGCCTCCTGCTAATTGGCCGTGATTTATGATTTTGGATTGCTTAACCGCAAGTCACTTGCCATTTGTATTGGCCACGTTTACAGATTGCTAATGAATTGAGGCAGTCAAGGGGCGAATCGCATCGGGTGTCGGCAGTCTGGCCCAGACAACCCTTTAATTATGGCCGAGAAAAGGGAAACACTGCCAACTTTTCTCATTAGGAGGGTCGTCTCGAAAGGAAAAGGTAACAAGGGCAACGTTCAAAGGCACACTGTCAGAAAGCGTTAACTTTGACGGCAGGATAGCAGTTGAACAGTGTAAAATCAATGCATTAAAAAGTTTTGGGTTTAAAATACATGTCTTAGAAATGGCTCTGCTTAAGATTTAAAGATTAAAGAGATATAATGCAGCTTAGATAACGAAAACATTAAACTATTCAGGCTTAATATTTTTTTCTAAAACAAGTTCGATTTATGTGTCTAGCACAACTGCTGTCTTTGGCAAATTTCTCGTGGTGCACTGTCGACCCTTCAATTTAAATGGTTGCCAATGGGGTCGGCATTGACAAGACTTTAATTACATTGCAGTTAGTTGGCAGCCACAGACGCAATGGTAGTTGTAGTCGCAGTCGTAGCCTATTTGTAGTCGCAGTGCCTTGGGCAATCGCTGCAGCGAGAATCAAACTCATTATCCAGCACTTGAGGCGCCAAGACAAAGACGGGGTCTCGAGTTCCCTGCCTCGTGTCCCCGGCCTCATGTCCTGTGGCCTCAGCCCGGGGCCACAGTCTTTCGTCCTCCGTCCTCTGTCCTCGTTTCTCGTTCCTCAGATGGGCCACATCGTTTGTCGCCGTCCTCGCACTTAAGGCATTGTCAAAGCGATCATTAAAGCGGGGGAAAAGAATAGAAAAGCCGAGGCCACAGGGCTTGTGTGGGGGCAAATGGTGGGAGAGGGGGTTGTCTGGTTCTCCCCGCCCCGTGGCATTGGCAGTGGCATTTGCCTTGATTGACACCCGGCTGACCGCATTGATAGATAGTTGGTAGTCGGACTACCTCTTTGCCTGCGCCTCGCAGATTGCCTTTAAAGCAGATGCCTCTCCCAGGACCTTAAAGGCGGCTCCTTTTACCTCTCGTGCTGGCGCCCACTTAATCAGAATCAGTGCGTTAAGTGCTTTCTGCTACTTGGTCGGGGCGCATAATTGCAGCACATCAATCTGCAAATGGCTCTCATTAATTTGCCTAAACAAGATGCCGCTGGCGGAGGAGCAGGCTTCCAGTTTAAAGTAAAGATGAAACCGGGCAGATAGCTCAGAACTTGTACTAATCAGATAGTCCTGCGTTTATCTGAGCCTTCAGACACTCAAAATTTCTACGCAAAGTCAATGGGAGATGTAGTAGATAAAAAGCAGATAGACCATTGTTGGTTTTTCTCCGTGTGGTCAGGGTGTCAGTCGTTCCACTAATACACTCGCACATCAGCCCATCGACGTTATTGTTATTTTCCCTGCCTCAGCTTTTCATCTGATTTTGTTGCGAGAGTCCCGTTATTGTTATCCTGCTGCCGATGTGCGTGTTTGTGGCACTTTAGACAAAAATCGATTTGCCTATAAAATGCTTTGCAGCAACGACCACAATGCGGCCACGGGCGAATGTCGAACTCCCAGCTCTCAGCTGCCAGCTCCCTGCTCGAAGCTCCAAGCTGCTTTCGTGTGCTGGAATTGGATTTGCCCTTTGTGCGGGTGTGTCAATATGTCAGTCAACTCTATGTAGACCACATGGTTATGGGCTCCGAGCTGTCACTCGATCCGCAGCTGCTGGTCAGTCGCCTATTCGCGCTAATGGGTTCCGAGGCCTCGTCCTTTCGCTTTCGCTTTCGCTATCGCGATTCGATGCGTGTGGAGTGGAGCAACTAATTTGGCTAAGTGTCGTAATCGTACTCCAAACACACGCCGACCCAGTTTAGTTCAAAGAAGGGTTAGAAGAGTTTCCCGAGCGCTTCAAACGCCGACTTGTCATATTAAATGTAAATTTGTCAGACAGCTCTGAGGCGAACACGTGCCATTGCCGTTTACCAAATGTTTTTGCGACTTATTAGCTTTTCGCAGGGAGAGGAGTGCAAATACTGAAAACCCATCAATCTTCATTGCGCTCGGCTGGAATTTCCATCAGTTTTTTAGCCGGGACGGTGGAAAAGCAATCAGGCGGCGTTTTGTCAAGCATCTCGCTAAGGATGCTCATCTGATTGCAGGCACTGCGAATCCTTTGCCATTAAAAGCGCATTTGTACACTCCCATCCAGTATTCGTGTATCTGTGTATCTGTGAAAGTATTTTTATACGGCTTTGATAGGCGCTTAGCTTATTTTTCTGCCGCTCCGGGCCATTAGTCGCCCACACACTCAACCAATGACCTGACTTTTTTGGCCATGTTTTTTTAGATATTCATAGGAACACTCCGACACAGACACACACACGCCCGCAGCATTATGTCTTTTTCCTGTTGTTTGCCACACTCGCAGCACATCGCTTTACACACACCCCCAACACACGAAAATCGATCGCATTTTCATGGCATACATTATGGAAATTCGAGTCGATTCTCGAGTGTGCGTATCTGGGGAGGGAAATGGCATTTTTGAGGCCTGTAACGAGTTGAGGGCGCCCGTGCTAATGCGTCAAAAAAATGTGCGTTGGTCTGGCCAAAAAGTTTCAGCCGAGCTCAAACTCCATAACTTTTCAGCTGACAGCTGGCAACATTTGGGAATGCAAACTGTGCCGCAGGCAGCTCCAAAAACTCAAACACGAAAACAAACATGGGGCAAACACAACAGCAGCACCTGTTCGCCAGTGCTGCCGGCATCTAAGTTTTGAAAAAACACAGATTTTAGTACAAAATAAAATGGTTGGGAAAAAAATTGCCGAAAGGCTTGAAATCTTCTGATGCTTCTTAAGTGAAACTTTTAAATGTTTGACACATTAATTCATTATAATATTGTTATTGTATGCATAAATCTGAACAGTTTGTTTGCTTTTCCCGCCGTGTAGAACAAAAGAGCAGCCCTGCTGCTCACCTTTGTTTCTTTGCCAGGTGAAGTTCCTCTCAACTTTTTGCATTTACAATATTTTCATATTGCTGCTCCAACTGTCGTCGCCATTTTGTCAACTGTTTTTCAGCGCACAGCAAATATTGTTACGCTTTATTGACTCCCGTGATGCGGGCAAGCTGTTCCACGTCAGCTGCAGCCACGCCCCCTACGGAGGAGCATCCCTTCCGCCCCTGGCCAGGACATTTGACACGTTTTCGCACTTATCGCCGAGATTACTTTTTGCTTTGATTGCATTTCTTTGGCTTGACGCCACGACTCCTTTGCTTCATTTATTGTCTGTTTGATTGCTTCATACTCTTCGCCAAAACCTGGTATCCACTACAATCCCCGGTTTATTGTTGAAAGTTTCCCGTTTGGCGTTTTATGTGCCCTCCACTTTTATCGCTTTATGAATTATGCGTCGCGTGCGTGCGCCCAAAGTTGCGGGCGTTGCGCATACGCAATGTGCGACCAGTCGCCCCCAGCGCGGCGGCACTCGAGCATTATCGCCCGTAAATGGCTTGTCAATAGGGCCAATGCCTTGGCCGAGTGTCCTTTCGTGCGTTAACGTCAAATGGTGTGCAATAATCTAAATAAAATGGTGGCCAAGGAGGCTAATTATAGTCAAGACAACGAGGCAGCCACTTGATTACGATTATGACAAGCCATTAAGCAGACAAAGGAGCGCGAATAGCCATTATTAATCGACTTATTGCGCGGGTATCCAGGGAATGTGGGAGAGCGGCGTTGTTTGCCAGAGAATGTAACACGAAACCTAGAGTTACGTAAAATCAATTAATATTTGGTAAAGGGATATCCCAGCAAAAGGCAATTAAAGTGATGAAATACATCGGGTAACGACTTACTTGCAATTGAGTTCGAGCCAGCAGGCCCCGTTGAGAAGTTCGGTTACAGGGTAAAGGCAAATATTTGTCTTTAAACCGCCCTCGATGAGTACACAACCTTGGTGTTTCCGCGGCCTCTGGCCCCTTGATTAAACCGAAGCCATCTTGTTGGTACTCCCCTTCCTACTAAATTCGGCTTCGGTTCTCTTGACGGCTCCTGCTAATTACATATTCCACGGCTTTTGCACAGAACTAAACACCGCCGAAAATTCCATTAATTTGTGATA